GAGTAAAATATCAAACAGGCCTCGCATTTTACAGAGTAAATAACTTGAACTGGAGCATGAGCTCAGAGACAATATGGTGCTGAAAGGTAAAACTAAAGCTCCAACCAGCAGGTCAGTCACAGCCAGAGAGAGGATGAGGTAGTTTGTTGGAGTGTGGAGCTGCTTGAAGTAAACGACAGAGATGATGACAAGAAGATTTCCACATATTATCAGAAGTGACAAAGAAACGACAAAAGCATGAAACACAGAAGACGTCACAGTCTGTCCATGCAGCTGTGCTGACTCATTACAGAGACGCTGATCTTCAACCATTTTTTCAGTCCTGTTATAAAAAAAAATCAATCAATATTGAAAACAATAATGAACAAAAACAAATTGGCTTCCTTTCATATATTTGTGGAGATAACAGACAATTCAGTTGCTGTCTGTGATTCAGTGTCAGTCAGGGTGGAGAGTTGTGTCCTTTGGTTTCTTCATGACTAAAGTGAATCCATGTGTTTGATTTATTGTTCCATGTTCATGTGTTCATTGGTTAATATTATAGTCGTTGCCAGGAGTCCTTTGTATCCAAGTGACGTTCTCCCTGGTGTCACAATGAGGAACAATTCACATATTAGTGCTAATGCTATTATGACATCAATGCTTAGTATCTTAATTACACTTCTATGAATAATCTGTCTTTCCATAAAGTAAAGAAGTTTTTTTCTGTCAAACTGAATATCTATTGGAGACTTTTTACATGACGTGACACACAATAATCCAGATGTATTTTGTCTTTATTTTTGGACTTGGAGGAAAGAGAAAGTTTCACTGAAAAGTTTTTGAAAATACTGCAAGCAAATACAGTGATCAAATCAAAATCTAATTTTATTTGTGTAGCACATTTCAACAGCAAGGCAATTCAAAGTGCTTTACATCACAACAAACACAAAAACACAAATCATACAACATAGAATCAGCAATTAAAACATGACATTAAGTCAAATGCCATCATTAAATTCATAATTGTTTATGTTTCAAATACAATTCTTAACAGGTGGGATTTTAGTTGGGATTTAAAGGAATTCAGTGTTCCAGCAATTTTCTGGGAGTTTGTTCCAGATTTATGGTGTCTAGAAGCTGAAAGCTGCTTTCTCTCATTGGATTCTGGTTCTGGGGATGCAGAGCAGAACCAGAAGCAGAACCTGAGAGATCTGGAAGGTTGATGCAACAGCAGAAAGTCTTTAATGTATTGTGGCGCAAAACCGTTCAGTGATTTGTAAACTAACAACAGTATTTTAAAGTCTATTCTTTGAGCTACAGGGAGCCAGTGTAGAGAGTTTAAGTCTGGTGTTATGTCTCTATCTTCCTGGTTTTAGTGAGCAGCAGCTTCTGGATCAGCTGCAGCTGTTTGATTTGTTGGACAGACGTGTGAAGACAGTGTTGCAGTAATCAATGCGACTAAAGATAAACACATGGATGAGTTTTTCTAGATCTGGCTGAGACATTAGTCCTCTAATGTTCTACAGGTGAAAGAAGGCCGACTTTGTAACTGTCTTTATGTGGCTCTGAATGTTCAGGTCACTACTCTCAGGTTTCTGACCTGATCTCTTGTCAGGATCTGTGTTTTTCTGTGTTTGATTTTGAATTTTCTGTGTCCGATTCTCCTGTCTTCCCCTTCATTGCTTCCAGGTGTGTCTCGTCTTCATGATTACCCTCTGTGTATTTAATCCCTCCTGTGTCCTTTGTTCCCTGTCTGGTCCTTGTCGTTGGTTGTCGAGTCATGCCTGTTGTCCTGGTCACCCGTATGACCAGTTTGCTACCGGTGTGAGCCCTGGCTTCTGCTCAGCCGTGCTGCCTGGCCATGGACTTGCTGTTTTGACTATGTTTTTGGATCCCTGTTGTCACCATTAAAAGCACCTTTTACATCTCTACCTGGGTCTCAAGCATCTGCCTCACCACCACATCGCACCAATTCATGACAGAAGGACCTGACCACAACCACAGAGAGACGCTGATTGCATCACAGACCCAGAAGGCTTGGAGGAACTAACTTTAACAATCAAGGAGTATGTCGAGGACATGGCCAAACCCTACGCCACGTGCAGACGGCTTGGTTTTGCAATTCGCCTGGGACTGCTGCATGACTACCGGGTTCCGCGGCTCCCGTACCTTGGGTTGGTGGAGCTGCAGCAGGAGGCAGAGTGGAAACGCCAAATAGCTCTCGCCTTCATGGTTGGTGACACTTTGCCTCCCAAGCCGGATGTTCCTATCTTTCGGTCCACCAACCCAGCTCCAGTCTGTGCCGCAGCAGAATCTGCCGCTGCTCCCGCCACTGCTCCCGGCATGGATTCTTTGGTGATGGGTTACCAGGCAGCCTGCCTGGTACCGGGTCGACAGGCGGGTCGACTGCCAGCTCGATTGGTGGCGTGGCCCACCCCAGCTCCGCTCTTGACCCTGCCACCTCTCCCGAGTCTGCTTCAGCCTTTCTGCCCCTCGCCGCGGCAGCAGCTCCTGCCGACGCTCCTGAGTCTCCTGAGGACTCAGGGACGCCAGTCAGTGGGCCTTCCCTAGTGCTCCTCCAGAGTCTCCTCTGGTAAAACTAAAGCCCCAACCAGCAAGTCAGTCAAAGCCAGAGACAGGATGAGGTAGTTTTTTTTATCCCGATCAAAAAATTGTGTGTACATAGTCATTTGTTCATATTGTGGAAAACAATATATTGGAGAGGCAAAAAATACATTAGTAGTATGAATTTGGCAACAGAAATATAACACATAAAAAAGAAACAGACACAGAGTTGGTTCAGCATTTTATTAATCATTGTTTGAATTCAGTTAAAATTTTGGGCATTCAAAGTAAAAAGAGAAAAAAATGGGAAAGATGGATTTATTGGTTGAACACAAAGAGCCCAAATGGATTACACAAAAAATAAACTAAAATAGGAACATCTGAATGATTTGATATTGAAACCAAAATTTTCTATCTAAATTCTACCCTTTTTCCTAACCTTAACCTTTCCCTAACCCTGACCATTCCGCTTTTCCCAACCCCAACCTCTTCCTAGCCTTAACATTTCCTCTTTTACTTTTGTTTTTATTTTTTTATCTTTTTTATACATTTGTATAAATTATGCATTTATTTTGTAAAATTCAAATTTTAATTTACACAAAACTAGCAAAACAAAAATACTTCACATAATAAATAAAAACAGAACCAGAATGAAAGAAAAGAGATCACAAAGACAAACATAGAGGGAGGAGTATAAAAATAGCTTAAAATCTTGTGACATCATATCAAAACCTGAAGAAGATGCACAGCAGTCGAAACATTGCTAAGTAGGCACGCATTTATTTAATTCATTTAATATACTTTATTTTACATAAAAAAGGGTTTTGGATCTTTTTTTCTGTTTTTTTATTCCTAAAAAAAAAACCCACACAAAATAACAAAAAAAAAATTACATAAACAATAAATATATTGATATATACATATTTTATGTAAAGACACCTAAAATAACATTTATTGACTGGGTAATAAAGCTGACTGGAGAAATCAAAAAACATGTGGCCAGAAGACACCTGGCAAGTGATTATGTATGGGAGGAGACAAAGGTAATGTCCCCCTATCTATTTCCACACAAGAGACAATGGAACATGGGGGAGGAAGGACCAAGCAGCTCTTGCATTCTCGAGGGGACAGGCTCGATCTTTCTTTCCTAATCCTAACCCTTCATTTATTTATCTACTTATTTAATGATTTTACTGTTAGGAATATGAATTAGTCAGTTTAGACGTTTTTAGGTTTTCTTTGAGTTTTAGGGAATTTTAAGACAGCCATGGTCACATATCCACATCGACAACTTTCTCATTTTCTCGGGTGCGGCCAGAAAACCGGGGAGCTGCAAATGGCATTGCGGTGGCCCGTGCATGACCTTCGACTCCCCAGGTTCAACTGCCCAGTCGACAGATGAAGTGGGGGGAGTTGTTGAATGATTTTACCCACCTAAACTTTCCTCTTTTATTTTTATTTGCTTTTATTCGTTTTTTTTAAATGACTTTTTATAAATTATACCTTTATTTTGTCAATGTCAATGTCAAATTTATTTATATAGCACTTTAAAACAGGTATAAAACTGCACCAAAGTGCTGCACAAGAACGACAGTAGCACAAATAGATAAAAACAAAATATCAAAAATTGCTTCAGTTAAAAGCCAACGAATAAAAATTAGTTTTAAGAAGCGATTTAAAATGATCCAGGCTGCTAGCAGATCTAATCTGAAAAGGCAAATTGTTCCATAAATTAGGAGCAACAACAGAAAAAGCCCGATCTCCTTTCCTTAGTCGGGTCAGAGGGACTGTAAGTAAAAGCTGATTTTACATTTATTTTGTAAAATTAAAATCTTAATTTACACAAAACTAGCAAAACAAAAATACTTCACATAATAAATAAACTCAGAATCACAGTGGGAAAAAAAAAAGACCACAGAGACAAACATAGAGGGAGGGGCTTCTAGGAGGAGTTGCAGGACGCCGGCCCTCCAGGACCAGGGTTGCCCACCCCTGCGTTAGACGGAGAGCTGGAAGCACATCTCCCCTCTCAGAAGAGGAAGTAGGAGCACATGTGAATGCTCCTCAATGGAACACATAAAGCGCTGGCAATTTAGGAGCATGTGCAATATCATTTCACTTACATTCATAATAAATCCCTAATCTCAAACCGTGGCATCCCTCCATGCCTCATCTACTTCAGATACCGTCATGTTGGATAGCATGCCTGTTTTGTGCCCACAGATTGACTGCAGGTAGACACTGAAGTGGCCATAACACCTTCATATGTTTAAGGCGGTGGGGGATTTCTCAAGTTCGTCTACAAAAACATAAATTAAAATGATGAAGCAGATAACAGAAAACACAATACAACATCTTGGTAAGTAAAGAGCTCAGGTAAGTGTCTGGATAAAACAGTGTCTGCCATTTAGGATATGATAATGACCCCAAATGGCAAACACTTAAGTCCTTTTTCACAGTAGTTTTGTATTAGAAAAATCTCCCTGAAATATTTGACCAGAAATGATCATAGTAAAAGCTCGTCTGAACCACCTGTAGAAAAAAGCATAAACCAGAGGATTTAACATAGAATTGGACCATCCTAACCATTTAAATCCTTCAATGGCTGCAACTGGTATTGTGACTATTCCCAAACTGTAAAAACCTATGGATAGAAAGAAAGGAGTCCAACATATGAGGAAGACTCCCATCACTGTAGCCAGAGTTTTGTTGGCCTTTTTCTCCATCTTACTGAGAGCTGCTTCAGACTTCATAGTGTTCTGGATTTGTCTTGCCTGTTTCTTCGCCACCATGAAAATCTTAAGATAGATTGATAAAATTATAATAGCTGGAATGTAAAATTGAAAAATGGTTTCAGGGCTGAATTGTTTTGTTGCTGTAAATAAATTACACCTCCTGCTGAGATTTTCTTGATTTATCCCACGTGCTATGATGACAACAGCGAATAGAGCTGAAAGAGTCCAGCTCACCAGGATCATGGTCAGAATTACACAAACATTCATTTTGCTTCTATATGTCAGAGGATGACACACTGCAAAATATCTGTCAATGGATACACAGCACAAATTTAAAACAGACGACGTGCAGAGTAAAATATCAAACAGGCCTCGCATTTTACAGAGTAAATAACTTGAACTGGAGCATGAGCTCAGAGACAATATGGTGCTGAAAGGTAAAACTAAAGCTCCAACCAGCAGGTCAGTCACAGCCAGAGAGAGGATGAGGTAGTTTGTTGGAGTGTGGAGCTGCTTGAAGTAAACGACAGAGATGATGACAAGAAGATTTCCACATATTATCAGAAGTGACAAAGAAACAACAAAAGCATGAAACACAGAAGACGTCACAGTCTGTCCATGCAGCTGTGCTGACTCATTACAGAAACGCTGATCTTCAACCATTTTTTCAGTCCTGTTATAAAACAAATCAATATTGAAAACAATAATGAACAAAAACAAATTTGCTTCCTTTCAAATATTTATGGAGATAACAGACAATTCAGTTGCTGTCTGTGATTCAGTGTCAGTCAGGGTGGAGAGTTGTGTCCTTTGGTTTCTTCATGACTAAAGTGAATCCATGTGTTTGATTTATTGTTCCATGTTCATGTGTTCATTGGTTAATATTATAGTCGTTGCCAGGAGTCCTTTGTATCCAAGTGACGTTCTCCCTGGTGTCACAATGAGGAACATTTCACATATTAGTGCTAATGCTATTATGACATCAATGCTTAGTATCTTAATTACACTTCTATGAATAATCTGTCTTTCCATAAAGTAAAGAAGTTTTTTTCTGTCAAACTGAATATCTATTGGAGACTTTTTACATGACGTGACACACAATAATCCAGATGTATTTTGTCTTTATTTTTGGACTTGGAGGAAAGAGAAAGTTTCACTGAAAAGTTTTTGAAAATACTGCAAACAAATACAGTGATCAAATCAAAATCTAATTTTATTTGTGTAGCACATTTCAACAGCAAGGCAATTCAAAGTGCTTTACATCACAACAAACACAAAAACACAAATCATACAACATAGAATCAGCAATTAAAACATGACATTAAGTCAAATGCCATCATTAAATTCATAATTGTTTATGTTTCAAATACAATTCTTAACAGGTGGGATTTTAGTTGGGATTTAAAGGAATTCAGTGTTCCAGCAATTTTCTGGGAGTTTGTTCCAGATTTATTATGTCTAGAAGCTGAAAGCTGCTTTCTCTCATTGGATTCTGGTTCTGGGGATGCAGAGCAGAACCAGAAGCAGAACCTGAGAGATCTGGAAGGTTGATGCAACAGTAGAAAGTCTTTAATGTATTGTGGCGCAAAACCGTTCAGTGATTTGTTAACTAACAACAGTATTTTAAAGTCTATTCTTTGAGCTACAGGGAGCCAGTGTAGAGAGTTTAAGTCTGGTGTTATGTCTCTATCTTCCTGGTTTTAGTGAGCAGCAGCTTCTGGATCAGCTGCAGCTGTTTGATTTGTTGTACAGATGTGTGAAGACAGTGTTGCAGTAATCAATGCGACTAAAGATAAACACATGGATGAGTTTTTCTAGATCTGGCTGAGACATTAGTTCTGAAATGTTCTTCAGGTGATAGAAGGCCGACTTTGTAACTGTCTTTATGTGGCTCTGAATGTTCAGGTCACTACTCTCAGGTTTCTGACCTGATCTCTTGTTTTTAGTTGTATTAGGTGAAGCTGTGCATTGTCTCTAATTTTATAACTCTTGATCTCTCTTCTTTTGGTCCAACAGTAATAACTTCAGTTTTGTTTCTGTTCAGTTGGAGAAAGTTTTGGCACATTTATTTGTTCTAAGCATTTATTCGGTGACTGGATGGTTCTGAGTCACCTGGTGATATCATAATGTAGAGCTGAGTGTCATCCGCATAGTGATGGTAGCTAATATTATTTCCTGTTTAAATTGAGCTCGTGGGAGCATGTAAATATTGAAAAAGAGGGGTCCTAAGATTGAACCTTGGGGTCCTGCACATATGACCTCTGACCTCTGATGAAAAGTTTCCAACTAAAACAAAGAAATCCCTGTTCTTTATGTAAGATTCAAACCAGTCGAGCACCGGACCGGAGAGTCCGACCCAACTCTCCAATCGATTCAGTAATATGTCATGGTCGACACTGAGGTCCAACAGAACCAGCAATCTGGTTCCCCTAAAGTCTGTATTTATATGGATATCATTGAACACTTTTGTGAGGGCAGTCTCCGTGCTGTGGCGAGATTGGAAACCAGACTGGAAGGAGTCAAAGCGGTTGGTTATTGTTAGGAAGCTGTTTAATTACTTGAACAGCTTTTCCAATAACTTTGCTAATGAATGGGAGGTCAAAAGTCGGCCTTTAATTCTGCAGCAGCGATTTGTCCAGATTGTTCTTTTTTAGCAGTGGTTTGATGACTGCTGTTTTCAAAGCCTGGGGGAAAACGCCTGATGAGAGCGATGAGTTACTATTTGGATCAGATCAGTAGCAATAAAAGGAAGGACTTTCTTAAAGAAATGTGTGGGTAGAACATCCAGACAGCAGGAATTTGAGCTTAATTGACTTTCAATTTCTTCTAGGGTTTTATAATTAAGTAATAGAAACTGGCTCATTTTTCCTATATTTGTTTATTAGGGTACAGCATTGGTATTGGAAAGTTCCTCCTTAATGCAATTTTCTAAGCAAGAGAATGAAACAAATGTAGGAAGCTGAGGATTGTGGGGAGGCGGTGGAAATGTGCTGTATTTCATATTTTAGTGAACTTAATGCAAATTTAACTCTCAACAATATCTGGACATCCAGACAAATGGCCCAGTTCAAGTCATGTGTTTAAATTCTGATGTCCTTCCAACAAGAAGATTCACACGTATACATTTAAAAAATGTGAAAGCAACAACAACATTACTGATGAAGTAAATTGAAACGTGAAATACACACAAAGCAAAAAATGTGCATGTTCAGAGCGCCATTGGTTTTACTTCATAGGCATGGCATGGAAGACTAACTATTTAGAGAGAAAAACCAGAAACAAAATATTAATCAGAACACAATTCTGCATATATTACATCAGTTTTGTATTGGAAAAATCTCCCTGAAATATTTGACCAGAAATGATCATAGTAAAAGCTCGTCTGAACCACCCGAAGAAAAAAAAAGTCCACTTGATTAAAATGTTTTTGAACTTACAACTGAACAAATGCCACATTTTATGACTGTTGAAGTGTGACTCTCACTTTCTATTTACACAGAAAAAGTCATTGAGCTCTCTGACTTAATAAAAACATTAACTTAAGACTGACAGAAGTAATTGATTATAATGCTTTAACGTACTTTACACAAGGTCCAGGTTAAGTCCAGGCCTCCAGACCTACCATCCTGCTTCTGTTAGAACATCACTGCTCCAACACAAGCAAAGCAAACAGCTGATATTTGTTATGAGCAGTCGGATGCTTATGAATATGCCTGGTAAATTTATGAATTTGACTTGGGTTTGTTGGAAAAGAGATACATCTAAACGTTCTGTGGTGATAGGCCTAGAATGCTGAACTCCATCTCCTTTACACACAAGAACAACCAAAACTAAAGTTACAGACGCTGTCCAACGGTCCTCACATTCCTCGCCTTTAGTGGGACGAGAGGAACAAAAGCAAATAGCTTATGAGAATTACTTTACGTTCATTTACTTGTTCTGTTACGTAAGAAAAACTTTCTTTTGTTGTTTTTACTTTTGTGTAATATTTTAATAGTAAGATGAACTTTCCTGTGACTATGTTTAAGTGTTTCATGTGTGAAACTCAAAGGATTATGCAGAGAAAAGCATAAAGGTGACAAATCTAACACACTAAAAAAACATAAATAGATGTTTTTTATTTTTTAAGAAAGTGGGAACATCAAAAACAAGAGCAAAGACAAACACAACACATTTGTTAGACCTTTACAACTTTGATGCTGACGTTATCAATAAATATAAATAATTTCAATTTAATCTCATTTTTTACTATCGCTACAATATGCGGCCAACGATAAACAATCTATTGACATACATCGGATCATATCAACATAGTTATTTATATATCACAACAATTTTGTATTAGAAAAATCTCCCTGAAATATTTGACCAGAAATGATCATAGTAAAAGCTCGTCTGAACCACCTGTAGAAAAAAGCATAAACCAGAGGATTTAACATAGAATTGGACCATCCTAACCATTTAAATCCTTCAATGGCTGAAACTGGTATTGTGACTATTCCCAAACTGTAAAAACCTTTGAATAGAAAGTAAGGAGTCCAACATATGAGGAAGACTCCCATCACTATAGCCAGAGTTTTGTTGGCCTTTTTCTCCATCTTACTGAGAGCTGCTTCAGACTTCATAGTGTTCTGGATTTGTCTTGCCTGCTTCTTTGCCACCATGAAAATCTTAAGATAGATTGATAAAATTATCACAGTTGGCATGTAAAATGTAAAAATTGGTCCGGGGCTTGATTCCTTTGTAGCTATAAATATCTTGCACCTCCAGGTGGGATTCACTTTACCGATCCCACGGACTGTGATGCTTATCGCCAGTAGAGCTGAAAGAGTCCAGCTCACCAGGATCATGGTCAGAATTACACAAACATTCATTTTACTTCTATATGCTAGTGGATGACACACTGAATAATATCTGTCGATGGATATACAGCACAAGTTTAAAATGGATGATGTACATAGTAATATATCAAACATATCTCTTATTTTACACAACAAATAACTTGAATTGGAGCATGAGCTCAGAGACAATATGGTGCTGAAAGGTAAAACTAAACTGCCAAGAAGCAGGTCAGTCACAGCCAGAGAGAGGATGAGGTAGTTTGTTGGAGTGTGGAGCTGCTTGAAGTAAACGACAGAGATGATGACAAGAAGATTTCCACATATTATCAGAATTGACAAAGAAACAGCGACAACATTTAAAGCATAAGACATCGCTGTCTGTCCATGTAGATCTGCTGACTCATTACAGACACGCTGATCATCAATCATATCATCGGTCCTGTTGAAATAGAATCAATAGTGACAATACAAATGCACTTGTTTTCAGATTTTAGTCCAGTGTGTGATTCATTCTAAGCTTTGCAGTAAATGTGAAGACCAGTGTTTTTAACTCTGGTCCTGTCCAAGCAGCCTCTTGTTAGATTTATTGCTTCATCTCCATGTGATTATTGGCTCAACTGGTTTGTGTCTTTGGTATCCACGGTGACGTGTTCCCTGGTGTCACTGATGAGACTCATTTACATTTTAGTGCTAACTGAGTTGTGCGTTTACTTTAGATCTTCTTTGCCCTTTTGGTCTTACAAATACATAACCACGATGCATTAACATTTCAGTCATTTAGAGTAGATAAAGGTGTAAACAGCAAAATAGCAGGATGTTTCTAAAAAAGGAATTGACTGTGCAACACAAATAATGACCTGGCCAGACGGTGCTCAAAATACTAAAACATCATTTAAAAAAAGCTTTGAGGCAGACACATTTTCCATGAGGAATTTTAATTATCGAGGTACTCGAATCATTCGAGGAACCGTTGCAGTCCTTAACAACACTTTATAAAACGATAAGCAAACGTTCGCGGCTAGCCTCTGGTGTCTGACCCGAGATTTATTGCTCCATGAGTTCCGGCGCCAGAATCAATGTCGCAAAGTCCTGCATTCCTCAAAATCAGCCAATCAGAAGCCTCAAAAACCAAGATTCAAGTGTATCTTTGTTAAATTAGTTTTTTGAACAGGATTTATGCATTTCGGACCAATGGAAATATGAGATTTCATGCGGATGCACACAATGTCTGATAGATTCACCAATGTAGCTCTGATCAATTATTGTTACTTATATTCTGAATGCTCAATGAAGACATGGTTCAAGTGCTTTTTATTGATATGTTATTATTTCAAGTGGTTTCATTGGCAGAAGGCAAGCGGTTGCAGACTGTTCTTTGAAGATGAAAGCATAGGGCTGATTATAGCATCACTGGGCTCATGGCTGGAGTCATTGCACCAAAACATTAATAATAATAATAATAATAATAATAATAATAATAATAATATTAAACAGGTTTTCACTGAGGCTTTGTAAGCGCCATATGAATGAAATAAGTAATTACTGATATGACAGGAGCAGGTGGCTTTGACGATGTGGGCTGTCAATAAATATGAATTGGAGGTTATCGGCCTGCTGGCCTTGAGTGAATGAGGAAGCGATGAGTGGGGTAGTCAGTCTTTGAAAAGTTTGGAGTCAAATAATCAAAAAAAAATTATTATTTCTTTTAAGGTGTTGGCATAGAGTATAATTCAGAAAACTGGCACAAAATTTTATTTGAAACTTCTGTATGAACATCAAGAAAAGAGTTAAGACAAGGAAAAAGAAAATGGTTATAACAATGTATTAGAATAACATAAACAGATCTGGGAGGCCTCGCTAATTTCTAACACAGAGACTTGCTATTTCTTTCATTAGCCCAATTCACAGAGTGAACCACTACGCAGTTCAATAAAAAAGACAGATGTTTTCAAGGCGGCTCTATTTCTGTTAAGTACTATGAATTTCTGCCAACAAAAATAAATGTATTTGTTAAATTAGCAAAACACACTGTTCAAACAATTAGGTATAGAAATCTTAGCCCAGTGAAGTGTTTTAAATTCTCCCTGAACATCATCGTCATACGCAACTCTTAATCTGACAATCATTGCAATGCACAGTTCAATTGAATAATAATTCAGTGATGAGGCATGAAGTGCTAAAAGTATTTGAAATCACGCAGGTAGTGTAGGTTGTCATGGACGACACTGTTCCCAACTTTCCAAAAGACAGAAACAGGAAGCTTTCAATTGGGAATAAATTATGTGATAGATGACAGTTTCATTATGTTACAGATTAAAATAAAAAATATAATACCTTCTATTTTCTTTTCGGATTTGTAATATTTCACAGTTGAAAGTAATGAAAGTCAGCAAGATGTATCTTGTAACATTACAAAATTCTACCATGTTAAACTAAAATATTGTGAACAATAAAGACATAACATGTTCAATTGGATAAGAATCAAAATATCTCACAAAGTTGCATTGGAAAAATCTCCTTGAAATATTTGACCAAAAATGATCATTTTAAAGGCCTGCCTGAACCACCTGTAAAAGAAAGCATAGACTAATGGATTTAACATAGAATTGGACCATCCTAACCATTTAAATGCTTCCATAACAACAACAGGTATAGTGAATTTTCCCATACTGCATAAACCTAAAGATAAAAAGAAAGGAGTCCAACACATGAGGAAGACTCCCAATACTACAGTCAGAGTTTTGTTGGCCTTTTTCTCCATCTTACTGAGAGCTGCTTCAGACTTCATAGTGTTCTGGATGCGCCTCGCCTGCTTCTTCGCCACAATTAAAATCTTAAGGTAGATAGTTAAAATGATAATAGCTGGAATGTAGAATTCAAAAAATGGTCCAGGACTGGTTTCCTTTGTAGCTATAAATATAGCACACCTTTGGTTGAGATTTCCTTGAGTTAACCCACGTCCAATGATGCTTATCGCCAGGAGAGCTGAAAGAGTCCAGCTCACCAGGATCATGGTCAGAGTAACACGGACATTCATTTTACTTCCATACGTCAGAGGATGACACACTGCAAAATATCTGTCAATGGATATACAGCACAAATTTAAAATAGATGACGCACACAGCAAAATATCAAACAGGCCTCGCATTTTACAGAGTAAATAACTTGAACTGGAGCATGAGCTCAGAGACAATATGGTGCTGAAAGGTAAAACTAAAGCTCCAACCAGCAGGTCAGTCACAGCCAGAGAGAGGATGAGGTAGTTTGTTGGAGTGTGGAGCTGCTTGAAGTAAACGACAGAGATGATGACAAGAAGATTTCCACATATTATCAGAAGTGACAAAGAAACAACAAAAGCATGAAACACAGAAGACGTCACAGTCTGTCCATGCAGCTGTGCTGACTCATTACAGAGACGCTGATCTTCAACCATTTTTTTCAGTCCTATTGGAAAAAAAAATCTTTGAATAAAATCTTGCCTGCTTTGATGGAGTTGTGGAGATGGCAGATGTTTAAGTGCTCTGTGCTTCACTGTTCGTTTCACACGAAGCTGCACATTGTGTTCTCCACGACTGAAAAACACACTTATACTAGATTTATTATTCCATTTTCATGTGTTCATTGGCTAAACAAGTTAGTGGGTGTAGCCAAGAGCAACAATATGCAAGTCATTTATGCCATTAGTGCTGAAGGCAGCGTAGTCATGCTTGCTTGACTTTGATGACCTTTACATATCATGTTTGTTAAACTCACACAGGGACAAATTTGCAGTTCAAACTAAGTATGCATTCATGCTGCATCGGTTCAGATTTGTTTGAGTGGTCGTTCAAATAGATTCGACTTGTATGTGAATCTCCTGTGTTGTACTGACTGTCAACCAAAAATCAGATATATGTCGCATAAGGTAAAAAAAAAAAATCTGATTTGGATTACTTCGGACTGCTGTGTCTGAAGTAACATATAAAACATTAGCCTAAATCATATAGTTTAATTAGGCTTGGTAGATTCAAGCGCTACGAAGGCCCATTACAATGCCATGATTTCTGCATGAAAATAGAAACTTGTATCTAAAAACTCACCAAGCTTTGACCAAAATTGTTAATGGAATCAAAAAGAAGCCTGGAAAAACCGCTCCACAAACAAAATCATAAGATAGATACAAAGCATCAAGAATCACATTGCAATGTGGAATGTGACAAATGAAACACAGCTGATTGGAGGTGACACAGACTTCAGAACCTGTGGCTTTAACTGAGCTGTGCTCTTTGGTTCCTATCAGTCTGCGATTTCTCATGCTGAGGTTGTCAAACCAAATTTCAGATCTTCTGACTATGAGCAACCATATATTTATATATAAAATCAACATCAATATTTCCACTAAAGAAGAGTCAAAGATAATTAGCATATTTGACAGAGGAAAAGCCTCTCAGACTCTGAGCTCAAAGCCAGAGGCCAGAGAACACCAAACTATTTTTTTTTCTAAATGATGGACAATTAATTTAATTGGACATAATTATCACAATAGAATCCATTTGTTTAAGTACTTAATGAAAACACATTGACCGTGTTTGATGTTTGTTGTGAATGAGGTATACTGGCTAACGAATGAGGTAATTAGTCGGAGTTTGTCGTGTATTTAACGTTCAGAAATTACAGCGGCTGTGATGCGTCACAGCAGAGGTAAAATAACCCAAACAGGTGATCAAATCAAAACAACTTGTACCTCTTTACTCTCTCTTTGTCATTTTGGTACACCTGTTGCCTTGGCAACCACCTGGGCCCCACAAACCGAGCAGAGGTTACGTTAAAAACATGGCATTCAGTCATTACCATATTAGGTTTTCAGGCTCGATGTTTATTTTGCAAGATTTGCATCTTTGACCTGCTCTGGCTCTTTCTGGAAGCATCTCTTTGCCTCTATGGAAGTGTTTTGCAGGGATGCTATTTTTTGACAGAGAGTATCATTCTCAGTTTGTAGATCCACGTTCAGCATTTTGTTCATCTTCACCATCTCACCTTCATCTTAACATGCAATTTTCTGTCATCTGCTTCCTAAAGGTTCAAACATCGGCTTCATGCTTCTTGACCATTTCCAGGTTTGCCTCGTTGACTTGCTCCAGATCGCTCTGGAGACGAGTCTCTGTTTCTCTGGAGGCATTTTGCAAGGATGACAGTTTTTGATGAAGATCCTCATTCTCAGCTCCTGGACCCGCCTTCAGTGTTTGGTTCATTTTCATCACCTAAACATGAGCGTCTTTGTAACAATTTAACTTCTCCTATATTGATTCTACTTGTTGTATCAGGGTTTCAACATCAGTTTGGTAATTGGTTTTTAGTTCCTGGTATGATTCTTTCATCTCCGTGTTGTCAGATGTCACTGCCATTGACTTCTTCAGTTTTGTTTTCACCCTTCACATTCTTAAGAGGCTTTTAGTTTGTGGTTGCTCAGAGTCAGCTGTTCTTTCTATATCCAGCTCTTCCTCCAATGTTGCCGCCTGTTCTGACAGATTAATAATGTCAGTTTGAAACTTAGTGAAAACTTATTAAAATAAGGCTGGACGTTCCTCCATCTTTCTCTGTGAAAGTGTCACCTTTTCTTGAGGAGATTTTAGCTGTTGGAGAGCATTATGCCACCGGTGTTTGATTCTTTTTTTGTCTCACTTCCCATTGTTTTCATTAAACTTACATTCTTGCAACTTGAGTTTTGCGTCATGCAATTCTTTTTAGAGGCCATTTGCTTTTTGGTTTTATTGATTGAATCTGACTCTGTCTACATACAAAAGAGGCTTGAGCCTGTTAATCTTCTCTTCAATATAATTACCACCCTGGGTATTTTTGCCTTGATTCCAGGCATTTTGCTTGGCCTTAACTACAAAGATGAGCTTTGTGACCTCCAAGTTGATTCTGTATCCAAGGACATATTTCCAAGAAAATGGACACGAAAAGTTTTGAGCAGCTAAAGGACCAAACCTTCCACTGAGACTGGCCTAAGACGCACTGATGGAAGGTCTTCTTCCATCCAGCACCACTGACCCGGCTGAGAGCCTTGTGTCAATAAAAACAGGTTCTCTAGATTTTCACTGCCCCAGAAAATGGCTTTGATTCGAGTAGAAAATGATTCATTTCTTTTCATTTTGTAGGAAAATAAAGGGAGATATTTTTTTTTACTTAAATCTGTTGAGTTCAATTTGAATATCTCAAATGAAAGTTTTTGATTTCTATTAAAAATATGTCTTTATGATGCAGTAGAGTTGCTTTAACTCACTGTGACAAACGTAACGGTTTGTTTTCTAATGCAAAGACATAATGCAACCCAACACCTGCAGTCATTAAAGGTGTAAATGACCACAGAGGCTTCAGTCCCTGAGCTGCTGGTGCTGCAGAACTTTTCTTCTCCCCAAGGTCTGCATTATGTAACCAAGCCAACTGTCTCAATGCAATTATGTCCTATTTACAAAGTTTCCAATAAAGTTAGAAAATAAACAAGGAATACTTGGGTAAGACAGACGGTGTTCTTTTTTGTGGTTACCTCAGCCACAATGTTTCAGAGAGGCAGACGACTTTGTTGGTGTTAAGGTTTCCTGTTTTCTATATCCAATTAGTTATCCATTTTTTTTCACTACTGTGAAAAGTCTTAAGAATTTTGCTTACAATATGCGGACTGACTTCAATTTCGGTCCAGCATTTCAATCAACCTTAACCAGGATTATTCTCTGCTAAGACAATTGGCTATTTTAGCCATCTGAGGCCAAAGCAAAGCATGAAATGCAACATTAAAAATTTCTTTTACACATACCTCTAAAGTAATCAAAATTTTTCCACACTTAGTTGACAAATGTGAAAATATAGAACACAATAGAGCTTTCAGAAACATTCCATTGAATAGTTCCACTTTGGCTGCAGTGATAATCCCTGTCTAATCTGTGTCAGGCTGTAAAAGAACCAGGTTCTGGTCTGCACCTCAGAGTCAACGGTTCATGATCAGGTCACGGCTCCTTGCTACAGGAAACACAGTGAGACGGAGAGGAAATGCGTCAAAGATTTTAGTTGTACAAGTCACTTTTATTTGCATCGCACATTTTAGAACAAGGCAGTTCAAACTGCCATAGCTAAAAAAAAATACATACAGTCACAAGTTGACTGGGTGACTGATGACAAAATCCCATCATTAGCATCATCAGTACACATCAAATATGTTGATCAGTGTTCCAATTACTATGATTCAAGATCAACTTGAACCATAATAATGATGCCTTTATTTAAGGCCCTCAGTGGTTCAACTTTTTTTTTGTTTTCTGGAAGTTTGTTCCAGCTTCGTGGTGCATAGAAGCTGAATGCTGTTCTCGTGTTCTCCATCAGCAGGTCTTTATTGCATACTGGTGCCAAGTCATTCAGTGATTTATAAACTAACAACAGTATTTTTAGACTCGAGTTTTGGGTTCATCAGAGATGGAAAAGATGCTAATGAACCCTGATGAACCCTGGTGGAGCTTTGTATCATGGTGTGGGACCATGTAAAGTGAGCAGAACAATAAAAACACTAATCCCATTACAGGAGACAAAGTATTGGTGGGGAATATAAATACCTTAGTGTTCATCGAAATATGACGCAAAAATATTCTTCATAAAATCTGACAATTTATAAACAACCCTGAGCATCGTCCTCGTCAGTGTTATCAGTCAGAGGGTTCTTCAGATTTACTGTGATACAGACTGCTACAGGAGTTCCTTCCTGCTCACAGTCATCAGTATCTGCAATGACTCTTTAAAGAATGCTGGATGATATGAACTGCAACATCTATTTATTTCTGTGTTCAATAAAGTGTTTTTGATTTCAAATTTTAGCATTTGTCCAAATGATAAAAAATCTAGTTGAATCAGACCATTTAATGTGTGCGACTTTGACCGGATATGTACCAAACCTGTGTTTGACAAATGTATAAAACCAAAAAAAAAAAAGAATAACTAAAAATAAATAGTGATGTGCAAAAGGAAAATTGGTCAGCAAATGAAAGAAGAACTTTATTGACGTTAAAGATTTTTGCATTAATTATTGAGAAGGTTTAAATAGTTCTTGACATGCTGTTTCTTTATGCAAATAAAAATAGACTACGTACTTTTTCAAAACTATACTCCTGTTACATGGTTTTATCATGAATCATCATTTATAAGAAAATCCCAATACATAAAGTACAGCGGTATATGAATATCAAAATAATCTGGAGTTGGCTGAATCGCTGCGGAATATCTTTCCTGAGACGACCATCCTGAAAGCTGACCGGAACCAGCTGTAAAAGAAGGCATAAATCAAAGGATTCAGCATTGAATTTGACAGCGTGAGCCAGTTCAGTGTTTCTATCACAGGAAGTGGTGGTGGGTTGTAGTATAACGGCTGGAAGACGACGCAGATAAAGTAGGGAGTGAGACACAAAAGAAACACTCCCATCACAATTGCCAGGGTTTTGGTGGCCTTCCTCTCCGTTCTGCTCGCCGTTGCTCCAGACTTCACGCTCTGGCCGTTTGTGCTCTGGATGCTGTTCAGTTGTCTCTGAGCAACCAGAAAAATCTTAAAGTAAATGCAGAGCATTATGACTGCCGGAAGGTAAAAGGAGAAAACGGGTCCCAGAGTGTTGGCCACTATGATATCAACGGAGCATGTGTCCTCACATGCGCCTTGGCTGAATCCCGCAACAATGATGCCGATTCCTATTAGAACAGAGACGCCCCAGCTGAACAGGATCATCGCCCCGGTTACCCGAGCGTTTATTTTCGTCCTGTACGTCAGGGGCTCGCACACCGCATGGTATCTGTCTATGGAGATGCAGCACAGGTTGAGAATAGAGGACGTGCACATTGTGACGTCAAAGCTGTCGCGTATTTTGCAGAGCAAACTCTCGTAGTGCATGCATGAAGTCACGGTGATCGCCATGCTGAAGGGGAACACCAAGACCCCGACAAGCAGGTCGGCGACAGCAAGAGAGAGAATGAGGAAGTTGGTAGGAGAGTGAAGCTGTCTGAAGTAAATGATGGAAAATATTACAAGAAAGTTTCCACAGACGGTGATTACAGACAGTAATCCAAAGAAAATGTACAAAGATACACATATGACAGAGGGGTTATTTGGAAACATGTAAGTGTCATTAGCTGAAATGTAGCAGGGATGCATGGGGTCATTGCTGCTGCTGACCATAAGGTCTGCATCCATGCTGAAGAATTCACTGGTAACAACCTGACGATGAGAAAAGCATTCAGGATTCAGTTGAGCGTGTTGCAGGTTTGCTATACGGACTGTTTTCACTCACCCTCACCTTGCGATGTGTCTACAGCTCAGCTGTGTGCACATGGATTATAGGATCCATTTTTCATTACCATATTGACCACATGATTTGATTAGCCAATTAGATGTAAGCTCCTTTATTATGTTTGCATAATATATGCATTTTAGTGTGGAAACAGGTTCCCTTACAGGGAAATAATCCAAAGAAAACTTTCAAAAATAGTCATCTTCATACAACCAGCAAGATTCATGAATGCCATTTCAAGAAATATATTTACGTTTTTGTGAACACTCCTCACAGCAACTCTATTCCTGACTGGCATTTCAGAACTCCAGTGATTTTTGATGTTGAAACACCAACAGCGTGTATGAATGTTGCATAATGTTGTTTGTAGATCTCACTGAAACTCGGATGATGTTCGGAGTTATTCCATTTGTGATCTAATTTTTAAAATTAACTTTAAAGCATCAAGTGGTTTTTGCCTCAATTGTGCAGATTAAAAGTGAAACTAACTCACAGCATTTTACTTGCATGAGTCTGTCTGAGGCTGCCGATCAATCAAAACTAAGATAAAACTGGTTTGCCTATATATAGACCACAGTTGGTACATTTCTGGTCGAAACAGGAACAACAGTTTGTAGCACCAGTTTAGTGATTGGAAACATAAATAAAGTAAAAGTATATGTATTTGTTTCTTATTACATAAAATACCCAGAGTTAAATCATTCCTGTGTTTAGTTTCAAAGTTGAGGTCATTTCAACACATAATGTGGAAAAGATTTGTCATGAAACATTCATGCTGATTCAATAAAACATTGTGGAGACTGATTTTAATGCCAGGTTAATCAAAACAATAAAAACAAAAAAGCTGTCGTATCTAATTATTCCATAGGAGGCTACATTTCCTCTGTGGGAGTTGCCTCAACAAACAGCATTCCTTGAACATTTACAGAAACGCAAGCGCTCCTCATCTCATACTATCAGACTAGCTTTCTTTTCAAAGCTACGCACAGATATCAGAAACAGCTGGAGCTGACAGATCAGATGATAAGCATCAGACAGCAGTCAAAGTTGAGGCCAAATCTGACTGGGTCAGATGTTTAGATGAGGACTAATTCAACGTTTATCTAGAGCAGGACAGGCAAACCTGCGTCTCTCCAGCACCTGGTGGCTCTTTGACGGCTCCTTCGTGGCTGTTTTCATTTATTTATTTATTTTAAATTGCTGCTTAAAAATAATGATTCTGTAGCGACACAAAAAATTCCCACATTCCTTGAAGGTATCGTTGACAAAAGCAATGTGACGTGCATGTAGCGCTTAAAGGTAGAATTCTATTAAGATAGTGCTGCTATTGACCAGATAACAATAACAGTCATTTTATTTATGATGCTCTTATTGAAGATTCAAAGGGCTCATTCACTAACCGATGATGTCAAGCTACTGGATGCAATCTGAGAGAATAATTTCTTCAAATAGTGGATTTTTGGGCATCTTGTATATAAGAAGATACATATGGAACATATAAAACCTGTGCTGGAAATTATGAATTTTAATTACAGTTTTCTGGGTTGACAATTGGAAGTAGATCAACAAAACTAATTTATACAATAATTTACTGGAGTGTATGAGTCATTTAAAACTCATTTATGCTTTTATTGTAAGCTATGGCAGTTAGGTTGAGCTTTATATATTTCTCTTTACTAGTCTTTGAAATAGGCTTTAATCTGATTCATATATTTTCATACATTTTGGTCTTTTTTGTTGTCGGCATCTTGTGTAAATGTATCGTAAATAAACACTATACTGTAGAAACATTAACGTTTATTCACTTTATGAACATCAATTCCCAGGGAAAGTTATATGTCCATTAAAGCATAAGGTTAGAAGAGCTTTGTGTTTGCACAGTTTCCTTGAAAAATCTTTCCAGAAATCATCATTCTGACAGCTGAGCGAAACCAGCTGTAAAAGAAAGCGTAAATAAAAGGATTCAACATAGAATTCGACAAAGTTAGCCAGTTTAGAGTTTCAAGAAGAGAAATTGGTGTTACATCGAATGTTAAAGGCTGAAAGACGATGCACAGAAAGTAGGGGCTCCAGCACAAGATAAAAACCCCCATCACAACAGCCAGGGTTTTTGTTGCCTTTCTTTCCGTCTTGCTAACAGCTGCAGTTGACTTTTTGCTTCGACAGCCAGTGCTGTGGATGTTGTTCAACTGACTCTGCGCAACAAGGAAAATCTTTAGATAAATACCAAGCATTATAATGACTGGGATATAGAAAGAAAAAATACATGCCAAAGTGGTCGATATCAAAGCATCAATTACACAATCCCCTTCACATTTTCCCTGATTGAATCCTGCAATGATGATACCGATTCCAATTAAGGCCGCCGTGCCCCAGCATCCCAGAATCATTATTGCAATGATACGATCAGTCATTGTACTTTGGTAAGTCAGCGGCTTACACACGGCGTGATACCTGTCAATGGAAATGCAACATAGGTTCAAAATCGAAGCTGTGCTCAGCGTTACGTCAAAGCTGCCTCGCACTTTGCAAAACAAATCTTCGTCATACCAGCATGAGGTGACAGTTACCGCCATGCTGAAGGGGAAAACTAAAACGCCGACAAGCAGGTCGGCCACAGCGAGGGAGAGGACAAGGTAGTTGTTGGGAGTGCGGAGCTGTTTGAAGTAAATGATTGACGTTATCACAAGGAGATTTCCACACACTGTTAGGAGAGACAGTAAGCCGAGGAAAACATACAGCGCCACACAAATAAAAGAAGGATTGCTTATAAATTTGTAAGATGAGTCGTATGATTCATAACAGGGATGAATGGTAGATCCACTAGCATTCACCACGGCTTCCATAGTGGAGGATATCTGAAATATCACAATCAATATAAATACATTTTACTATTAAAAACCACAACATCAACACCAGAATGGATCGTACACATCAAAACATCAGAATAAAACTCATGTAGTTTACCAAGCATGTCAGAATGCACTCACTCTCTTCCCTCTCTGTGTATTACCTTGCCAACATGCCTGACAAATAAATAGGGGAGTCCGTCTAATTATCATAATGAATGCAAACGTTCAGTCACCAAGTCAGATGGGACACACTTCAACTTGTCCATGGTGATGTGAATATATTAGTTTAGCTCTGTATATGTGATGGACAGATTTGGTTTAGTGTTGGTAACCACTGAGCATTTTAATGGGGTACATTACTGTAACCTATTCAGAACAAATGAAAACTGAGGCCTTGTCAACATGTAACCTTGTCTTTTTAAAATGATGTAGTGTTACAACACATTGGAAAATGGATAGATGTGGAGATACCTATGTCACCAAGACTATGCTTACTGGGGGATCAAACAGTGATACCTAACATGTCAAAACAACAAAACACCGTGGTGCAGGTGGGGACGGTTACAGCTGCCAGAATAATCCTCAGACTATGGAAATCATTAACTGTCCCGAATATCAAAAGTTGGTTGGGATCAATGTTGGAAATAGTATCATATGAACAAATGCTGGCTAAGTTAAATGATGACTTAGAAAATTTTAAGAAGTCTTGGAACAATTTTCTTTCCTGCAATATTGGGACAAGCAAACCTCTTTGAGGAATTACTGTTTTGACAACAGTGTTTATTATAATCTTTTGTTTAGTATGGTTGATTATGTTAACACCCAGGATGTTTGTATATGCCAATTTTTTGTGAAAAATTTTATTGATTTGATATATGTAGACCTGGATGCTTTTTTTTTTTCTCTGTTTTTTGTTTTCTGTAAGGGGATACGGGGAGGTTGGGGGAGGGTAATGTACATATGTTCAAAAAATGTTCAAAAAAATAAAAACTTTAATAATAATAAAAAAAATAAAATGATGTAGTGGAGACATTCGCTTTTATGAAATAATCTCGTCCAGACCTGATCAGCTAAAGAAAAAAGTTCATCCACACAAACTTGATGAATTACAGTACTGAGTGGTGTCTTAAACATGTCAAACCCGTAGAGAGCAGCAAAGACAAAACCTACATCAGCCAGTCACAACCCTTCAAAACATAAGTGTGAACAAGCAGACAGGTTGAACCACTTTTAAATACCGTGTTAGAATATAAAGTTAAAACACAAGAAGATGTCGACTGGAAATCATAATAAAGTAAATATTTGGACACATATAGAGGTTTAACAGCATTGTGACTCTGTATCGGCAGGGACAGGTAGCGCTGACCTCAAAATCTCCGGTTTCCGAGAATTAGCAAATCTTCCCATATATTGTATATATATTTGGGACTGTCATTTCATTCAGCTATTTGCATGAGGGTAGTATCTTTACACTGTCCCACAGGTGAAATGCAAAGCATCTTTTTCTTTCTTTTTTCCTTTATCCCTGTTCAAACTACAAAAACACAAATGATTGTACATGTAATAAATATTACATGACCCAGAATCACAGTGACTCTAGAGTCTTTAGAAGGTCGTCGAAAACCATCATTTTTAACTCTGTTCTTTGGCCGTATGTCCTTGCAGATATTTGTCGTGACAGCTTTCATTGTTTTCTGTGCTTGCGAAGAGTTTGCTGGTAACTTGCATTTAAATGCTTTCTTCAGCTGAATTTGTTTGAGGGCAGAGGCACATTGTGTTTGTGGGTGATGTCTTGTTAATTGGTTTCAGATTGGTTGTGTTTCCACAGTATTTCACACCCACAAAGCAAATCTTACATACCGTTCAGTTCTTCTCCAGTTTATTGCTTTGTGTTTTAAATACAAAACACTTCCACACATTTACCTTCAAGTCTGTTGACAGTGATTTCAATCCTTCCACCAAGTTGCTTTGCAATGATATTAGTGACATGTAGTAATGATATCTTGCTTCTTCTTGAACTTTTATTGCTGTTTGGGACTCTAGTGCATTACCACCACGGCCCAACACGAGACCAGAAGGTGGGTCTGGGAAAGATCTGACTTCATGGGAGAGATCTTGACTTATGGGGAAAAGATGTATTGAAAGAATCAATTTAAGGCTTCTATGAATGGATATCCGGCATTTCAAAGAAAATTTGATTCAAATCAATTAATTAATTTTTTAAAAAACATTCCTAAATCTGTTGCTTTGCAACAAATTTCTATTTGTTGAGACCAAGAACAAATGGAACATTTCATAACGCATATTAGACAAATGTGATTGAAAGCCTTCATGTAGCCCATATACAGTCATTTAATTTGAGTGTGTAAATAAGACATTATTGAAATATGGTGACAGTCTACAAAAAAAACATCTTGAACAAAAAGGAGTTTAATTTAATCAGTTTTACATTGATAAATAGTTTTTCCATTTCACTGACAAAGATTTTGCTTCGACAAAGCTTTGTTTGCAGTTAACATATTCTTAAGCACATACAAGCACTCATACAGCTACAGCTGCTATCAGCTCATTTCACTGAGGCATCAGGGATTTACTCTCAGAAAAACATCAAACATCAAAAAAGTTTGAAGTCAGTGAAATCTCCCGAAACGATTTTTCCTGAAATAATCATCCTGAACGCTGACCTGAACCACCTGTAAAACAAAGCATAAATAAACGGGTTGAACGTTGAATTGGACAGAGCAAGCCAGTTGAGGATTTCTACCAGAGGGCCAGGCCGGGAAGCGTTGCTGAACGTAAAAACGGTTGTACATAAAAAGGAAGGCAGCCAACAGAGCAGAAAAACTCCCATTACAATCACTAAGGTTTTAGTGGCCTTCCTCTCCATCTTACTGACAGATGCCCCGGAGCTTTTCATGCTCTGGATGCTGTGTGCTTGCTTCTGCGCGACAAAAAAGATCTTTACGTAGATGCATATCATTACCAGAAGTGGTAAGTAAAACGTAATCAGAACAATCAGAATTTTTCCCAGCACAACGGTAAACAAACAGTTTTGTCCACATTTTGATCTGTTAAACCCGACCAGACTGACTGCAACCACAGCTGGAACTCCCCAGCTCACCAAGATCATCACCACAATGACATGGCTGCTGATTTTAGTTCTGTATGCCAGCGGCTGGCACACTGCGTAATACCTGTCAACAGAAATGCAACACAGGTTCAGAATGGAGCACGTGCTGAGCGTTATGTCGAAGCTGCTTCTCACTTTGCAAAATGTCTCCTCATGGTACAAACACGAGCTTATAGAGAACTCCATTGTGAGAGGGAAGACCAGAGCGCCCACAAGCAGGTCAGCCACAGCCAAAGACAGGACGAGAGCGTTGGTCGGAGTGTGAAGCTGTCTGAAGTAAACGATGGAGATTATCACCAGGAGGTTTCCACAAACAGTTATTACAGATATGGAACCAAGAAAAACATTCAGAAATACACACACAATAGCAGGCGTTCCTGTCGGTAGATAAGAAGCTATTTTAAAGCAAGGGTTTACATTAGACTCAGTGTTGTTAACGGCAAAATGACCAAAATCAAATTCCATTTTTAGTCACATTACTCAGTAATATCCACAGAAATAAATTTAAAAATAAAGATCTGATCAGTCATTTAAACCAAAGTCAAGAAGTCAGTAATCTCGTCTCTCTTCAACTCATTCACGGTGCATAACAAAATATCAGCGTGACCTCAGGACTTGCTCTACTCTGTCCACTGTCCTCATGCAGTGAACCCTCCATTTTCTACCTCTGTCTTCATGAACCAGTAACTCCCTACATAGGTCCGATGAGGTATCATGCACCCAAGAGATCCCCAAGCAACAACCATGAGCAACACATTACCATTTGTCATGTAAACTAAGATAAGATCATTGATTAGGCTGCAGTACAACAATAAACAATACTTCAAAAAAGACAATAACAATAGCTACATAAAAATAACATCATTGCAAAAAGTAAAAAATGCATAAAAACACAAATGTCAGTTTGGCAGTACATAAAAATAGCAAAGTCATTTCCATTCATTACATCTTCTTCATTCTATTCTTGATCACTGTCTGGGCCTCCTATCACTCTGTACAGGTCTCACTAGTCGACTATTTATCAGACTGAGGAGAGTGGTACAAACGAATATTTCAGATGGTTCTATTTACACAAAGGAACCCTGAGCCTTCTCTCTGAACTATGTGAACTTCTGTTTATTTCATCCAGTAGATTAACTCTAGAGCAGTATTCCTGAATTTCAGTTCTCAGGGACCACTGTCCTGCATATTTGAGATGTTTATGCTCCTCCAGATTCAAACGATTGTATGATCCCCTAACCCTAACCCTAACCCTAACCCTAACTGAAGACCAATGAGCAGTGTCTTTTTTTATTTGCAACACATGACATGAGGAAACAGCGTGCTTCTTTTTGTGACAGCGTTTCTCATATTGTTTTCATGAGCTGGAAAGTAAAGTAAAATAGGCTTCAATTAGGCATGGCATAAAACAAGTATAAAATATGCTATAGCAGTGTTACATTCATCATCTAAAATCATGAAAAGACTGTCAGATCCACCAAGACATCAACATCCACCTAAACTGAAAGTCTGTACGAAGGCCGATTAGAAGAACCTAATGGTGTATTGTTCAGTCACTGCAGGGATTGACAACTCAGGAGAAAGATTCCAGTACAAGATAACTATTAGTCATCCCTTTAAAAATCTGCCGTTTTAGTTGCATACAATAAAAACGTTATTTAAGGTTGCATTTGGTTAAAAATCTTACGTCCCTTCAGCCCTTTTGGAGCTGAAGGAAGGTCTTTTTTTAGGCTTTTGGCATCATATGGAGGACTGGGGCATCGATTGGGCCCATAGGAGTCTGCTGGATCTTTAAGCTGTTTTGCACACATTCTTCAAGTGATAGGATATTCTTTTGTCTTAGTTGTTGGACAACTTAAAGCTTTAATTTCTGATGTTAAATTCATGTTATGTTCCTTGGCATGATTCTGACTTGGTTGATTTTAAATTACTCATGTAATATACTATTGCCATTATGATATTTGTGTTTGTGTATGCCATGGTTTTGATGGTGATATATATATATATATATATATATATATATATATATATATATATATATATATATATATATATATATATATATATATATATATTTCACAAACTTCAAATGTTTTACCTAAAATGGAGTAGCTTTCAACAAATAAGCAATTTTCCTTTGGGGATCAACAACGTATGTCTTGTTCTATTCTATTTCATTCTATTCTATTCTTTTCTATCTATATATAAATCTATCTATATATAGATATCTCTATGTATATCTACACATCAATCTATCTTTCTATCTGTCTAGCTCTATAGATATATCTGTATATAGATCTATATCTATCTATAGATCTGTAGAGAGAGAAAGAAAAATCTATATATCAGAGATGTATATCTATGTATCTATGGATACATCTACATCTAGATGTATAAATCTATAGCTGTATATATAAACATATATATACAGCTATAGATCTGTATCTATATTTATAGCTCCGTCTATAGATCTATGTATATATTTATTTATCTATCTCTATACATATATAAATATATATATATATATATATATGTATCAACATATTGACATCAATCTCTCTATATATATATATATACTGTATATACATATATATGTAAAGATAGATATTGATTTGTAGACATGTACAGATCTATCTATAGAACTATAGCTCTCATATAGATATATAATGAGAGAGCTATATCTGTAGAGAGATCTCTCTCTTTATATATAAAGAGATATTTCTTCCATTTTTTTTAACAGTAGACCAGTTTGACCCTTACCTGTTTTTTTTTTTACTGCAGGGAAAAATCACAATTTAACTTTTCACTGTTTAAGAATGTGTTAACAAACACAACAAATCTGTGCTTTGGTTCATCTAACAAGATTTTTAAAATGAGCATAACTTAAATTCTTAAAATTTGATATATTGCAATGAATTCGCATTCACTTAAAAATATCTCTACTACTTCCATATTGATATTATTTAATGCAGTCTGAAGTTAGCAAAATTGCCTCGCAATATTTTCCCAGAAGCAATCATTTTAATAGCTGACCTGAACCAGGTGTAAAAAAAAGCGTAAATGAATGGATTAAGCATTGAATTGGATAATGCTAACCAGTTAAGTGTTTCAATCACTGGAATTGGTACTGAATTACTGATAAAAGGCAGAAAAGTGATGCAAAGGAAGAAAGGAGACCAGCAAAATAGAAAAACTCCCAGAACAATCGCCAGAGTTTTGGTGGCTTTTCTCTCCATCTTACTGGCAGTTGCTCCAGACTTCATGCTTTGGATGCTTCGCGTCTGTCTCTGTGCAACAAGGAAAATCTTCAGGTAGATGCAAAGCATTATGACCACTGGAATGTAAAATGATAATATAGGTCCAATAGTATTTGCCATCAGAACATCAATGAAACAATTTTCAAAACATTGTTCACTTTTTAATCTAGGAATTACCACTCCGATGCCAATGAGAACAGCAACACCCCAGCTCGCTGTGATCATGATGGCAACAACATGATGGCTGATTTTAGATCTATATGTCAGAGGCTGACACACAGCATGGTACCTGTCAACTGATATACAACACAAGTGCATAATAGAGCATGTACTAAACGATATGTCAAAACTGTCACGGAACTTACAAAATAAACTCTCATTATAGGTACATGAACTGAGAGAGAAGGCCATGCTGAGAGAAATACTAAAATCCCAACCAGCATGTCGGCCACAGCCAGAGACAGAATGAGAGTGTTGGTGGGTGTGTGAAGCTGTTTGAAGTAAATTACTGATATTACAACAAGGAGGTTTCCACATACAGTTACAACACATAATAGCATGAGAAATCCATATAACATTACACATGTAACAGAAGGAGTCGCAGTTAGTTTGTAACTGAAGTCAATCATTTCATAGCATGGATGTAAGTCAGTCGTAATAACTGTACTGTTCACAGACACATCTGGGTCCATGACCTAAAAATAAAAAAAAATAAAAAAACATGTCTGAAGCATAGACAACATAACACATAATACATGTAGTAGCACATCAGAAATACATCAAGTTCTTAGTTATTTGAAACTTTCAGTCAACACTTACCAGCACTCAGTTCACTAGCAGTATTTGCTTTGTGCCGTGAGACTTTATGCGCAGTCTTTTATAGGAATTTCTTGCCAACCACACTTACATCATCATAATTACTGTCCAATGAGATTTTTGTAACTTTCAGACAGGAGTTATGACAAGTGAGTCTAAGAGTATGTGTCTGTAAATCCTACCTGTTGAATAAAATATCGCCAATTTTTCTTGTCTAAAATGTTACTCAACATTGCAAGAAAGTTTGTATTAGCAACAATGGGGTAACTATTGTTTATTGTAAACGTGCAGACAGAACTTGGAGCATCGATCTGTCAGTCAATTTTTTCTTACCACAGAGCAAAAGAAGACAGTGGTTGATTCTTAGACCTTTTCCAAGCTAGATAAGATCAGTGGATAAGATTGACTTCACATCTCCCAAAAGTAAGGAAATCGGCACAGATAGATTGGTGTAACCCTAATCGCTGGTCCGATTTTCAGCATGAAACATCTTTGACACTGTGGGGGAAATTTTCTGCCATAATCCAAGAGCAGACATTTTCAGTCTGAAAGCAGGATTTTATGTTTTTCTTCTCAAAACTTGTAATGCTTGTACTCAAAACTTGTCACACTCAGATCTAGTCTCTGCTTGGATTCTCTGCTCTCTTATGAAACATTTTCTGTTTGCTTCTGGAGCAAAAATGCGCCATCGCCTGGCAACTTTTCAGCCAATGAAAGTGTTGTACTCGGTGCGTTTGTTTCCTTTTAGCGACTGTGCTTGTATGGCTACTATCGATTGTAGCAACCTGTGTCACTGTTTCCATCTGTAATAAGTGGGTCAATCATCAGACCCATCTGGTGACATAATGAAGGTAAATAAAAACGTAAACAACTAAGGCCGGGTACACAGATGTGGAGGAAGTCATGAGCAATTTCAGCGAAGAATTTAGCAATTGGAGGAAGAAGCTAGATTGAATGATAAAGAAGAGGGATCTGGTTCTACTGAATACCTGCAAAGCTATTTTTGATCCATATAGTTCAACAATGATGCCTCCAATGTTTCTGGGGAGGAAGTAATAAATGTAATAAATAGATCTACTTATGTATAATGATTATTCATCTTTAATTCTGGTTGAATTCAAATAATTCAGTTACATCAAAGTGAAAAAAAAAAAGTTTTCATTGTATTTATCTACAGGTTAAACTGTAGATGAATCCAGAATTTGATGTTGCTTTGGAGTTCTTCAACAGCCTGCTGACTGAAAAGGAATGTAAAAACTCCAGAAAGTTTCTTGGTAGAAATGTGAACAGACTGAACAAAGGGTCTGGCTTCAGTAAATTCCAAGAACGATATCTTAGATCTCTAATCAGTGGAGTGTTATGGGAAACTTGGTAACTTTGTCACTTCTGTACATCTGGCTTTCAGAAAAAAAATATAAAACAATAGACCTTTCTGATTATTTGGTGAAAACATGGAGCTGGGAGAAATCCAACTATTTTGACACAGCACGGTTCAATCAGGTGCATTAATTCAACCTTATGTGGGATCCAGGTAGAACATTGCATCCAAAAGCAAAGCAAGACAAACTACTATTACAATTAACAAGAAAACTATATAACAGTTCCATCAATATCAAAAGGTGAAAAGTTGTAAGTTAGTTTGGACTTTTTCTTTTTAATATAATTTTTAAAATTAAGGCATCATCATATTTGGAAATATTATATCATGTTACACTTTTTAAAATAAACACAAACTAAAAACAGTGCATGTTTGATGATGTCTCTGGATAGACAATCTTCAATTAGAGGTGTGAATGTGTGTGGTCTGTTGACGGTCCCTTAGCTACCGTTACCTCAGAATACTCATGAACACTGTCAACTAATCTTTTCCACAGGGCTTGTGAAGCAAACAAGATCTAAATGAAAACAAAGTTATGGCCACTGAAGGATAGAAGTGGTGAAAATGGACTCGCAGAGTTTAGAGTGATAATGAAACAGAAATGACACCAGCCAACAAGGGACTTGCATGATGAAAGAGCTTTCTTCAGCTGAATTTGTTTGAGGGCAGAGGCACATTGTGTTTGTGGGTGATGTCTTGTTAATTGGTTTCAGATTGGTTGTGTTTCCACAGTATTTCACACCCACAAAGCAAATCTTACATACCGTTCAGTTCTTCTCCAGTTTATTGCTTTGTGTTTTAAATACAAAACACTTCCACACATTTACCTTCAAGTCTGTTGACAGTGATTTCAATCCTTCCACCAAGTTGCTTTGCAATGATATTAGTGACATGTAGTAATGATATCTTGCTTCTTCTTGAACTTTTATTGCTGTTTGGGACTCTAGTGCATTACCACCACGGCCCAACACGAGACCAGAAGGTGGGTCTGGAGAAAGATCTGACTTCATGGGAGAGATCTTGACTTATGGGGAAAAGATGTATTGAAAGAATCAATTTAAGGCTTCTATGAATGGATATCCGGCATTTCAAAGAAAATTTGATTCAAATCAATTAATTAATTTTTTAAAAAACATTCCTAAATCTGTTGCTTTGCAACAAATTTCTATTTGTTGAGACCAAGAACAAATGGAACATTTCATAACGCATATTAGACAAATGTGATTGAAAGCCTCCATGTAGCCCATATACAGTCATTTAATTTGAGTGTGTAAATAAGACATTATTGAAATATGGTGACAGTCTACAAAAAACACATCTTGAACAAAAAGGAGTTTAATTTAATCAATTTTACATTGATAAATAGTTTTTCCATTTTCACTGACAAAGATTTTGCTTCGACAAAGCTTTGTTTGCAGTTAACATATTCTTAAGCACATACAAGCACTCATACAGCTACAGCTGCTATCAGCTCATTTCACTGAGGCATCAGGGATTTACTCTCAGAAAAACATCAAACATCAAAAAAGTTTGAAGTCAGTGAAATCTCCCGAAACGATTTTTCCTGAAATAATCATCCTGAACGCTGACCTGAACCACCTGTAAACAAAGCATAAATAAACGGGTTGAACGTTGAATTGGACAGAGCAAGCCAGTTGAGGATTTCTACCAGAGGGCCAGGCCGGGAAGCGTTGCTGAACGTAAAAACGGTTGTACATAAAAAGGAAGGCAGCCAACAGAGCAGAAAAACTCCCATTACAATCACTAAGGTTTTAGTGGCCTTCCTCTCCATCTTACTGACAGATGCCCCGGAGCTTTTCATGCTCTGGATGCTGTGTGCTTGCTTCTGCGCGACAAAAAAGATCTTTACGTAGATGCATATCATTACCAGAAGTGGTAAGTAAAACGTAATCAGAACAATCAGAATTTTTCCCAGCACAACGGTAAACAAACAGTTTTGTCCACATTTTGATCTGTTAAACCCGACCAGACTGACCGCAACCACAGCTGGAACTCCCCAGCTCACCAAGATCATCACCACAATGACATGGCTGCTGATTTTAGTTCTGTATGCCAGCGGCTGGCACACTGCGTAATACCTGTCAACAGAAATGCAACACAGGTTCAGAATGGAGCACGTGCTGAGCGTTATGTCGAAGCTGCTTCTCACTTTGCAAAATGTCTCCTCATGGTACAAACACGAGCTTATAGAGAACTCCATTGTGAGAGGGAAGACCAGAGCGCCCACAAGCAGGTCAGCCACAGCCAAAGACAGGACGAGAGCGTTGGTCGGAGTGTGAAGCTGTCTGAAGTAAACGATGGAGATTATCACCAGGAGGTTTCCACAAACAGTTATTACAGATATGGAACCAAGAAAAACATTCAGAAATACACACACAATAGCAGGCGTTCCTGTCGGTAGATAAGAAGCTATTTTAAAGCAAGGGTTTACATTAGACTCAGTGTTGTTAACGGCAAAATGACCAAAATCAAATTCCATTTTTAGTCACATTACTCAGTAATATTCACAGAAATAAATTTAAAATAAAGATCTGATCAGTCATTTAAACCAAAGTCAAGAAGTCAGTAATCTCGTCTCTCTTCAACTCATTCACGGTGCATAACAAAATATCAGCGTGACCTCAGGACTTGCTCTACTCTGTCCACTGTCCTCATGCAGTGAACCCTCCATTTTCTACCTCTGTCTTCATGAACCAGTAACTCCCTACATAGGTCCGATGAGGTATCATGCACCCAAGAGATCCCCAAGCAACAACCATGAGCAACACATTACCATTTGTCATGTAAACTAAGATAAGATCATTGATTAGGCTGCAGTACAACAATAAACAATACTTCAAAAAAGACAATAACAATAGCTACATAAAAATAACATCATTGCAAAAAGTAAAAAATGCATAAAAACACAAATGTCAGTTTGGCAGTACATAAAAATAGCAAAGTCATTTCCATTCAATACATCTTCTTCATTCTATTCTTGATCACTGTCTGGGCCTCCTATCACTCTGTACAGGTCTCACTAGTCGACTATTTATCAGACTGAGGAGAGTGGTACAAACGAATATTTCAGATGGTTCTATTTGCACAAAGGAACCCTGAGCCTTCTCTCTGAACTATGTGAACTTCTGTTTATTTCATCCAGTAGATTAACTCTAGAGCAGTATTCCTGAATTTCAGTTCTCAGGGACCACTGTCCTGCATATTTGAGATGTTTATGCTCCTCCAGATTCAAACGACTGTATGATCCCCTCGTTCTGAAATTTGAAATATGACCAGGTTATTGGAAGCGATTATTAACGCTCCCACAATCTCAGTATGACGGTCAGGAGGGGAGCGGCAAATGTCACGGTCAGACACAGAGGAAACCAGGGGTCAGTGGGCCAGTTTCCAAAACCCCACAAAAAATAAACCTTGTAAAAGAGTAGAAAACTCTTGGAGTACCAAACTAGAAACTCTAAGTATTTTTATGAAAAAAAAGTAAACATAAAAATAAGTAGAATGAAAATATCATTTTCTTTGCACTTTAGTTGTTTGATCTTAATAAATGTGTCCAATTTCTTTTGTCACTTTATTTGCTGAAGTTGTTCAAATGTAGACCAGTAAAGACAGGAAGTGGTTTCAGAGATCCAGTGAATAAAAAGACACAAAGACACTTGACACATAGTGTCCCCATGTGTTTACATTGTGACCATTCACCAAAGAGACCAGTCATAGCTGGCGTAGGCATATATATATAATAAATAAACACAAAATGCTTCGCCTGGTGGGAGTTTTCCCCAAGTTAAGCCTGGTGAGTCAAATTGGATTTGAAAATTTTTTTCTTTGTAATTTTCTCAACAAAATGAAAGCCTCATCCTCAGCTGGTTTAATTTTTATTGCATTTGATATATTTTTAAATGTATTTATTTGAATAGAAAACAGACATTTTATATTACATGGTTAGATGGATAAAAGCATTCAATTAAAAACAAGCCAGTATGGATTTTTAAAGTAAAGATCTTATGTTCTCTACATTATTCCTGAGTCACCAGGGTTTACTTGGGGAAAACTCTGTGCAAATAAGCTGATCGCTGTGTTTCAGGGTTACTCAAGATAATAAGTAAAGGCGATTGTTTTCAATTCTCGCTGGTCCTGAGCATTTACTGAGGCCACATCTCTTCACTTGTATTATTTGTGGATATTTTTGCCTGTTTTATCACTAAAACTATCCAAAAGGTTTGTGCAAGACACCTTTATGGAGCATCAAACAATATTTTTAAAGGCATTAGAATCCATTCTATTATTTCAATCTGCTTTTCAGAATCATAACCATAATCATAACTATCTGTATACATTCATCTTTTCAACTTTATCACTTTTATTGAAGTTGATTGTACTTTATAGCAGTTGAACAGTAGAAATTGTAAAATTAATTCTGACAATGTATTTCATGGACAGAATCAAATACTGTCAATGAAATACATTCACAGTATGTATTTTATACATACTGTGAGTATGAATGTAAATACATTGACAGTATGTAATTTTGCCAGGATTAATTGACAAAATTAATTCTGTCAATGTATTTCTCTTTAAAGATTATTATTTTTTCAGCTGGGATATTTTTGTGATCTTTGTAAATTATAATATAATGTGAACATCTTAATGTATAAAACACAGAGATGAAACTGACAGAGTGTACAAGAGATACTGAGAAAACTACACAAACTGTCATTCTCACCATGGCACGTCATTCTTAACTGAATCAAACCCAAGATTGCAGTATGTTTCAAATTTTTGTTCTAAAGCCTAACAATTTAGGCCATATTAAGTGTTGCAGACATTTCAGTACTGAGATAAATTTCTCTTCTCAGACTCCAAACATCTCAAAGGAGTTTGGTGTTTGTTAAATCCCCCTGAAATATTTTTCCTGACATTATGATTCTGAAAGCCGACCTGAACCAGCGGTAAAAGAACGCATAGATAAAAGGATTGAGCATTGAGTTGGACAGAGTGAGCCAGTTAAGGCTTTCATACACCATCACTGACACACCACCTAATAACTGGAGGGAAAAACAGAGAAAGAAAGGCAGCCAGCACATCAGAAAAACTCCTAGAACAATGGCCAGAGTTTTGGTTGCCTTTCTTTCCATGTTGCTCACAGTTGCGCCAGACTCTGCTGCTATCTGGATGCTGCGAGCCTGTCTTTGTGCAACAAGAAATATCCTCAGGTAGATATACAGCATTATGGTCACTGGGAGATAGAACGAGAAGACTGGGGCTAATATCTTTTCAAGCACAACATCAGAGAAGCAATTTTCTTGACATTTTTCCTGATTTACCTCTGCAACAACAAAACCAATCGCAACAAGTATGGAAACGCCCCAGCTCATGAGGATCATGACCAGAACAATACCAGTGTTTATCTTAGATCTGTATGTCAGAGGCTGACACACCGCATAGTACCGGTCCACAGAAATGCAGCACAAATTAAAAATAGAGGTCGTGCTCAGTACGACATCGAAGCTGTCTCGTATTTTGCAGAACAAGTCTCTGTAATACAGACAGTAGCTGAGCGAGAAAGACATGCTCAGAGGGAAGACTACGATCCCAACAAGCAGATCGGTCACAGCCAGAGAGACGATCAGGCAGTTAGACGGGGTGTGGAGCTGCTTAAAGTAAACGATGGAGATTATTACAAGAAGGTTTCCACACACTGTAATAACAGACAGTAAACCAAGGAAAATGTAGAGTAAAGTACATATTGTAGAAGAAGTCCTTCTCATTATCTTAGAGACATTGTTAATTTCATAACAAGGGTGGAAGTCATAACCAACATAAAAACCAGTTTCTTCTTCCATTGATTGCTTTTTGTAATTACTATAAATATCAAAAACATTCATATACCACCTTGTTTTAGAAAATAACGTGTTAGTGTAATCTTTCAAATCAGCTAAACCACCTAACCAATGTCAAATCTTGCTGTCATGTCAATGTGCTGCTGAATCACCTTGTCTTGGTAGTTCTTATGCTTAAACATTACACAACCCGAAACCCGTCCAATAGGAAGGGAGGAACCTGCAGACCAATGAGAAGCTTTTACTGACCATTTTTTGTTTCTCAGTGTAACTATTGATGTAATTAATTACATTTTTTGCGACAGACCCTTCATTCACATAACATCATGTGGTATTTACAACTGAAAGCACATTAATAGTGTTTATGCTCTGATTCTGGACCCAATTCTTTTCAGGACAGCAAAATAGTGGAAGTTTGCTTGAGCATAAACTTATAGTATTTATGAGTTATTGTTTAACATGTTTTTTTTTTCTTAAAAGTCCTAGATGCCACTTTGAAGCTTCTCTGTTTTTCTTAGACTGAAATATTTACATTATGTTGTTGTGTCTGTTACATAAAAAGCCAAGTTTAGCTCATTAATTGACTATCAATATCTGTTTCTCCTAATGGATTTAGTATCATGCTTTCCCTTTTATTATGCTTTATGGTAGGTAGTTTTATCTATTAAAGATGACTTCTGTCAGTTGAATCACAGCCAGGAAGCCTAAACACAGAAGCTCCATGATTGAAATTTAATTTGCTGTCAAGTATTTATGATGATATTTTTGCTCTGCCAACTTCCCTGTTATGAAGCAGGAAGTTTCTTTAATATTACCACTACTTCACTCCTTTCTTTTCATTCTTCTCATGCAGCTCTGGATTCAACTTCCCTCCTATCCATGTAAATAAAGGCCAAACGCTCAACAACTGAAATGCCAATTCAGGCAGCAGCTTTCATGAAGTGCTTTACATCGCTGTAGAGAAATGTTAGCTGACTCCTGCATGGTAATCAGCATCACACAAAACTTAATCAGATTTAAATTGAGTCATTTATTTCAATAAAGAATAATTGTGGTAAAATAGTTTAAATATGTTTATTGTTCAAATTAATAGATGACAAATAGGTTTTCATGGTGGAAATATTTTCCTTTGTAATATTAATAATAACCAGTACCTTACATTCAGGACTTTAATAAATTCTGTTGTCCATAAAACATTGCAAGATCCTGATCTAATTATTTGATGTCACATTGTCAGCATGCCATAAACAAAATCAATAAGAGTCATCAAAAAAAAAAAAAAAGAGACTGCATTCAACTTTTTAAATCCAATATGATACATTTTTCACAAGTATGTTCCAGACTGGAGGGTTGTTTGCTTCTTTGACTTAAAACGTATCAAAATAGCTTAGTGTTTGTATTTCCTTGAAAGATTTTTCCAGAAATTATCATTTTGAAAGCCGACCTGAACCAGCTGTAAAAGAACGCATAGATGAACGGATTGAGCATCGAGTTGGACAGTGCGAGCCAGTTAAGGGTTTCATACACCATCACTGACACACCACCTAATAACTGGAAGGAAAAACAGAGAAAGAAAGGCAGCCAGCACATCAGAAAAACTCCTAGAACAATGGCCAGAGTTTTGGTTGCCTTTCTTTCCATGTTGCTCACAGTTGCGCCAGACTCTGCTGCTATCTGGATGCTGCGAGCCTGTCTTTGTGCAACAAGAAATATCCTCAAGTAGATATACAGCATTATGGTCACTGGGAGATAAAATGAGATCATGGGAGCAAAAACCTTTTCAAGCACAGCATCAGAAAAGCAATTGTCTTGACAGCTTCCCTGATTTATCTCCACAATAATGAAACCGATTGCAACGAGTATGGAAACGCCCCAGCTCATGAGGATCATGACCAGAACAATACCAGTGTTTATCTTAGATCTGTATGTCAGAGGCTGACAGACTGCATAGTACCGGTCCACAGAAATGCAGCACAAATTTGCAATGGAGGTTGAGCTCAGTACGACATCGAAGCTGTCTCGTATTTTGCAGAACAAGTCTCTGTAATACAGACAGTAGCTGAGCGAGAAAGACATGCTCAGAGGGAAGACTACGATCCCAACAAGCAGATCGGTCACAGCCAGAGAGACGATCAGGCAGTTAGACGGGGTGTGGAGCTGCTTAAAGTAAACGATGGAGATTATTACAAGAAGGTTTCCACACACTGTAATAACAGACAGTAAACCAAGGAAAATGTAGAGCAAAGTACATATTGTAGAAGAAGTCCTTCTCATTATCTTAGAGACATTGTTAATTTCATAACAAGGGTGGAAGTCATAACCAACATAAAAACCAGTTTCTTCTTCCATTGCTCTTAATATTTACTACAAATATCAATAATATTTGTATATACAATGGATTGCAAAATGATTTTTAAGTAATGCAAAGTAAATGTGTTAATAAAACATAATAGCAGTTTAAAGACATTTGCACAAGCAGCTTCTTTCCACATTAGATTACCTACACCTGTCCTGCTCCCATGTAGTTCAATTCCCTTCCCTTTAAACGTATGCGTTCCCATTACGTAATCTAAAGCATGTCCAATGAAAAGGGACGAAACTGAAGACCAATGAGCAGTGTCTTTTTTTATTTGCAACACATGACATGAGGAAGCAGCGTGCTTCTTTTTGTGACAGCGTTTCTTATATTGTTTTCATGAGCTGGAAATTAAAGTGCAATAGGCTTCAATTAAGCATGGCTTAAAACAAGCATAAAATATGTTTTATCTGAAATTCATCATCTGAAATCATGAAAAGACTGTCACACGTTCAAGTATACCAAGACATCAACATCCACCTAAACTGAAAGTCTGTACGAAGGCCGATTAGAAGAACCTAATGGTGTATTGTTCAGTCACTGCAGGGATTGACAACTCAGGAGAAAGATTCCAGTACAAGATAACTATTAGTCATCCCTTTAAAAATCTGCCGTTTTAGTTGCATACAATAAAAACGTTATTTAAGGTTGCATTTGGTTAAAAATCTTACGTCCCTTCAGCCCTTTTGGAGCTGAAGGAAGGTCTTTTTTTAGGCTTTTGGCATCATATGGAGGACTGGGGCATCGATTGGGCCCATAGGAGTCTGCTGGATCTTTAAGCTGTTTTGCACACATTCTTCAAGTGATAGGATATTCTTTTGTCTTAGTTGTTGGACAACTTAAAGCTTTAATTTCTGATGTTAAATTCATGTTATGTTCCTTGGCATGATTCTGACTTGGTTGATTTTAAATTACTCATGTAATATACTATTGTCATTATGATATTTGTGTTTGTGTATGCCATGGTTTTGATGGGTAATATATATATATATATATATATATATATATATATATATATATATATATATATATATATATTTCACAAACTTTGAATGTATTATCTAAAATGGAGTAGCTTTCAACAAATAAGCAATTTTCCTTTGGGGATCAACAACGTATGTCTTGTTCTATTCTATTCTATTCTATCTATACATATATAAATCTATCTATATATAGATATTTCTATGTATATCTACACATCAATCTATCTTTCTATGTGTCTAGCTCTATAGATATATCTGTATCTATCTATAGATCTATAGAGAGAAACAGAAAAATTTAAATATCAGAGATGTATATCTATGTATACATAGATGTATCTAGATGGATACATCTACATCTAGATGTATAAATCTATAGCTGTATATATAGACATATATACAGCTATAGATCTGTATCTATATATTTATAGCTCCATCAATAGATCTATCTATATATATTTATTTGTCTATCTCTATACATATATAAATCTATATATTGATATTTATATATATATATATATCAACATATCGACATCAATCTGTCTCTCTCTCTCTCTCTATATATATATATATATATATATATATATATATATATATATATATATATATATATATATATATACTGTATATACATATATATGTAAAGATAGATATTGATTTGTAGATATTAATTTGTAGACATGTACAGATCTATCTATAGAACTATAGCTCTCATATAGATATATAATGAGAGAGCTATATCTATAGAGAGATCTCTCTCTTTATATATAAAGAGATATTTCTTCCATTCCTTTAACAGTAGACCGGGTTGACCCTTACCTGTTTTTTTTTACTGCAGGTAAAAATCACAATTTAACTTTTCACTGTTTAAGAATGTGTTAACAAACACAACAAATCTGTGCTTTGGTTCATCTGACAAGATTTTTAAAATAAGCATAACTTAAATTCTTAAAATTTGATATATTGCAATGAATTCGCATTCACTTAAAAATATCTCTACTACTTCCATATTGATATTATTTAATGCAGTCTGAAGTTAGCAAAATTGCCTCGCAATATTTTCCCAGAAGCAATCATTTTAATAGCTGACCTGAACCAGGTGTAAAAAAAAGCGTAAATGAATGGATTAAGCATTGAATTGGATAATGTTAACCAGTTAAGTGTTTCAATCACTGGAATTGGTACTGAATTACTGATAAAAGGCAGAAAAGTGATGCAAAGGAAGAAAGGAGACCAGCAAAATAGAAAAACTCCCAGAACAATCGCCAGAGTTTTGGTGGCTTTTCTCTCCATCTTACTGGCAGTTGCTCCAGACTTCATGCTTTGGATGCTTCGCGTCTGTCTCTGTGCAACAAGGAAAATCTTCAGGTAGATGCAAAGCATTATGACCACTGGAAGGTAAAATGATAATACAGGTCCAATAGTATTTGCCATCAGAACATCAATGAAACAATTTTCAAAACATTGTTCACTTTTTAATCTAGGAATTACCACTCCGATGCCAATGAGAACAGCAACACCCCAGCTCGCTGTGATCATGATGGCAACAACATGATGGCTGATTTTAGATCTATATGTCAGAGGCTGACACACAGCATAGTACCTGTCAACTGAAATACAACACAAGTGCAGAATTGAGCATGTACTAAACGATATGTCAAAGCTGTCACGGAACTTACAAAATAAACTCTCATTATAGGTACATGAACTGAGAGAGAAGGCCATGCTGAGAGGAAATACTAAAATTCCAACCAGCATGTCGGCCACAGCCAGAGACAGAATGAGAGTGTTGGTGGGTGTGTGAAGCTGTTTGAAGTAAATTACTGATATTACAACAAGGAGGTTTCCACATACAGTTACAACAGATAATAGCATGAGAAATCCATATAACATTACACATGTAATAGAAGGAGTCGCAGTTAGTTTGTAACTGGAGTCAATCATTTCATAGCATGGATGTAAGTCAGTCGTAATAACTGTACTGTTCACAGACACATCTGGGTCCATGACCTAAAAATAAAAAAAATAAAAAAACATGTCTGAAGCATAGACAACATAACACATAATACATGTAGTAGCACATCAGAAATACATCAAGTTCTTAGTTATTTGAAACTTTCAGTCAACACTTACCAGCATTCAGTTCACTAGCAGTATTTGCTTTGTGCCGTGAGACTTTATGCGCAGTCTTTTATAGGAATTTCTTGCCAACCACACTTACATCATCATAATTACTGTCCAATGAGATTTTTGTAACTTTCAGACAGGAGTTATGACAAGTGAGTCTAAGAGTATGTGTCTGTAAATCCTACCTGTTGAATAAAATATAGCCAATTTTTCTTGTCTAAAATGTTACTCAACATTGCAAGAAAGTTTGTATTAGCAACAATGGGGTAACTATTGTTTATTGTAAACGTGCAGACAGAACTTGGAGCAACGATCTGTCAGTCAATTTTTTCTTACCACAGAGCAAAAGAAGACAGTGGTTGATTCTTAGACCTTTTCCAAGCTAGATAAGATCAGTGGATAAGATTGACTTCACATCTCCCAAAAGTAAGGAAATCGGCACAGATAGATTGGTGTAACCCTAATCGCTGGTCCGATTTTCAGCAAGAAAGATCTTGACACTGTGGGGGAAATTTTCTGCCATAATCCAAGAGCAGACATTTTCAGTCTGAAAGCAGGATTTCATGTTTTTCTTCTCAAAACTTGTAATGCTTGTACTCAAAACTTCTCACACTCAGATCTAGTCTCTGCTTGGATTCTCTGCTCTCTTATGAAACATTTTCTACTTGCTTCTGGAGCAAAAATGCGCCATCGCCTGGCAACTTTTCAGCCAATGAAAGTGTTGTACTCGGTGCGTTTGTTTCCTTTTAGCGACTGTGCTTGTATGGCTACTATCGATTGTAGCAACCTGTGTCACTGTTTCCATCTGTAATAAGTGGGTCAATCATCAGACCCATCTGGTGACATAATGAAGGTAAATAAAAACGTAAACAACTAAGGCCGGGTACACAGATGTGGAGGAAGTCATGAGCAATTTCAGCGAAGAATTTAGCAATTGGAGGAAGAAGCTAGATTGAATGATAAAGAAGAGGGATCTGGTTCTACTGAATACCTGCAAAGCTATTTTTGATCCATATAGTTCAACAATGATGCCTCCAATGTTTCTGGGGAGGAAGTAATAAATGTAATAAATAGATCTACTTATGTATAATGATTATTCATCTTTAATTCTGGTTGAATTCAAATAATTAAGTTACATCAAAGTAAAAAAAAAAAAAAAAGTTTTCATTGTATTTATCTACAGATTAAACTGTAGATGAATCTAGAAGTTGCTGTTGCTTTGGAGTTATTCAACAGACTGCTGACTGAAAAGGAATGTAAAAACTCCAGAAAGTTTCTTGGTAGAAATGTGAACAGACTGAACAAAGGGTCTGGCTTCAGTATATTCCAAGAACGATATCTTAGATCTCTAATCAGTGGAGTGTTATGGGAAACTTGGTAACTTTGTCACTTCCGTACATCTGGCTTTCAGAAAAAAAATATAAAACAATAGACCTTTCTGATTATTTGGTGAAAACATGGAGCTGGGAGAAATCCAGCCATCTTGACACAGCACGGTTCAATCAGGTGCATTAATTCAACCTTATGTGGGATCCAGGTAGAACATTGCATCCAAAAGCAAAGCAAGACAAACTACTATTACAATTAACAAGAAAACTATATAACAGTTCCATCAATATCATAAGATGAAAAGTTGTAAGTTAGTTTGGACTTTTTCTTTTTAAAATAATTGTTAAAATTAAGGTACCATCATATTTGGAAATATTATATCATGTTACACTTTTTAAAATAAACACAAACTAAAAACAGTGCATGTTTGATGATGTCTCTGGATAGACAATCTTCAATTAGAGGTGTGAATGTGTGTGGTCTGTTGACGGTCCCTTAGCTACCGTTACCTCAGAATACTCATGAACACTGTCAACTAATCTTTTCCACAGGGGCTTGTGAAGCAAACAAGATCTAAATGAAAACAAAGTTATGGCCACTGAAGGATAGAAGTGGTGAAAATGGACTCGCAGAGTTTAGAGTGATAATGAAACAGAAATGACACCAGCCAACAAGGGACTTGCATGATGAAAGAACTGCATCCTGTTTATTTTCAAAGTAGTGAAGTTGGAGGTGACTACTGACTAATTTGTTATATTACCATGAAGTAATATGACAAAACAGGCTTAATTCTTTTTTGACAACTTTTTGGGTAGTAGCTACAACAAACCTGCTCAGTCTTATTTACATTAAACATTCAAATGTATTTACAATGCTCTAACTAGACTAAGCTTTAACAATTCTGTCAGATAGCCTGGGAAGGTTTTACAAAGGGTGAAGCACAACCCAAAATCTCTTCCAGTGATAGCGAAAGAACCGGATGTGGGTTACTGGGTGAACAGCATGCCTTAAATTCCAAATCGGACCAAGACTGTGTGGATTCAGTTTCACGGCCAAACTTGATAAAATTGGTTTTCATCAAGCCACTATATGTGAATATTGCAAAAAGAAATTGGCTTTGACATTAAGCTATACATTTTCCTTTTTAATTAGTTTTCTAAAAGACCTGTTTAACAGATTGAGTGTATAGTCTTGCAAAAAGATGACAGTCTTTTGCTTAAAGTGCACAGACCTTTATAAGTTTAAACAAAGACTGCAAATCTGTCTGTCTGCCTTATTAAACAGATGAGGGCAGTTGACCTGCTTATTTGGATGTTTAAAATTTATTTTTAAAAAAAACTCACTTTCCTTGGGTAATAATGTGGCTTTTTAACAGTATTTTTAAGCAATGTACAGTACTTCATTTTCTGAGAAATAAAACAATCAAAGTGTTCCACACCAGAGCTTATTGTAGTCCTGAAGCAACACATCTGAAATTTTAATAACTGTTCAATCATTAAATCTTTTAGAGCTCTTAGTCCTTTCTTCCATTGCACTGTGGAGAGGAGCTGGGTCACCCCTTCCAGATTCAAGAGTTCTTATAGTAGCTTGTGACGTACTTGCATGGTGCTGTGTAGTTTGATGTTTTTGCTGTGGTCTTGCTCCTTGTGTGGCCTCTCTCTATCAGTCTCATGTAGATGGTGTTGATACCATTGGGTAATTTCCAACAACCGTTCCTGGAGGTTAATGTTTCTTTGCTCTACCTCAGGCTTCTTTGACTGTTGATCCTTCTCATCTGTTTAACTATTATGGGCTTCCAGTTGTCAAACACACACCCAGGTTCTAGGGCTTATATTTCTATAATGTAAGACAATAAAAAGTCACTTATCTAATCACAAAGCCCTTTCAGTTGTTGTGTTGTGTAATCCCCTCCTTTGCCTCCACTTTTTCAGTCTATTTTTCCTGCCTGACTACGTTTATCCAGTCTTTCTTTTAAAAAATTGAGATGCCAACCTTCTAGTATTGTCATTACCAGTGACAGCTGAGGCAGAGCTAAGTTATGGAAAATAATTTAGCTTATGTACATAATGTACAGTGTTTGTTTTTTTGTCACCAACTGTGTGTAATGTGTTTTGTATGCTGAGGAGCGATCATAAACAGCAAAGAACAGATTCAAGGTGAGGCAGGTAGTTCTCCTGCCTCATGGCAGGGGGCGCTCACGATCTCAGAGATTCTGACTCCACAACTGCAGAGTAAGAGGCAGTAACAGCAAGCGAGCCATACAGTAAAGTGCAGTGATATATTTATGTAAATCTAAAGATTTCTGGAAATCTTCATAAGACCCTTAGAGTAAAAACATCTTTTAAAATTCTCAATTAACAACTTTTGATCCAGTGCTTATTCTCCTGCTCTCAAAAGTTCTTTGGTTGAAAATATTGAGGTTATAACTAGCTCAATAGTTATAACAATTGAGCTTATAGCTATACAACTTGCTAACTACCTAAAAGGCAAAATTTCATGATCTGTGCAACAAAACTTCATTCTGTGGAAGAAGTTTTGTTGCCTGATCTGATCATTGAATTGACCAAAACATCTGCCACATTCAGCAGCATTTTTCTGTGCATCATGAACAGATTTAACTTTTATGTGAAAGGTGAATTTACATGGCTTCATAGAGCTAATAGTTGAATCTAATAAATAACCAGCAGCCATCATGGAAACATTTGCTGACATAAAATCAATCTGGTCATCTAAATAAACCGGCTGCTGTCTAAATGGTTTGCCTCTTCAACTGAACAAAGGAGCAAATAACTGAAAGAACCGAAGTCGTGAAAATATGACCTCTTGTCAAATGTAACACAGGAATTGCTACTATCTGAAGTCAGACACCACATATCAGGTCACAGATCAGATTGTACTTTGTGTAATTCATAGATACACTTTAGGATTTAAGAAAGTTTGCATTATTTATGAAATCTGTGAGCCTGCTTTGTGTGTATTGATAAAAAGACAAAGATGGTCAGCGTAGCATAACTACAAAAGCAGTACTAAAGGAAACAGACATGTCCTCCAGGTACACAGTGGCACTCTGAAAAGGCATGACGCAGACATTTGTTTTGACAGGACAATCCCCACAGTCAAAGTGAACAGACAATTGCCTGAGTATTTGTTAAAAACCTGTCTTGCTCAACGTGCCTGACGAGTTTGTTTTGAGGAAGTTGAATCAAAGACTTTTACTTTGCAGGTATCATAAATCAGCGTGTCTCGAACGAAGAGCAGTAAGATGAAAGCATCGTCTTGACAGGAGTCTTTTAGGAAGCCTCAGGTCAAGAGTAGGTGAGTTGATATATTATGTGTTTTTACATCTTCATGCTTAATATTAATGTCTAATGTGATCCAAGAGATACTTGTCACACTTTTAAGTTCTAAGCACCCTGTTTACCACCCAGTTAAACTAATACATTAATGTATTAATATCTATCTATACCTTGTCACATGATTTTATGACATCACTTGGTATTTAGTTATTTTCTCTAGATGGAGTAAGAAACATATCCAGGCACAGATTTAACTACTATATTTAGTCAAAAACTGACTTTTTGACTAAATATTTTAGCTTGGTTCAAATTTTGGGAAGTCACAATAATGCAAAAACAAATTTAAAAGTATAATAAAAAATCTGAGTTATTTTTAAAACCTAATAATGGTTTTTAATTGTGAAGTGCTAAAACCTTTTCAAAAGTCTTGTCCTTTAAATATTTTTACTAAGAGACAAGTCTCGCTCATGCCGTCAGAAACTACTCCTGTAGTTAGTCCAATGGGTTAGAAAGCAAGGAGCAAAGTTTTTCAAACGTTCTGGTGTTGCATTTTAGAAGATGAACAGGCCACAGTTTATCCTAGTGACATTTAATGCTATGGTGAGAGAGAACAGACCGTAGTACCTAAAAAACGTTGTACCTAAAAAACATTGTTTTTTAGGTACAAATTTGGAATATTCCATACAGAATGAGTTGAACAACACTGCTGTAGGATGATACAGGTATTTAGAAGAATAATGGAAACGTTTTTGTGTCCAAAATGAAGGTTATCCACAGTTTGGAAATTACATTCATTTTTTTAATGAATTCTCTTTTCCATCATAACATACGAGCTTTCTGTGAGTTTTAAATGAAAATCAATTCAGTTTATTTATTTTGCACAAGTTCACAACAAATCAGACATGCATTCCAGTTGATCCTAATTATCAAACTGTAGTTCAATATTCAAAGTAGTTTTATTCTCTCTATGTAAGGAAAGCCAGCAGATTGCACTGAGTCACTCCTGGATGAGCATGTAGTAACAACAGAAAGAAGAGATGAACAAAAAGACACATATGAACTAATGTAAGATTATTTTCAATATTCATGAAGGAAAAAAGTTAACAGCGTGGTGCATGATGTTAACAGCATGGGCAATCTTTAAAAATAAAAATAAACTGAAAAAATCAAATGACTGGGTTACTGTGTCCAAGCTCTATGGTTTGTAATTCTAGTACATTTCAACTATCTTGACATGGTCAAATGCAAAAAGCATCATTGCCTTTCCCATTGGGATGATGATGGCTGTGTGAATACCTGGATCCCATGACAAAGAGACTTCCATGCAGATTTTTTAGAACTATGGTCTTAATCTTGACAAGTTGATGTACAGTCTGATTGAGTGCATGTGTGTGTGTTTAATTGGCTTGCTTTAACTATTTTTCCTCTTGCGTTTTGAAGCTTGCAAAGTATGTCACTTTTAGTGCAAGGTTTGGCATTCACAGCAGTTAGTAGCAGTGTGCATAGCACCTGCATGAGAGTTATCTTTACTAAGTCGGAAGGCATAGGTCTTAAGAGAAATAACTTTCTTAAGTGAAGAAGTTTAAATATTTTTTTGTGCTTTGTTCACAACTAATTGTAAGGTGAAGTAGGAAATGGAGTGAAGAGAGAAAACCCTTGTCTGCAGCAATGCGGGTGATGCTGGAGGACATCATGAAGTCGAAACTAAGACGAAAAGGCTCTGGGTTAACCTGTTTACCTGAGGCCAAACCCACATCTGTGAGACCATGATATATTACGTAGATCGATTTACCGGTCAATCTACGTTCCTACCCTTATCTACGGTCAAGAGCTTTGGGTCATGACCGAAAAAACAAGATCACAGATACAAGTGGCCAAAATGGGTTTTCTTCGTATGGTGTCTGGGCTCTCACTTGGAGATAAGGTGAGAAGCTTAGTCATCCAGGAGGGACTCAGAGTAGAGCTGCTGCTCCTTCACGTCGAGAGAAGCCAATGAATGTGGCTTGGGCATCTGGTCAGGATGCCTCCTGGACGCCTCAAATGAATGTTCCAAACACTTTACATGACTAAAACCCTGTCCATATCTGATTTACTTATGATTTAGACTTGACATCTCATTCATTGTATGGGGAAGCAGAAAAAGAAGAAAAAAATCTTCTGAGAATAATTTCTGCTACCACCACCTACTGGTGTGTGTGTGGTACTTCAGACTAGAATTTTATGACGTTATATTTTTATTCAAGATTAAAATATTCCGGCACATTAATATATATATATTTTTTTCCCCACACGTGTTGAAGAGTATTTCAGAATGACATTACCAAGCACTTTACTTACTTGAGATGTTAGAAACTCTGCTTCACAAAGTCCAGAATTGTGTAACTCTGTTTTTATTATTTGCAAAAAAGAAAAAAGAAAAAAGAAAGAAATAAAAGTTGGAGACCTAAACACAGTAGTTCCCAAAGTGTGGGGGTCCCTGTGGGGGCCCCTGTGGGGGCGCATTGCTATTTCATGGGGGACTCGGGAAGCGGTATGCATGAATGAAAAAAACAACAAAAAAGAGTCACTGTGTTTTACTGTAAAGATGGTTTGTAGTTTGTTTTGTTGCAACCTGAAGGGCGAAATAAACTTCAGTGGAGTTTGAAAACAGAATATGTGTATAGGTTTATGTCTGGTTGAACGATGTGTGTGCCCAGTTGATTTTTATTTTCTTTTTGGGGGGGGACTTCATTGTAAATCTTTTAAAAGAAGGAAGAAACTTTTTATTCTTCATATTTCATTGTTTTTGAAAATTGTTGAAAAGACAACTGTCAGATATTTTTGTGGGTTGTTCAGGATGTTTATGTGATTATGCAGCCAAAAAGTCACCAAGAAAAAACATCCGGTGTCACTTTGTGCTTGTTTACGAATAAAACAAGTGTGAGATGGTCAATCAAGTTGAGCGACGTCATGTGTGCTTTTATGCTTAAACATGCCAGTAATTTTTTAACCCAATGAATTAATAAAAAAGCTGGTGCACAGCCTCACCCATATGAATAATTGCCTAGACAGTGAAACTCGTACAGTCAGCTGTATTTTCTTTTGTGTATTTATAGAGAAACCAGTATTGCAACTTCTGAAGAGTTACACAAGTAGTAGTTTGCTTCACTTTTGAAATGCATCATTTATACGTTGATTGATGACATGAAATAGGGCCATTTCAATGGATAAAATTAATGTAGTTAATAACAATTGAAACAGTAATGCTCAAGTTTTTTACATAAAAACTTCACATTTTTATGTAAAGTAACAATTGTGTCCAAAGAGTCAGCAGATAAAACAGGGCAGCTGCACCCCTGGACAAGTGTCACTGTACTACAGTATGATGTTGCAGCCACTAGTTGTCTTCAAAGACCGTAGCTTCGCTAACTAAGCAAGAAACACCATAATTGGTGAATTCCACATCAGATTTTTTTTTATTAATTAAATAATGAAATAAATATCTACATAACACTGTTGTACAGCTGTATGAAAAAGTACAGTTGAGACTCAAAACTGGGTGTAGCTACTCAGAACCATTTTGGAATTCCTTGGGGCCTGTTTGTTCCAGAACTAGACAAAACATGCATAAGCTATTTGGAGCAGAGCCATACTTTCTGTATCACAAAGAGAAAGGCGGTTAAACTTCATTAGTTGTCAGGAATTTAAGTACGTGTAAGTTACGCACTTTGTTAGTTTGGTTCACATACATTATCCTTCGGATGACTTACATCTAACAAGGCAGATAAGAAAACTTGAAAAACTGAAGCAGAAAATGCTGAGTTTCACCTTCCTGAGGACATCAACTGCTGTACGTTCATGTAGCAATAAGCAATCCTTACAAAACTTGCAAACACTGCATTTTGTATCCTAATGTTGTCATAGTGTCATTTATAAATCTAGGAGTGATCCTATCTTGTCTTCAATTCTGCATCACCTGGAGGAATTCTTAAAACTTTTTATTCCCTGCTAAGATTTTAGTACTTCTATAAGATCATGGCCTCCATAACAAGTTTGGAAAAAACTTTTAATAATGGTATATTGTAATCATTTTGCATCTATGGTTGGAATTAACTCCTTTATTACATAATTATGACTATTTAAAATATTTCTTGATATGTAAACAGCTGTGTTTATTTTATCTAAACTGACAATAATTACGATTATTGCTGTCATTAGGCATTAATGCCTCTGTAATTTTCTGATATTAGCTGCATCAGTGTTGCACGCATGTTTGCAGGGGTTTTGTAAAGTTTTCCTTACAAAGATTTTAAAATAAATAGATGTTTACGCTCAATCATTTGGCCAAGTTAGCACAAAGTTTACTTACCTGGTCAATTTAAAAGACATGGCATAGGTTTTGTATTAATCCTTACATTTTGAATTCATGCTTGAAATCATGCATTGCATAACCCATAAGCCATCACTCTTACAGTGATGGTGTTAACTGTAAGGGTTTTGTCTTTCTTCACCTAAAGAATTGTGTGAAACTCGTGTTTATCATTCAGATTCTGAGCAGCCATCACTCGGTGAAGGTGATAAGTGTCAAGGCCATGTTTTCTGTTTAAGATCATATCTGCTGATGTTAGAAAATTGAGTTGACCAGAATCTAATCTTCCCTTAAAACACTGAATGAGGAAGACAGTAACAATTTGGGGGGAAAATAAATAAAGTTTGTAGTATAGTTTTGCTTTAGCCAAACAAAGGAATAATTAAAGCAACACACATGTGGTTTCACTTTCTCTTCTGCTACACAAACATTATCTTCTGCCAAGACGAGTTTTTCTTTTGTTTGTTTAAGTTTCTAACAAACTACTGGAAATATAAACCAAACTGTAGTAATCCTTCACCATTCTTAAATTATTCTGACAACCCTTCTTAAGTAAATACTGATGGTTGAACCCAAATAGGTATGACTGACTGGTCTCTTCTGAAATGGATGTAGCGTTTATGTCTATTTCTGGGACGGGAATATGTAACAGCTCAGCTTACCAGATTAAGTACATGGAATGGCATCATACAGGTCCAACAACTACAAGAATTTATAACATTAGACCAGTAGCATTGTATATACGTAATTGCTGGTCATATTGTAGATTTTTTTCTAGGAAAACTGCAAAGCTTGGAAGGTATTTATCTTTATTTTCTCTTTAGTGAGGATGGCTTTACCAAAGGCCCTGCGGTTCGGTGTTTTGATGTTGGTTATGTGCTTCACTTTCAACCAACCAGGATTCAGACAGTCTGTGTCTGTCTTCTTTCAGGTGAGCCTGATGTGTTACCAAACTTATTGTAGTGTCACGCCACGTGAAATTGTCCTTTCACAGTGTAAAACACATAAATAGTTGCTTTCATTGGTCAAAATTCCAAACATAAGCAGATGTGCTGATGCTTTACAGGATCTGAGGGATGCCACATCATCCATCCTACATGCCAGAGAGAAAAGACAAGGTGAGTCACTGTAGAAAACAATGGCTCCTTTCTTGATAGAGTAAGTGTCTCATTAATGCCACTGTTGGGGCAGTCATTAAAGGAAGTTTTTGTTACAGCCTCTTCTGCTCTCTCAAACTTTACTGAATACGATCTGCAACTTGTCATAACCTTCTCTGACCTCGAGAGTCTCCAAACGCTTCTGAGCAACATCAGCTTCCCTTTTGCGATCAACAACACTGTGGAAGTCAACAGCATCGAGACAACAACAGGTATAACACGGCTTAGTGTTGTTTTCGTCTTCTGACAAACATTAATACTGTACATTTCCTCCTATTCTGGGAACAAAATTTAGTCTTTGTATTGCGCTGACGGGTTTTTTTTTTCTTCCCACAGTGTGTACACCGAACATAACTGGGTACCAGTGCGCATGTGAGGAGAGCTTTGCCTGGTCTTACAACAACTGCGTTACGTATGGGGTCTGTGACGCCATTATTGGTGACAAATGTGGCTGCATTAATGGCCTGCCAGCTGATGATCAGTTCTGCCAGCCAAACATCAGCCAAACAGGTAGGCCTGAAAAACCAGCATTCATCATTTAGTAGAGCATTAGTTTTATTCAAGCTTTATATTGAACTAAAAACCTGTAAAAATGTTGAATATATACAACTATCATTAAGTCAAATCACAATATAGCAACATATTGCTGCAAAAATAAAAATAACTAATGCTTAAATTGTGAATGTCATTAAAAACACTGACCTGAGGACAGACAGGGTGTTTGGAGAGCATATAGAGAGACTGTGTGTGTATTTTTGGTTAAAATAGTGTGGATATATCCACTTCTTTTACCACTCAAGTCTAAGAGACAAGGTGAACATGCATGCAAGTATGTTGCTGGCAGATGCAAGATAGAAACCACCACACTGATAATGTGGGTGATAAGGAGGTGTGAGAAACAGATGATGAAATTGGAACAAAGAACAGAGCTGAGCGAGGACATCTAGTAGTGGAGACAAGAGGAGCAATTTTTATATAATTTGTTCATATTGTTGGTTAGATTTTTTTTTTCTTGAAACTGTGATGTCATTTCTGTTTTGTGGACTCATAATTTTGCTAACTGATGGAGGGTAGTTTATCAAAGGTTAAGATTATTTGAAGGTGTGAACCACAACCGACAACAGAACTTTTTTTACTGGAACAAATGTGCAAAATAAGGATATTTTGAAAATATTTTACTTTATCCCTCATTTGCTGTGGTGGGTCCCATTAACTGAAAGGCTAGTTGCGCTAACCCTAAAGCACTCATCATAAAATATAGTTCTACTAATGCTAAAGCAAATATCACAATAATGTAGTATTCAGTGGACGCTAAGGCTAAAGGCCTAAGTTCAATTCAAAAGATGTCCATGAAAACTAAAACTCTCAAAACAGCAATTTAATTTTGATATGAATTACAAATGGGGAGAGAATGAAAGAAAAAAAAACCTACCTTCTGCATAAACAGTCTTCACCCACTTCAAAATAAGAGCATGAATATAAACGTCGAACTACTTGAGGAAACATGAATATGAATCTCAAACTTTGACTAAAAGTTTTACAATACAACCAAATAAATTTATCCAGAAAAATGTATTTGGGGTAAGCTAAATGTTTTTAAAGTTAGTTAGAGCATTTAGCAACAAACACAAAGACTGGTTTTGAGAATCTTTTTTTTTTTGCTACATGTTTATATCCCCCCTCTGGAAAATTTGAACCAGTGGCTTTTTCCAAAATTTTCACAATGTTACATCAATTACCAAAATGATAAAACACTGTCAAGTGTTTGAAAACTCACAAAGATGCAGTTACTACAGGGAGTAGGTATTAAACTAAAACCTTTACCCAAACTCAGCGTTTTATGTGCGACTAGAATACATTTGGAGATAATCGTCCTTTTAATTGTGGCTTTTCTTTAGTTTAAATGAGAACCCAGATGTGCTTAACTGAACCATTCTTCACCTGACAAAAAAATTTAAACAAGGAAGTGCATTCTGTTATAACTGGAAGAACAAGGATGGTGCTCCGACTAGTTTTCTCAGAACCCTCATATCTGTTTGGAAGAGATTCCATTTCTGCTTTTACCACCATGTCTGCTATTTAAAAAAACATCATGTATCTGCTGCATCAGGAAAATTTTCTTGGTATGCTATGACAGCGTTGAGCTGATGGACTCCCATCCATTTTATGTTTCATTTCCACAGTGACAACGACCGCAACACCATCTTCTACACAAGCAAATGGTATGACACGGTTTATTTTTTCTTGTGTGTGGAGTCAAATTAGTCTGGCAGGGAAAAGACAAAATCTCTAACATTGTGTTCATGCAAATGTAACATGGCCTCTTAAGGCTGCAGTATGCAACTTTTATAACAATGTTAGTTTTTTTTTTACATATTTGTTAAAACTGTCTCTATGACCTGGCAGTATAATAAGAGATGATGTGTGAAATAATCAAGCGCCTCCCAGTGGCCCTACTGCCATCGGAAGAAATACTCCACTTGGTCAGAAACAGCCAGTCAGAGCCAGGAAGAAGGTTGCAGTCATACTTATGTACATGCTGCTTACATCCTCCCCATTACTATTTGCTAGTTACCACAACAGAGCCTGCAGTGAATGCTAAGGCTAGTTAGCATGGCCACTGATGATGGCAGATAAACAGTTTTTCTGTAATGTTAAGTTGTTCTCCACAATTAGCACAGCTGCACCAAACCAACAATCTTGGCAGTTTTATAAGCGCCGTGTGCAGGAGGCAAAGTGTGACTGACTATTCTAAGCCTTTCCTGCTGACTCTGATGGGTTGTTCCTGCAAATAGCACTAGGCCTAATTTTTTCAACTCTTCTCTTATCCCCCCCATCGATGCCCACAGATCTAATGGACTTCGATGTGGTCATCGTCGTTTTCATCCCAACCTCTAGTGTTCGACCAAGTATATTCAGCGATGTCAGAAGCACTGTACAAAATCTTACCTTCCCAATACGCATCTCTCAGACTCTGGAAGTGAAAGAGATCTACTTCACCACAGGTATGTAAGAGAGTCTGCTGGCTGAGTGGTTTGATTTGGATGAGAATCAAAAAAACCATCTGGCTTTTTTTGCAACAGCCTGTGATCCAAACTCTGCTAATGGACTCCAGTGTCAATGTGAGAGCGGCTTTGCTTGGCCATGTGACAGGTGTAACAGCAGCAACTCATGCAACAATCAAACCTGTACATGTTTATATGGACTTCCTCCCAATGATGAGTTCTGTCAGCCAGTCTCAAGTAAGAATACAGTTTTTTTGCTTTTTAAATAAATATTGTTATTACTATTCTATTAGACGTCTGTAGAGAATCATAGAGACATTGCTTGTTTTGCTGCCAATATGTGTCTTTGATTATATTCCTGATGATGCAACATTAGTTGCTTTTTTTAGCCTTATTTCTTCTCTTCTTCTCCCCAGATGCCACTATATGTGAGCCAACTCCTATAGGTAAATAAAAACACAAAGAACTGAGTTGCAGTTCAACAGTTGAACTTACCTTAGTTTGCTTCAGATTTTGCCAATTGCAAATTTAAGTTGCATTTGGTAAAATCTGCACATTTTCACTCAGAGCTTAAGTAAAATCATCTCATGAAAAGATGGATGTTTCTAATTGTAATCAGATGTTGAAGTTACTATAATATATATCATAAAAATGTGTTTACAAACCCGTTTTTGAGTATTTTCTTGGAATTTTATATGATACATCTACACAAAGTATCATGTTAAAGTAAAGTGAAAGTATACATGAAAGACTTTGTTATTGGTTCTCTTTTTATGTAGGTGGAGAAAATACCTATAAGTATACATGGCTGTTTACAGGTAGAAAGTTTTTGTCCTCATGATAACTGTTAACCACTAAATATGGTCTTTATGTCAACAGAATGTGTGGACATTGAAGTAATCCTTGACCTGCAGCTCCCAGTGACCACTGCACCATCAAACTTACTTGATTTGCTCAGGGCAGCTTTGAGAAATGAAACCTTTCCCATTGAGCTCTCGCAGTCTTTAGATGTTTTAGATGTAGAGTTAACCACAGGTAAGAGCTTATCTAACGATTAATCCGGCTTATCAGGAATGATGCTTTTTAAAGTATATACTTACTTTCTATCTTTTGTAAAATCTTTGCCAGCTTGCTCTCCAAACTCCACCGATGAACTGCTCTGTCAATGTGAAGAAGGTTTTGCTTGGCCATGTCACATGTGCAACAGCAGCAATACATGCAATGACCCCAGCAATCTGTTCTGTACGTGTTTAAATGGACTTCCTTCCAACAACAACTTCTGCCAGCCAATCACAAGTAAGGAAACTGAGTTTTGTGTATATATATATATATATATATATATATATATATATATATATATATATATATATATATATATATATATATATATATGTGTGTGTGTTTTTTTTTTGTTTTGTTTTTTTTCGTCTTTAAGAACTTGCAATTTCTCTCTGAATGTTTTGGCTTCCTGGACTGAAATATAAAAACGGTTTTCTTCGTTGCTCCACAGATTCCTCTGTGTGCCCAACTCCTACTCCAGGTATGTAAAAAAAAAAAAATTCAGCTATAATTTAACACATTTGGAATTTGCTCCAGAAACCAAATAAAGAAAAATCCACCTGAATTATATCTCAAGAAACTTAAGAGAAAATGGGGGGACTTTGGTTCAAACATGCTCCTTTGTTCTATATAATGCAACATCACCGAGTTGATTATATCTTTGAACTCAAACCTAGTGAGTAAATTGTTTATGCTCTGCCATCATGCTGGCAAGATGAGAATGCAATTTATTTCCATTTACCAACAAATCTTTTGTACATGGATAAAGTAAATGATTTATTTACCCTTTTAAATGCCTGACCATCTGAGCATGAAAGTTAAACACTCTATAGTCTTCATGTGGCCCCTTGCAGCAAAATAGATGTTTGCTGAAATAATTAGAAAACAAGTTGGATTGCAGTTGGTTGCAGCCTCTCTAGGTACTGATTGCACAGTGCAAACAGAACCCAAGATTTAGTAACGCCATTATTTGGTCAACGCTGTGATATTTTCTCATAGCTTTTGTGTTGGTTCCATAAAAGTGGTAGATGTGAATATCAGTTGAGTTTTAAGGCTTAAGGCCCATATGTACCTTCACTGAAGGCAGAGGCATTTGGTCTCCTCTCCCAGAGCTGCAAGAGCAACATATCATTCTGGTCTTGCAGCTGTGGTTGTGTTGTTCCTGGAATGTGTTCTTAACACATTGTCTGCCATTGTGTGATGTCTAGACAACTTGTAGGCACAACTGCAGCACAGCCTGAGAAGAGCTACTAAGAGTGCTACACCTGGGGAGAAATTTGTATCTGGATCATCCTCTTCACAATACAGCGACTCAGCGAGAGTCTCTTATGCCAGACATTTCTTTGAAGCCAGCTCAGCACAGACTGCCACACAAGATGCTTCCTGCTTGAAAAACATCTTGATCATGATCACTACGACTTTGCATTTTTTTAAACTGAACTTTGTGCCTGGATCCTTTTGGCTTGATGTTATCTTTTGGTGTCATCTCTTTTTATGGGTTACTTTTTGTGGTGTTTTTCTTAGCTCAGTGTTGAGTTCTGTTCAGTGTGTATCGCTTCAGATTCTCATTTGATGGTTTTGTTGGGTGAGATTCCTTTTACCGTACTCCAGTCCGTGAGGGGAGATGTTACTCAACTTCTGGTGTGTCCCAAGTCCAACACACAGGAAATAAGTTCAAGTCCTACAGAGCCTTACTAGGACCGGGTTATGTGATTCAGTAGTGCTGACACAGTGATCCATCTAAAGGCCCCTGAGGACGGGAGTTTTACATCCGTGTTTTAGATCTTTGTGAGCATTCCGATGTTCGTTAGGCACCTTTCCCTCAGCTACTCAAAGCTTCTCACCAAGCTGATCTACATTCCAATGGTTGGTTTCACTGATTAGTTCTCATGTCATTTGATGATATCTGCTGTCAGCCTTCAAGCATGTGTTAGTTCAAACCAGGTAGATTCCCAGCACTGTCCAAAGAGATTATTTCTCAAATTACAGAGAAATGTGTGGGTAAATGGAAATGCATCAGCTTGCATAAGTGGGCATGAGGTCACATTTCTATAGTCTACTAGTGGATCATTTGAACAAAAGAGAATACATTTAGAGGTTCCTCATCTACATCTGTAAGAATTATTGAAATTTAAATATAAGACAACTTCTGCGAATGCTAGTGTTTCTTTAATTTCTTTGTGTTTCATTTCTAGTGACAACGGTCTCAACAACTCCTTCACCAATTTATGGTACGACAACATAAAACAAACATAATGATAATGAACAAGTATTGGTGTTGTCTCTATCATTCACCCTCTTCTGCTCAGTGGTCAGAGATTATACGGTTTAGTTTCGTGGATGGTCTATCCCACCTTGTCAGTCGTCTTAATTTTGTTGGAATTTTCATCTATTTGCCTCGACAGAGATTGATTTAGTCGTGGAAGTACACATCCCAATCTCAAGCTACCAGTCTGACATGCTGGATGAGTTTCGAGAGTCTCTGAACAACAAAACTTTCCTCACACCATTCTCAAAGTCTTTAAACATTACAGAGTTATCCTTGACCACAGGTAAGATTTATATTACTTACTCCTTTTTTTTCCCCTATTTTTGGTTTGACCCTGAGAATAAAACGGTGCATGATTTCTTCTATCATTTTTAAATGTCCCCAACAGTCTGTGATCCAAACTCCCCTTATGGATATCAGTGTGTGTGTGAAAGCGGCTTTGCTTGGCCATGTGACATGTGCAGCAGTAACAATTCATGCAGCAATCAACCTGTACGTGCATATATGGACTTCCTTCCAACAACGACTTCTGTGAGCCAATCACAAGTAAGAAAGACAGCTGAAGGAGGAACCTGCACAGAGTCAATACGATACTATTTAAACTATCAGGTTTTATTATCACATTGATTATAATCACACGTTTAGAATTTAATCTCTGATTGGTCCACAGATAATTCCATATGCCCGACACCAACACCACCTCCAGGTATGTAAAACATGTAGATTTGTTTGTTGACTGTTTCAGAAAGCAGGTTCAGCAAAAACTCAATCTCCCAGAATTCATTGCTGTTGGGCCAGGAGATGCAAAACAGTGAAGCATAGAATGTAGGATGGGATGATGTGCAAAAAATAATTTTACTCATGTAAATAAGAAAGCTGAGAAGTATTTAATTAATGACAAGTAATCCTCTGGAATGATGAAGGTGGTCACGTAATGCTGGGTCCAAAGTCTCAGCACCAAGCGATAAGTCAGAGGTCCAATAGTTATCATTGATGGCGTTTTTACTTCAGCAATAATATGATTTTGTTCAACTTTAAATAAATTCCTATAAAGTCAACACACAACAAGTCAAATTATTAATTTACTTTCTGTCAGTGCCTGTTGTTGTAAACATTACCAAAGCTTCATTTTAAAAATAATTATTTTTCTACATCTGACAAGGCAAAATTCTGTAAAAACATAACATTAACAGATCCCATAAATGTTGTGCATGAAAAAAATTAACTCTTTCTCCTCCCTCCACCTGAACACAACAGAGCTAGTGGACATCGATGTGGTCGTTGTCTCGTTCATCCCAACCTCTAGTGTTCCATCAAGTATATTCACCTACGTCAGAAGAACTCTGCAAAGACTTACCTTCCCAATACGCATCTCTCAGACTCTGCAAATGAAAGAGGTCAACTTCACCACAGGTATGTGAGAGAGTCTGCTGGTTCAGTGGTTTACCTTCTGAATAAGATTTGATTTGGATGAGAATAAAAAAAACATCTGGCTTTTTTTGCAACAGCCTGTGATCCAAACTCTGCTAATGGACTCCAGTGTCAATGTGAGAGCGGCTTTGCTTGGCCATGTGACACGTGTAACAGCAGCAACTCATGCAACAATCAAGCCTGTACATGTTTATATGGACTTCCTCCCAATGATGAGTTCTGTCAGCCGGTCTCAAGTAAAATACAGTTTTGTTGCTTTTTAAATAAATATTGTTATTACTATTCTATTAGACGTCTGTAGAGAATCATAGAGACGTTGCTTGTTTTTGATGCCAATATGTGTCTTTGATTATATTCATGATGATGCAACATTAGTTGCTTTTTTTAGCCTTATTTCTTCTCTTCTTCTCCCCAGATGCCACTATATGTGAGCCAACTCCTATAGGTAAATAAAAACACAAAGAACTGAGTTATAGTTTAACAGTTGAACTTACCTTAGAGAAGGATTCAAGTTTAAGTTGCATTTTGGCAAAATCTGCACATTTTCACTCAGAGCTCAAGTAAAATCATCCCAAAAGATGGATGTTTCTAATTGTAATCAGATGTTTAAATTACTGTTATATATGTCATATAAATATGTTTTTGCAAAGCAACATTTGTGTATTATCTTATAAATCTTAACCAGAGTGGGTACAAAGCAGTTTTACAATTTCATAAGAAGTGAGTTCAATTAATCAGGTGTAACTGCCTTGTAAAGGTGGACTTGGTTTATGTCACATCATTCTCCTGTTGAATAACTCAAATCTGCTTAAGCTGAAGATGTGGTAGCAATTTTCCCGTCTGTATCCCGGAACATGTTCTTGCACTGGCATTTTTCTTCATATTGTAAATGATCAGTATTGTTAATTTTATGTTCATTTTACTAGAAATCAATCTGGTTCTTGAAGTGCACATCCCAGTGGACAGTTTACAGAAAAACACGCTCGATACATTCAGAAGGAATCTGCTAAATAAAACCATCCCTGATGTACATCAGGCTTTCACAGTGTTAGAAATAACACTGACCACAGGTAAAACTTTGAGCTAAATTATTTAAAATATGACGATGTTTATTAGAAAATGTGTAATTTTTATCTTTTTTAAATGTCCCCAACAGTCTGTGACCCAAACTCCCCTTATGGATATCAGTGTGTGTGTGAAAGCAGCTTTGCTTGGCCATGTGACATGTGCAGCAGTAACAATTCATGCAGCAATCAAACCTGTACGTGCATATATGGACTTCCTTCCAACAACGACTTCTGTGAGCCAATCACAAGTAAGAAAGACAGCTGAAGGAGGAACCTGCACAGAGTCAATAAGATACTATTTAAACTATCAGGTTTTATTATCACATTGATTATAATCACACGTTTAGAATTTAATCTCTGATTGGTCCACAGATAATTCCATATGCCCGACACCAACACCACCTCCAGGTATGTAAAACATGTAGATTTGTTTGTTGACTGTTTCAGAAAGCAGGTTCAGCAAAAACTCAATCTCCCAGAATTCATTGCTGTTGGGCCAGGAGATGCAAAACAGTGAAGCATAGAAAGTAGGATGGGATGATGTTCAAGAAAATAATTTGACTGAAGTAAATAAGAAAGCTGAGAAGTATTTAATTAATGACAAGTAATCCTCTGGAATGATGAAGGTGGTCATGTAATGCTGGGTCCAAAGTCTCAGCACCGAGCGATAAGTCAGAGGTCCAATAGTTGTTGATGAGGTCATGCATTCATACAGAACCAACACCTGGAAAGAGTTAAGAAAGCTAAATGGAAATGCTTCATTGTCCGACAACTTGAAAGACACACTGATGTCAGATAAATGATAATACTTCCTTCTGTTGTCCTGAAAGTCTTGATCATCAAACCTGTTATAATCTATATTATCATCATCACTGTCAGATCTATCACTGTCTTTTTCAGAAGCTGGAAGTTTTCCTGTGCTTGCTTTCTGACTGCTAATCTTTTTCTGTATCAATTCTCTTTCTCCTGTTTTGTTTATCTACATCTTCCAACATGAAAACTGTTAACATTGATGGCATTTTTTTCTTTAGCAATAATATGATTTTGTTCAACTTTAAATAAACTCCTAACATGTCAACACACAACAAATCAAATTATTAATTTACTTTCTGTCAGTGCCTGTTGTTGTAAACATTACCAAAGCTTCTTTTTAAAAATAATTATTTTTCTACATTTGACAAGGCAAAATTCTGTAAAAACATAACATTAACAGATCAAATAAAGTGTTGTGCAAGAACAAAAATGAACTCTCCTCTTTCTCCTCCCTCCACCTGAACACAACAGAGCTAGTGGACATCGATGTGGTCGTTGTCTCGTTCATCCCAACCTCTAGTGTTCCATCAAGTATATTCACCTACGTCAGAAGCACTCTGCAAAGACTTACCTTCCCAATACGCATCTCTCAGACTCTGCAAATGAAAGAGGTCAACTTCACCACAGGTCTGTAAGAGTCTGCTGCTTTAGTGATTTACCTCCTGAATAAGATTTGATGTGGATGAGAATAAAAAAAACATCTGGCTTTTTTGCAACAGCCTGTGATCCAAACTCTGCTAATGGACTCCAGTGTCAATGTGAGAGCGGCTTTGCTTGGCCATGTGACACGTGTAACAGCAGCAACTCATGCAACAATCAAGCCTGTACATGTTTATATGGACTTCCTCCCAATGATGAGTTCTGTCAGCCAGTCTCAAGTAAGAATACAGTTTTGTTGCTTTTTAAATAAATATTGTTATTACTATTCTATTAGACGTCTGTAGAGGATCATAGAGACGTTGCTTGTTTTGCTGCCAATATGTGTCTTTGATTATATTCATGATGATGCAACATTAGTTGCTTTTTTTAGCCTTATTTCTTCTCTTCTTCTCCCCAGATGCCACTATATGTGAGCCAACTACTATAGGTAAATAAAAACACAAAGAACTGAGTTATAGTTTAACAGTTGAACTTACCTTAGAGAAGGATTCAAGTTTAAGTTCCATTTTGGCAAAATCTGCACATTTTCACTCAGAGCTCAAGTAAAATCATCCCAAGAAAAGATGGATGTTTCTAATTGTAATCAGATGTTTAAATTACTGTTATATATGTCATAAAAATGTGTTTTTGCAAAGCAACATTTGTGTATTATCTTATAAATCTTAACCAGAGTGGGTACAAGAGCAGTTTACAATTTCATAAGAAGTGAGTTCAATTAATCAGGTGTAACTGCCTTGTAAAGGTGGACTTGGTTTATGTCACATCATTCTCCTGTTGAATAACTCAAATCTGCTTAAGCTGAAGATGTGGTAGCAATTTTCGTCTGTATCCCGGAACATGTTCTTGCACTGGCATTTTTCTTCATATTGTAAATGATCAGTATTGTTAATTTTATGTTCATTTTACTAGAAATCAATCTGGTTCTTGAAGTGCACATCCCAGTGGACAGTTTACAGAAAAACACGCTCGATACATTCAGAAGGAATCTGCTGAATAAAACCATCCCTGATGTACATCAGGCTTTCACAGTGTTAGAAATAACACTGACCACAGGTAAAACTTTGAGCTAAATTATTTAAAATATGACGATGTTTATTAGAAAATGTGTAATTTTTATCTTTTTTAAATGTCCCCAACAGTCTGTGACCCAAACTCCCCTTATGGATATCAGTGTGTGTGTGAAAGCGGCTTTGCTTGGCCATGTGACATGTGCAGCAGTAACAATTCATGCAGCAATCAAACCTGTACGTGCATATATGGACTTCCTTCCAACAACGACTTCTGTGAGCCAATCACAAGTAAGAAAGACAGCTGAAGGAGGAACCTGCACAGAGTCAATAAGATACTATTTAATTGATCAGGTTTTATTATCACATTAATTATAATCACACATTTAGAATTTAATCTCTGATTGGTCCACAGATAATTCCATATGCCCGACACCAAAACCACCTCCAGGTATGTAAAACATGTAGATTTGTAAGATAATTATAAAATTATTGCACAGAGTACATCTGGTTGAGAAGCGCATTCCAATCTTTGGTTGAAAAGGCGCATTTGATTTTATTCTGCAGTCATAATACAATTTTAAACAATACAATAAGTTTCAATTAAAGGAGCTGGAATAGGCTACGTTAAGTTTTCACGGTCAGTTGGGGGAGAAAAGGATAACTCCCATTTGATTTTCTAAAAACGAATATTCAGGAAATGCTTTCTTCTACTTTAAGCTGCTCTGATGTTTCAGTCATTCTGTGATATGCATATATTTTACAACAATATAAACACAGCAAAAAATTATAAAATTAAACGTAAACGATTTATTAAATGACAAAATCGAAAACATAAAAAACTGTATTTTTTATGAAAAAAAGAAAAAAAACTCACCTCCATGTTGCAATGCAACAAATATAATCCTTTCTCACGATGTCTCCAGTTCTTAATCCAATGCTTTGATTTTTGATTACGTCTTTTTTGGGTTAAAATAAGTCTGCAAACTAATAATAATAATAATAAGAAGAAGAAGAAGAAGAAGAAGAAGAAGAAGAAGAAGAAGAAGAAGAAGAAACAGTACAAAAACAATAGGCCTTCGCAGCACTTAGCTGCTCGGGTCTAATAATTTCGAGAGCAAAATGAAGCAGAAACTCTTTTTGACAACATTTGATTCATTGTTAAAGCAAACACTGATCCTGAGTACAAAGATATTTAATGCTCATTAAATTTAAGTTTTGTGAAAACTTAAATTTTCAATTTCGTACATGTTCTTCTTGTGACAGTGTCATAATGGGGAATTTTATTTCCAGCCCATATGCAGAACACAATACGCAGAGAGATCCAGGTGGAGTGTAAATATTTACAAGGTTTATTTTACACAACAGTGAACGAGGAATGACAGGGATTCGGGTCCAGTCCACAGGAGCGTCTCGGGAGGGGGAGCGATCGGGAACTATGTAAACAGATGAGGTGGTGAGTTCAGGGACAGTCGGAAACACGGTGTGAGGGTAAACAGGAACAGTCTTACTTGAGGGGTAGACAGCTGCAGCGTGGAAGAGATTCACTGCAGGGTAGCGGCAGGGTGTGTGTGTGTAGGCGGGCGGACAGGTGGGCTCGGTGTCCACGGTGGAAACGCGGAGCAGGACGAGGAGCGAGGCACGAGGAGCGAGGAGCAGCCAGCCAAGGAATCCGAGGGGAGCCTGTTGTTGCACAGAGAAGGTGAGTCGAGAAACTCAGCACAACGGGAAATCCTTCCACTGCATCGGGTGAATGGTCTGGTGAAAGAAGAAAGCGACAAGGAGACAGTCACAGGAGGGCAATCTCAGACGAGAAGGAAAAGAACGCTTGACAGCAACAGGGAGGCTCAGAGGTACCAATACGGGAAGACACTCAGGCGCCGAAGACTGGCAGGTTGCTCCTGAAGACGCTGCTCCTGATGAGCTCAACTCGCAACCGGTGTGCTCGCTGACGTAATCCAGCCCACCGTCCTGACAGCGCCCTCTGGTGGAAAAGAAGAAGCACAACCACCCAAACCAAACCCATGGCGACAAAACGCTAAGAACACCCCCAAGACCCTGACAGTACCCCCCCCCTAACGGTTGCCTCTAGGCAACCCAGACGAGGTAGAGGGAAGCGAAGCCCGGTAATCAGAAATAAGGGACGGGTCCAGAATGTAAGACCCCGGGACCCAGGAACGCTCCTCAGGGCCGTAACCCTCCCAATCTACGAGATACTGCCACCCCCTACCGCGACGACGGGAATCCACGATTCTCCGAACCGTGTAAGCCGGATGGCCATCGATCTCACGGGGGGGCGGAGGAGCCTCGGCTGGAGGGCAGAGCGTGCTGGTCTGTACGGGTTTGATCTGGGAGACATGAAAGGTGGGATGGATGCGGAGAGAGGCGGGGAGACGGAGGCGGACTGCAGACGGGTTAATGATAGTCTCAATTTCAAATGGGCCGATGTAACGGGGTGAAAGCTTCCTGGAAATGGATTTTAAGGGGATGTCGTGGGAGGACAGCCATACCTTTTGACCAGGTGTGTAAGTCGGGGCGGGGCGCCGCTTACGGTCAGCCTGCCGTTTTATCTGTGCAGCGGTGAGGTGGAGATTATGAATAGTGGAACTCCAAACCTTATGACAACGGCGGATGTGGTGACGGACAGAAGGGACAGAGATGGAATCTTCATCAGAGGGTAGCAGCGGAGGTTGGTAGCCCAGGGACGCCTCGAATGGGGACAAACCTGTGGCAGAGGAGACATGAATATTGTGAGCGTATTCTACCCATGGTAGAAACAGAGACCAGTCGGAAGGGTTGGAGGAAGAAAAACATCGGAGGGTGGCCTCGAGATCTTGGTTCAGCCGTTCGGTTTGTCCGTTCGACTGTGGGTGAAAACCAGATGTGAGTGATGTTTTGGCGTTTAACGCAGAGCAAAACTCCCGCCAAACCTGGGAAGTGAACTGAGGGCCCCTGTCCGAGAGTATGTCCGCGGGAATGCCGTGAAGCCGGAAAACGTGTTTTACTAAGAGCTGAGCCGTTTGAAGGGCAGAGGGAAGTTTGCGGAGCGGGACAAAATGACAGGCCTTGGAAAACCTGTCGACTATAGAAAGGATGGTAGTCATACCCTTAGAGGGTGGCAAACCCGTGACAAAATCTATGGCGATATGAGACCAGGGTCGCTGAGGAGTGGGAAGTGGTTGCAGGAGACCTGAAGGGAGTTGATGGGAGGATTTATTTCTGGAGCAAATGGAACAGGCCGGACATACTCTCGGACGTCTTTGTGGACTGATGGCCACCAGAACCGTCTGTTGACCAGGGCAATCGTCCGGCTGACTCCGGGATGACCCGAAAATCGGGAGGCGTGGATCCACTGGAGGAACTGGGTGCGCACGGAAGAAGGGACGAATATCTTGTTAGCCGGACAGGACTCTGGAGGGGGTTCGGAGTGTTGAGCTTGCGTGATTATTTCCTCGATCTCCCAAGTCAGAGCTCCCACTGTGCAACTGGGTGGGAGAATGGGAGCAGGAAGGTTGTCAGAGTCGTCGGGAGAGTAAAGCCGGGACAGTGCATCTGGCTTTGTGTTTCTGGAGCCTGGACGATAGGAAATAGACAGATTAAATCGGGAAAAGAATAGTGACCACCGTGACTGGCGAGGGTTCAGCCTCTTGGCAGACTGCAGGTAGGCGAGGTTCCTGTGATCGGTCCAGACCAGCACCGGGTGTTCCGCACCCTCCAGCCAATGTCTCCACTCCTCCAAGGCTAGTTTTATGCCCAGCAGTTCCCGGTCCCCCACGTCGTAGTTCCTTTCTGATGGGGACAACCTGCGTGAGAAGAAGGCACACGGATGAGTTTTATTGTCAACTGCGGAAATTTGGGACAGCACAGCTCCGACTCCCATGTCAGAGGCGTCCACCTCTACGATGAACTGACGAGACGGATCTGGCTGAATGAGGATGGGGGCATTGGAGAACAGGCTCTTGAGGTGATTAAAGGCCCTTTCAGCCTCTGGGGTCCAACGGAATGGAACCTTAGAGGGTCAGAGCGTCAGGGTAACGCGGTTTGACTGTAATTGCGAATGAACCTACGATAGAAGTTGGCAAATCCTAGGAATCGTTGGAGCTGTTTGCGAGTTTCCGGAACGGGCCATTCCAATACTGCCTGGATCTTCTCCTCCGTAGGCCTCACCTGTCCGCCCCCTAGGATGAAACCCAGAATGAGACGGAGGGTGAAATTCACATTTCTCTGCCTTTACGTAAAGTTTGTTCTCAAGCAATCGCTGGAGAACCTGCCGCACGTGAAGTCTGTGTTCCTCCACTGACTTGGAGAAAATTAAAATATCACGAGGTAAACAAATACAAATACATTTAGGAAGTCTCGGAGGACATCGTTTACCAGCGCTTGGAAAAACGCAGGGGCATTGGACAATCCAAAAGGCATAACCAATATTCGAACTGCCCCATGGGAGTCTTGAAGGCAGTTTTCCATTCGTCGCCATCGCGAATGCGGAGCAGATGGTAGGCATTTCTCAGGTCTAATTTAGTAAAGACGGCGGCTCCTTGGACGGGCTCGAATGCAGAGGATAATAGCGGTAAAGGGTACTTATTTTTAACAGTGATGTTGTTTGAGTCCTCTATAATCAATACAGGGCCGCAGGGATCCGTCCTTCTTCCCAACGAAGAAGAACCCCGCTCCTAGTGGTGATGATGAAGGCCGGATGATCCCTGCCGCAAGAGATTCCTTTAAATATTGTTCCATGGTCTCCCTCTCCGGACGGGAAATGTGATATAGGCGACTGGAGGGCAGAGCTCCGGGAGCAGGTCAATGGAACAATCATAGGGTCGATGCGGCGGCAGGGAAAGAGCCTTTACCTTGCTGAAGACTGCAGAGAGGTCGTGGTATTCAGGGGGTATGGAGAGGTCAATTTGATCTGTCGTCTGCAGGAAGTCGGATGACGACCCGGGAGGAACTGCAGAGCGGAGACATGATGAGTGGCAGGGAGTAGACCAAGAAACGACGTGCCCCTCGGACCAGTCTATTTGGGGGTTATGTTGTTTGAGCCACTGGAAACCTAAGACTACCGGAGAATTAGAAGTGGGAAACACGAAGAAAGAAATCCACTCAGAGTGGTTGCCGGAAATGGTCAGGTGGAGCGGTTTCGTCTGGTGAGTAATAGGCTGTAATGTCTTACCGTCTAGTGAAGTGACTCTAAAAGGAGTTGGCAACGGGACTGTTTCAACGCCCCTCTCTTTGACAAAACCTCGTCCAATAGGTTCCGTTCACACCCCGAATCAACGAGAGCGGATAATGGGAATGACTGATTAGCGTGGGTTATGGTAGCCGGCAAAAGGAGTCGCGGTGAGGTCTTCTGATTCTGGTGGTCCGCCACCACCCTCACTCCGGCTGGCGGACCTGGGAGTTTAACCGGAGCGGGCAAGAGGAACGGAAATGGCCAGGCGCACCGCAGTAGAGACAGAGGCGACTCGACATTCTACGTTGTCGCTCCTGCGGTGTGAGACGCGTACCACCCAGCTGCATGGGTTCGGGGTAGCCGAAACGCGGGCAGGAGATGCTAGCGGGGCTGCTCTAAGCCGTCCGTGGTCTGCCTCGGGAGAGCGGTGCCGACCTCTTTCACGAGCGCGGAAGCGGAGACGATTATCGAGCCTGATGGCGATACTGATAAGGTCCTCTAGAGTCTTTGGCTCGTCTAAAGTGGCTAATTGGTCTTGTATAGGCTCATTAAGCGCCTGGAAAAACACGCTCTTTAGCGCTGCCGCATTCCACCCCGTGGAAGCGGCTTTGGTGCGGAAGTGGATAGCAAAATCAGCCACAGTCTGTTTGCCCTGTTTTATGTGCAAGAACTCACGGGAAATGTGGGTCTTATCGGAGTCCAAGCTAAAAACCTGTTTAAATTCAGTCAGGAAATGGTCAAATGAAACACCGTAATCCGTGGGGTCAGGGAAACGGGATTCTGCCCATAATAAGGCTTGACCAGACAGCTGTGCGAGCATGTAGGCTATCTTTGTGCTGTCTTGAGAGAAACTCTGGGGAGCGCTGTTGAATATAATAGAACATTGTAGCACAAAACCATTACACGTTGTACGGTCTCCGGAAAATTTTTCTGGCCCGGGGAGGCGGACGTCGGAAAAGACGGGCGGAACCGGAGCTATCGGACCAGGAACGGGGGCAGGAGTAGATGGTGGTGAATGAGAGCTCTGCAGAAACGCGGTTAGCTCTCCTAAACGCTGGTTCGTTTCCGTCTGGAGATCATGGAGTTGTCTAAGCGCCACCTTGTGGGCCTGGATCTCAGATTGCTGCTCGATCAACGTTTTGCGAATTGCGTCCGCTGGACTGAGAGTTTTGGCCTGAGTGTTCTGTCATAATGGGGAATTTTATTTCCAGCCCATATGCAGAACACAATACGCAGAGAGATCCAGGTGGAGTGCAAATATTTACAAGGTTTATTTTACACAACAGTGAACGAGGAATGACAGGGATTCGGGTCCGGTCCACAGGAGCGTCTCGGGAGGGGGAGCGATCGGGAACTATGTAAACAGATGAGGTGGTGAGTTCAGGGACAGTTGGAAACACGGTGTGACGGTAAACAGGAACAGTCTTACTTGAGGGGTAGACAGCTGAAGCGTGGAAGAGATTCACTGCAGGGTAGCGGCAGGGTGTGTGTGTGTGTGTAGGCGGGCGGACAGGTGGGCTCGGTGTCCACGGTGGAAACGCGGAGCAGGACGAGGAGCGAGGCACGAGGAGCGAGGGAGCAGCCAGCCAAGGAATCCGAGGGGAGCCTGTTGTTGCACAGAGAAGGTGAGTCGAGAAACTCAGCACAACGGGAAATCCTTCCACTGCATCGGGTGAATGGTCTGGTGAAAGAAGAAAGCGACAAGGAGACAGTCACAGGAGGCAATCTCAGACGAGAGGAAAAGAACGCTTGACAGCAACAGGGAGGCTCAGAGGTACCAATACGGGAAGACACTCAGGCGCCGAAGACTGGCAGGTTGCTCCTGAAGACGCTGCTCCTGATGAGCTCAACTCGCAACCGGTGTGCTCGCTGACGTAATCCAGCCCACCGTCCTGACAGCGCCCTCTGGTGGAAAAGAAGAAGCACAACCACCCAAACCAAACCCATGGCGACAAAACGCTAAGAACAACCCCAAGACCCTGACAGACAGGGAATGACATTCAGCAACAAACTGTCTTTCACTCATCAAGTTATTCCACAACTTGCCTTTATGTTGTTTTGTGACTAGTTTTATAGCAGTTTTAAATAACAAATATTGCAGTATGATAAATTACCCAATGAATTATTGTGATTAATGATAATCTTGCTGTTTAGAGAGAATGTTTAAGTAATGCAAGTTTGCCCTCTCAATTTCATACAGAATCTCTACAGTAGAACTGGAAGATATTTTAAATATCCAAAATGAAACACAACAACCAAAAACAAAACTGAAACCATAAGTAAAATGGATTGTGATGTCTCTGTAAACAAAATTGCCCTTCAAAAAATATTAATCATCAAAATGGAAAGTTGCCCAAAATGGTAAAAGTTGACTCAGAAAACCAGCAGCTAGTATATTATTTTTAATATACTTGTAAATATTATCTTGTTATTCTTGCAGAATGTGTCAAAAGTGGTCAGTTTTTTAATCGATTCATGACATTCAGTGGGAACTCTGACACAAAGCGCTCATTTAAGGTTTAAAATGTATAAATAAAACACTGGAGTTGACCTTTTCTCTCATAATAACAATGAATCCATCAGTTTCTCGCAGCAGCAGACGGAATGCGGCTCGCTAAACAGAGATGCGCCACCCACACATGAGATAAAGCAAAATTTTGGGGAAATACTTTTTTATTTTGGTGTCTGGACAATTTCAAAAACCTCCTGACGGTTGGTTCCACATTTCACTGCACCGTTACCGAGCAACCCCAGCTGAACCTAGTTTGTTACCTAGCAACCCAGGCAGAGTTCCAGCATATTTGGTCACCTGGTTTTACTACTGTATGCGCTGCAGAGTGGCTGCTGGAAAAGACAGAAGGTGTTTTGTTGTTGACTCACCATCCAGAAATCAACAAAAATGTGTTCTTGTTGGTTGTGCAGGAGGCTCCACTTCTGCTTTTCAAAGATCTACGGTTGTATAATTGCACATCTGTTTGCAGCCATTTTCACTTGTGAGTTTAAATGATGAGTTGGGGGGTGTGGCCAGCAGCAGCTTATTTGGATTTAAAGTGACAGAAGCACTGAAATAGCTGAAAACAGACAGAACTGAGCAGAACTTCAGTCTCATTATTTAATAATGATTTTGTGCAAAAAATATAACAAAAATGTTTTGCATATCCCATAGATCGATTCTAATTTATTTTTTATTATAAGGAATTATACTGAGTCACCTTAAAAAGGATCTTCTGGGTTGTTGGTTTGCATATCATCTTCTTCTTGAAAGGCAAACATTACTTTAATCTCAAGTTAAATGATGTTATTTCTGTTTCATGCTGAAACAGAAATAACGTTTCTGTTTCTGTTCCTACATAAATGCTAACAGATTTATTTAGGAACACAAAGAGTTGTCTTTGTGTGGGGTCTTCACCTTATGAACCTGTCCAAAACTCACAATCTTATCCTTGTTTCTACTGCATTTTTTTCTTTCCGCTCAATTTTACAATAATTTTCTGTTCGGTGAGTCAGCAGTTTTTGCCTTGATTATGTTGAACATAATTTAGGGCTAACAGTATATATTGTGATAAACACTTGATAAATATCAATAGATGATATATCTGAGAAAATATTCAATATATTAAAGCAGTAGTCCCCCACCCTGGACCTCAGGGCCCACTGTCCTGCATATTTTAGGCGTTTCCCTGCTGCTGCACACCTGGGTTAAATGAACAGGTGATTAACCAGCTACTGCAACAATTTCAGGAATGCAAAGAAGGAAATGCAGTCATCTGAATTAGTTGTGTTGGAGTCTAGACTCATCAAAAACATGCAGGACAGCGGTTCCTGAGGACCAGGGTTGGTCCACTGTATTAAAGAATATTTACTGAACTCTGATCCAGAACCACACTGCATTCTGGGAAATGTAGGCTGAGAAGCAGCTTTAACCGCTCAACCCACAGACATAACAAAAAGAATAGGCTCCGCATTGACTGCTTGGAGGCAGGAAACACGGTGGCCATCTTGGAGAGGTCGTCAATCCTACTTGGCTAAACCAGAACAGCAGACGATGCCTCAGCACTGCTGCATATTTTTGTTCAAAATGACGGACTATTCATGTGAGGGTTTGGGACATAACCTTTCAGTACGAGGACGATGTTGTTAATATTTTTGCATTAGCTATAGGGCTTGGTGTAATACTGGAGTTCAGCTCCCGCTACGAATGCTAACAGATTTATTTAGGAAACCTTCAAACCAATGGAAGATCTGGGAAGTATCTTGCTCCAGCGAGAGGCGGAGTTCACCCTGGACAGGTCGCCAGCAACACAAAGACAGACAGGTGAAAAACAACCGTGAATGCACAGATTCACACCTAAGAATGGGTTTAGAGAAATCAATTAACCTAACAATCATGCTTTTGGACTTTGGGAGGAAGCCGGAGTACCCGGAGAGAACCCACACAAACAGGGGGAGAACATGCAATATTCGTGCAAAAAGACTCGGCACAAAGACCCGGAGGTCAGCCGGAGACCAACGGGACTCCATACGAAGCCCCGGAGGTCAGCCAGAGAGTATCTGATGACCTGGCGACAAATGGGATTAGAGTCTGATGGTCTGGGAACTCGAGGCCTCAAGTTCCCATGGCACCGCAGTCCTGCGGGCCACAAGCTCTCCCTCCAACATCTTCCGCCATCAGCCCCTAAGTGTCAAGCTCCCTTGACACTGCAGTGCGTTTGTTGTAAAGCTTTTATGCCCCAAATAATCAAGTCTTAAGTTTTCAGTTATCATGACACTTTTTAAATCACATTTCGATCCAGTATTTCAGAGTACCATTTTCGGACATTTTCTGGTATGTGTTGATGATACCTCCGACCACACGTGCGATTACTGACGGCTGGTCTGAATCCGACTGGCTCTCTCCGTGGGTTTCCTTTTTAGGCGGCTGCTGGTTCTGCTGTTCCACTCTGTCCCTCATCTTTTTGGTCAGCTTTTCCCCTTCCAAGACACTTCCGATACGTTTCAGTTTCAGGGCGGCATTTTGCTGTTCAAAGATGGTGTTTTTATCCTCTAAGGCAGTGGTCCTCTTCTCCAGGGTCTCGCTTTTCAGCTTCAGATCGGTGCTTATTTTCATCAAGGCAGCGATTTTCTGCCTCAGGCTGGTGTTTTCCTTCTCCAGCGAGCTTTTTGCCTCCTCCAAAGCAGTGATTTTCTGTCCCTGGGTGGTGATTTCATGCTTGAGGATGGCTCTTATTTGTTCCAAGGCAGTGGTTTTCCTCTCCAAGATGGTTCTTTTCTGCTTCTCTGTGATGCTTCTCACCTTGAGAGTGGTGTTTTCCTCATTCAAGGCAGTCTTTTCCTGCTCGAGGGCGGTGTTTATTTCCGCCAAGGTTGTGTTTTTCTTCCCCATAATAACTGAAAACTTGCCCTGGAAAACAACGCCCAATGGACTGGCACGGCAGGGTGGCAGGACCAATGGTCAAATGGTGCCCGAAAACAGAAAAAGGGGAAACCCAGCTGATGCCTTGGAAGCAACCATTTCCGACTGTTTTTCTGGCCGGTGTCGGCTCACTGGATAAGAAAGTGAATTTGTTGCATCTAAGGCTGAGGGTTTCTGCAGAGATGAAGGTCTGTGCCGTTCTTTGCCAAACATAAACCTGGATTAACAGCAACAAGCTGGTATTCAGTTATTGTTACCTAGCAACTCACTCATTCTTTTGTTACCTAGCAACAGCCCGTTGCGTCACTTGCACAGGAAAGCAGGAAGTGAACGACCACGCAGGGCATCCTGGGTAAATACAACCAAAACAAACATTATAAGCTGGCGATAGCAGGAGAAATGACTTGATAAAACAAATATTCTACAACTGCTAAAACCTGACGCTACTCATTTTTTGGAAATGTTTTGTGAAGCTGGAAGTTGCGTTCATGTGTCATTGGTGTAGCGCCGCCACAGGCGAGGAGGGGAATATGTTGGTTTGAGTCAGTGTGGTGTGAAAACAAACTAACAGCTGAAAATAAAACAAATGCAGCAATTTTGGTCGAACCAAGTCTATCAGGTGTGAACACGTAAAGACTACAACATCCAAAGAAACATTCATTTTTTGTGATACTGGAGAAAGTTTTCCCAACATTTGGTTGGATTGGGAGGCAGGCAGTGTGTGTTTCCGACGCAGCTGTGGAAACGTGCAGGTCTGGTTGGTGGAATCACAGAAGAGAGGAGGGGAGGCAGGGCTTATTCTGCAGGAGAGACAAGGAGTCCCACAGACTGGCATCAGCGCATTCAGAGCCGGGTCTTTCTCCCTTCACACACACCCACCCACACACACACACACTGGGGCTCTTCATATCTGCTGCAAGAGAGAGCGAGTGTGTGTTTTATGCATTGTTCCTGGCTGTGACTGAACTGAACAGAAGCTTTCAGTGTGACGGAGAAACATCCTTCACATTGATGGCGTTTTTTCTTTAGCAATAATATGATTTTGTTCAACTTTAAATAAACTCCTAACATGTCAACACACAACAAATCAAATGATTAATTTACTTTCTAACTGTGCCTGTTGTAAACATTACCAAAACTTCTTTTTAAAAATAATTATTTTTCTACATCTGACAAGTCAAAATTCTCTGAAAAACATAACATTTACAGATTGAACAAAAGTGTTGTGCATGAAAAAAATGAACTCTCCTCTTTCTCCTCCCTCCACCTGAACACAACAGAGCTAGTGGACATCGATGTGGTCGTTGTCTCGTTCATCCCAACCTCTAGTGTTCCATCAAGTATATTCACCTACGTCAGAAGAACTCTGCAAAGACTTACCTTCCCAATACGCATCTCTCAGACTCTGCAAATGAAAGAGGTCAACTTCACCACAGGTATGTGAGAGAGTCTGCTGGTTCAGTGGTTTTACCTCCTGAATAAGATTTGATGTGGATGAGAATAAAAAAAACATCTGGCTTTTTTGCAACAGCCTGTGATCCAAACTCTGCTAATGGACTCCAGTGTCAATGTGAGAGCGGCTTTGCTTGGCCATGTGACAGGTGTAACAGCAGCAACTCATGCAACAATCAAGCCTGTACATGTTTATATGGACTTCCTCCCAATGATGAGTTCTGTCAGCCGGTCTCAAGTAAGAATACAGTTTTGTTGCTTTTTAAATAAATATTGTTATTACTATTCTATTAGACGTCTGTAGAGAATCATAGAGACGTTGCTTGTTTTGCTGCCAATATGTGTCTTTGATTATATTTCTGATGATGCAACATTAGTTGCTTTTTTTAGCCTTATTTCTTCTCTTCTTCTCCCCAGATGCCACTATATGTGAGCCAACTCCTATAGGTAAATAAAAACACAAAGAACTGAGTTATAGTTTAACAGTTGAACTTACCTTAGAGAAAGATTCAAGTTTAAGTTCCATTTTGGCAAAATCTGCACATTTTCACTCAGAGCTCAAGTAAAATCATCCCATGAAAAGGTGGATGTTTCTAATTGTAATCAAATGTTGAAACTTCTGTAAAAAAAAAAAAAAAAACACTGCAGGTACAACAGTATTTTACTGTTTTATAAAAAAATAATGATTTCATTCTAAATCTGACAATGCAAAATTCTGTAAAAACAACATTGACAGCTCACATAAATGCTGTGTATAAAAAAATGAACTCTCCTCTTTTTCCTCCCTCCACCTAAACACCACAAATCTAGTGGACATCGATGTGGGCATCGTCGTGTTCATCCCAACCTCTAGAGTTCTGCCAAGTATTTTCAGTGATGTCAGAAGCACTCTGCAAATTATTACCTTCCCAATACGCATCTCTCAGACTCTGGAAGTGAAAGAGGTCAACTTCACCACAGGTCTGTAAGAGTCTGCTGCTTTAGTGATTTACCTCCTGAATCAGATTTGATTTGGATGAGAATTAAAAAACCGTCTGGCTTTTTTGCAACAGCCTGTGATCCAAACTCTGCTAATGGACTCCAGTGTCAATGTGAGAGCGGCTTTGCTTGGCCATGTGACAGGTGTAACAGCAGCAACTCATGCAACAATCAAACCTGTACATGTTTATATGGACTTCCTCCCAATGATGAGTACTGTCAGCCGGTCTCAAGTAAGAATACAGTTTTGTTGCTTTTTAAATGAATATTGTTATTACTATTCTATTAGACGTCTGTAGAGGATCATAGATACATTGCTTCTTCTGCTACTATTCTTTTTTAGATGTTTGTACAGGATATAAATCACATTTTATGTTTGCATCTTTAAGAACTTGCAAATTCTCCTTGTATGTTCAGTTCTAGCTCCCAGTTCTGAAATATAAAAACAGTTTTCTTCGTTGCTCCACAGATTCCTCTGTGTGCCCAACTCCTACTCCAGGTATGTAAAAAATTTCAGCTGTAATTTAACACATTTAATCACATGTAATCTGCTTCAGAAACCAAAAAAACGTAAAATCCACCTGAATTATATCTCGACAAAGCTTGGAGAAAACAGTGGAGCTTTGATTCAATCATGCTCCTATGTTGTATATAATGCAACATCACCAGGTTGATTTCATCTTTGAACCCAAACCTAGTGAGTAAATTGTTTATGGTCTACACAGGATATTACAGACCGTATTTGTTCATCTGCAAATATGGATTTAAGATTCTAGTCCTGAAGATTCAACATTTGGATGGATCTCCAAGATCCATCCAAATGGATCCAAATGGATCTTCAGGATCCATGCAAATGGGTGAAGCTTATTTTCACACAGAGTTTTGGCAAAGTCAGGCCATGGAAAAAGAATGTCTCACATAGCCATACACATCAGTTCAGCATTTGCTTAATTTAGGAGTCAGTGTTTTGCCAGAGAGGATCTTTATTACTCTGCTGTTAAAGACCTTCCAGTAACAAGGATAGTTTGTGTTCACAGTCACCATGACACCATAATCACCCTAACAAACTCAGAGTTTAACTTATCTTGCTGTATGAAATCTGCAAGATAACTTATGGAATGCTAAACTTTCTGATTCCAGCCACAGCTGACCCGACAACAGCGGCCACGACGCCTGTAGCGACGACTGTAGCGACGACTGTAGCGACAATCGAGCCGCTGAAAGGTATGACCAAACCTGTTCATTTGTGAAATGTCATCATCTCTCTCTGTGTATACCGGTAAGTTCAAATAAAGCCTTTTTGTTCACTTCGCTGAACAAAAAGGGATAATTATTGTGTACATCAGCCTATGTTTGTTTTGGGACACACTATTAATGATCGAATTGCTTTGGCTATTGGTTTACTGTCAGCTTATGACTTACATGTGTCTAGTGTGGCACATTTTAGGTTTTTGTTTTTGTTTGTTGTTTGCTCTTGCATCTCAATTATGAAAATCTAAGCATTTTAAAAAAGTCTTCATAAACTTCATTTTTTAGGAAAATGTGTTAAATCGTTTAATGAAGAAGACTACACATGAGATTACTTTCGTATCACAATTTGAATAGTGAAGTCGTCCAGTGATTACTGGAAACAATGGCATTTTTTTTATTCCTCCTAATGAAGTCTCTCCTCTGTTTATTTCTGCAAATCCAGACACTGACGTGATCTTCGTCTTCCGGATCCCAGCCTCCATTGTGCAAAGTTATCCAATTCAACTACTCAAAAGCAAATTTTACAACTTAACCAACGACGTAACTCTCCCAGCGTTTTTGAAAGTGAAAGAAATAAAGTTGACCACAGGTAAAAAAAAACAAAAAAAACAAGTGAAATAAATAAATAAATAATATTGCATGACTTTCATCTTTTCAAATTCCTTTTAAAGTCTGCTCTCCCATCACACCGGTGCAACTGCGCTGTCAGTGTGAGGACAGTTTTGCATGGCCATGTGATCTGTGCAACACCAGCAACTCATGCAATGGCGACACCAGTCAGCAGTGCACATGCAGAAATGGACTCTCTTCTATCAACCAGTATTGTCAACCCCTCCTAAGTAAGCATGTCGTTTTATGTCTTTCAAAAGGTGATATTATTGTCAGCAAGAAAGGTAAGGAATTAAAAAACAGGCACATAAAACAAAACTTTTGCTTGTGTTTGCTTCACAGGTAGCACACCATGTTCCGGTAGGGAAAAACATTTTCCGTTCTGCTCTTTGTGTGTTTAGTTGTTTAGATCTAAAGCATCCGAGAACCTTAATCGGGTCTTTTGATTCGTTTCTTGTGATTTTAGCCACAACACCCCTGCCAAACATAACGGCACCACCGCCAACCATAGCAACGCCAGAACCGACACCACCGCCAACCATAGCAACGCCAGAACCGACACCACCGCCAACCATAGCAACGCCAGAACCGACACCGACGCCTAAAAACGTATTAGGCACCTTTACCATCGACATGCCGTTCGACATCTCATTCAATGACAAGAACAATCAAGTTTATAAAACCATTTATGACGCTGTAAGTCATCATTACGTAATGTTCCTGTCTTTCTGCTCTCTTAACATAGCTTTGATATTACAACAAGTACTTTTATTTCTTTCTTGTCTTTGTCATTCTCTCAAACAGACTTTAAACAAGTGTACAATTGTTTTAAAAAACAAGTGTGAGGTTAAAAATCTGACTTTCACGTAAGTAAAATTTTATTCTCATTTTTGTCGTGAATTAACTTACCTATAAAAATCAAACAGAAGTATAATTTGCTTTTACATTAACTAGAAGTTTACTGAAACAGTAATTTTTTAATTTTATTTTTTTTACTTTGTACATACACAAATGGATCCTTTAGTTCAGTTTCATTTTCATGGCACCACAAGTGCTGTTAGCTGGTTTGTGCCATCAGTACCCAATGGACTCAGCCATAGACAATTATGCATTTCATGGAGACCATACAATATTAAAAGAAGAGTGACAGATGGAGGAGTATGTATGTGGGGAGATGAAATCTATGAAACATGGAAACATTTTGCAAGGTGTGAATCCTGGTATATGTGAGAAAAAAAACAAAATAGCTTTTCAGAAAAACTTTTCATGCAGCCACTCAGACATGTTAGTGTGATTACCTGGGTCTGCGTTTCTCCATCAGGACCTGCAGTCTCCAGTAATAAAAAGACCCTTGTACCATTTCTGTAACTATTTATTTGCAACAACTTTGCAGATTTAAATTCAGATTTTTATTATTTTTTTTCATTGCAGGCCCGGGAGTACAATTGCTAATTACGAGCTTAATGTTTTTTCACCTGACCCACCACCAGATATCAAAGTTACAATAACAAAAAATGAAATTTTATCAGAAGTGGCATCAAAATACCCTGTCAGCATTCCCAGTAAGTAAACCTTAACAAACCTGGGGAACATTTAAAATGTCTATTTAATCCTAAAATGTTTGAGGAGAGCTGGTTAATGATGTTCTTATCTCTATGAAGGTTCGAAGCCATTGTCTGTTGATCCAAATCCACTCTACGTCGGGGACAGCATAAAAGTGACCTGTGACCCATCTGACCTCACCTCAACTGGCCTCAGCATTATTAACGAGACAGTGTCATGGACACGAAAAGAAGGAGCCCTTCCCAAGCAATCCATTATTGATAAATATTCAATCCTAATCCCTAAATTTTCAATATATGATGACGGTAAGAAAGAAATCTACCAGTTGGGATAAAACAGAAAAATCAAAAACTGGAAATAATGTCAAGACATTTTGTTAGCGCCCCTATGCACTGTATTCAAAAAGAACATGGTTTAATTGAAGATATTTGTTAAATTGCATGTTTTCTCCCATCTCCTTCTGCACTTTATCCATGAATACAAGGACTCAAGGAGAAATGGGATAAAAGTTTATCTTACACAGCAAGAAACAGCAAATATTGTTTATATTGCACTCTTCAATAAGCATAGATAAGAATGGATCCTGATTGGTGTGTGGTGTGATTTGATTTAAAACAGGTCAGAAAATAAGGGAAACTTTTAATAAACACAAGGACATAAATTATATGTAAAAAAATGAATAATAATAAACCAATAGAGTTACAGAAAATGTTTTTAAAGTAACAGCTGTTACTTTACCATCAGCTATTTGTTTACTGCCATATTCAGTCTTTTTTAAAGAAAGATTTCCATTGCGTTTTTAATTTTTCTGAAAATTCAGCTGGCACTCAGAGCAACATTATTTCTGTGCAGTGCCTTGTGAGAATATCCGTTTTGAATTGGTGTTATATATCTAAACTCAACTGGATTGGCTGCTTCTCTCCTACAGCTGTGCTGCTATGCAGCACATCGTTGATTTGCTGTCAATTTGGTCGAATCTAGAATTTCTTTACTTCACATGTGAAGTAAACGTGGTTGAAGAGTGTTGGAGCCAAACCACATTTGTAAACCTTAATTCTTTTTTTGTTTTTTTCTGGCTTGCCTATTTTGCCTAATTTTGCCAAATGAATAAATTAAATCCTTTCTATTTCAGGGTGGAACACATCCCAACTTTCCTGCGAATATTTCACCTTTTCTGTTTTTTGTCATCACTGTTTGGGAGTTTTATTTGACTGACTTTAACGTTGCCACATCATAGCACTGAAACTCAGGAGTAGATGTGATATTGATCACAAGATTTAATTAAAATGAAATTCAATTTATTGCCAAAAAAAAAAAAAGTTTTCTAATTGATATTTTTTAGGAAAAAATCTTCTTATTTATAAGGTGAATTTCTAACCTTATACACATATCAGAATATATACAGTCAATCAATTATGATGAATTGTTAACACAACAGCTAAACCCTGAGAGTTATTTGCAGCGTCAAAGCTTTTGGTGTGGCATGAGCTATCAAGCAATTTTTCACTACCTTTTTATCTTTTTCCCCAGGGGTCTATGAATGTAAGATAACCTGGGGAGCCGGTTCAACTTTCATACAGACGAGGCAGCTGATTTCCAAAGCACTCCCTCTGATCACTGTGACTCCAATCAGAGACACAGTGAAGTGTTCTGGGACAAGGGAACTGACCTGCCAAGTAGATGAATTGAAAGCTACATTGATCGATCCAAATGGAAATGGTAAGTGTGACACAAAGACATCAGTGAAATATTTCTTACACTCTTTACAATACAAAAAAAAATTATAATTTGGGAATTTATCTTTTCGTCTTTACTGATAGATTTAGGCGTAGCAAGCTGGAACTTCGTGCCCTCTGATTCGTGTAATGATGGTGATGTGTTGACGTACAAATGTAAATTGTCAGGAAGGGACAGTGCAAAAGAAATCACACTGATACTAACCAGAAAACGTGAGTATTAAACGAACAAGAGTATTTCCCTGCATTTTTTTAAAATCTAGTCATGTTTACTAGCACACATGAATTATGACCTTAACCATGTTTTCTTTTCCTCCAGCGAACTTTGACTGCATAAGTGACATATATGGAAATGCAATAATTGGGAATATAGGTGTTGGAAAATGTGACACTAACTATGAGGGGGAAAAGACAGCAGTTTGTATGGAAGATGGTAAATATGGAGATGAACAAGACAAGTGTGTCCTACAAGTGATTGTGGACCTGCTTGTTCGATCAAAGGTGAGCTCTCTTTTTTGAGCTTTTTCTGAGCTTTTCAATACAGATACTTGTGTTGCTTTATTTTGAACCTATTAGATTTTTTTTTTAAATGTTAGGAATTTTAAAAAGAAATCACACATGAAGCATGTCAATGTGTTGTAGTCGGTCACAACACATCACTTGATACCTAGTCAAGAAGACGCTAAGAGGGTGTGAGTCTGAGCAATGCTATGATGAATAGTCACTTATTACAAACATAAACAAGCACTAAAAGAATGATGATTCTGTTTTCAGTTTTGTCAAACAACAGGTATAGCACATTCATAACAGAGACATTATACATAAACATCTGCTTAGAGTAATGTGATCATGATGACCAAGAAAATCTCTTTTCTTTCTTGTGGCAGGAATTGAATGAGTTGACTATTCCAGTATTCTTGGAGGATCTCAAAAATGCGACTGTACAGAATAATAATCTGATCATTGAGTCTCCGGCGACCCTCATTGCCATGATTAAGATCTTTGAAAACGTCGCCAACGCATCCACATCTTTACAAATCAATCTAGGGAGAAATTCCACAACGGTAGGTACCTGTGTACAATTAAACATCATTCCATCCAAAAAGGCGACGTGCTTCAGGTGTGAGTTCATACGCCCGCAGCACAGCGCAGAGTCAAGACGCACATTATTAACAAAGCCAACACACAAACAAATTTACAAGAACACAACGTTCAGATGTCCTAATTAAACGTCCAAATTCACTCAAACTGGGCCAAAGGGCTTAGGGGGGAAAAAAATCATCATTACTTCAACAAAGCCAACAGACCCCAGGACACCACGAGTTGTGAAAGGCAGACTTTGTTTTAACGAGCCCCCATAAATATGATACTTCCTAAAAGGACACAATGTATTTCAGGACACAGACTCACAAAAAAGGGTTCAAACATTCATCAACACCGGGGCAACCAGCCGCACTAGACCAAAATCACAATGAAAAAACAAAGAGCCTAACAGAAGCTACCGCATGTCAGGTGGGACGCATCCTGGCAGTGATGGAGCAGAGAGAGATGAAAGAGGTGTCTACATACCCCCTAAGGCGCCACAGATTTAAACAATCAGATATTAGTTACAAAACATACAGAATTACTTAAACCTCAAAAAGTATTAAAAGGGCAAAGAATACCATTTAACTGATGTCTATAAATGAAAACAATCTAGAAAAATAGACAAAAATAATTAGAATGTGCCCAAAACACATCACAACATTCATTCTCACAATCACAAGCTACATGTATTTTTCTCTGTTAAAATATTAATACATGCTCTTTGTGTTGCTTTTTATTTTTTCCTTTAGAACTTCCTAGAAAGTGCCGGCCTTCTCATGATTGACGATGCCAGGGAGTCTTGGAGTTTTCTAAATTACAACGACACCAGAAATACAACAGAAGAAGAACTATTGAAAGATAGCTCCAGCTCTGCATTCTTGAATGTTTTTGAAAACTTACCAAGTTTTATTGGCAATGACACGCTGGACATCAACACAGATTTCATTATCCTGAACAAAACCAGGCTCACAGAGCCTTTCAGCAGTGTGTATAACTCCTCGGTGGAAATAGAAATACCACAGGCTGGTGGAGACGAAGAATTCATCACCATAATCATTTTTGCTTCAATGTACAATGTGCTTCCTGGAAGAGACAAGCTCAACACCTCCTCCAGCCGCGTCCATGGCAGGGTTGCTCTTGTTCGTCCTGAAGTTGAAATCTCAAATATTTCATTGACATTTGATGTCATAAATTACACAAATTTCACAATAGGAAACCCTAAATGTGTTTTTTGGGATTTCAACCTCTATGATGGCCTCGGAGGATGGAGTGACGACGGCTGCTCGTTAGTTTACTTTGAAAATGAGACGGTGAGCTGCAACTGCAACCACACCACCTCCTTTTCCATCCTGATGTCACCCGACAGCCCTAGAAGTCTGATTCTGGACTTCATCACCTACATTGGAGTCGGAATTTCTATGGCCTGCCTGGTCATTTGTCTCATCATTGAAGCAGTCATATGGAGAAAAATCAACAAGAACGCAACGTCGTACTTGCGTCACGTCTCCATCGTCAACATCGCTCTGTCCCTCCTGATTGCAAATATTTGGTTCATCATTGGAGCGGCCATTTCAGACGCAGACCAGAAGAATCCTCCGGCCTGCACAGCCGCTACCTTCTTCATCCACTTTTTCTACCTGGCCCTGTTCTTCTGGATGTTAGCCTCGGCCCTGCTGCTGCTCTACCGGACTCTCAGTGTCTTTGACGGAGGGCTGTCTAAACTAACCATGCTGATCATCGGATTCTCTTTGGGATATGGAGCGCCGCTGATCATCGCGACTATAACTATAGCTGCAACTGCTCCTTCAAACGAGTACATCCGGGAAAATGTCGTCTGTTGGCTCAACTGGTACGAGTCCAAAGCTCTGCTGGCCTTCGTGATCCCTGCACTTACGATAGTAATGATAAACTTTATCATCCTGATTGTGGTGTTGTACAAAATATTGAGAAGAAGAGTTGGAGGAAATGCAGCCCAAACAGGAGAGAAGCACGTTCTGTATGTGATAGCCAGGAGTTTGGCTGTGCTCACGCCGTTTTTTGGGCTGACTTGGGGTTTGGGAATCGGAACCATGGTTGACCCCAAAAACTTTGGGATCCATGTTGCATTTGCTTTCTTCAATTCACTGCAGGTAGGAATTTTACTTTTCTGCCCATTACTCTGTAACTCTATGTTCTGGTTTTTGACTGTTTGCTACAGAATGACGGACTGAAAAAGTGAAACTAAAGTTATTCCTTTGTGTTTCTCAAGGGTTTCTTTATTCTGGTGTTCGGAACACTGTTGGACAAAAAGGTGAGTTTGTCACTTCAAAAGAAGCTCATGATGGAGAACTCTCACATGTCATGACGCATCAGCAGCAGTGTGCTAACCTCTGAGAATTAACCTTTCAGGTGTGGTCGGCAATGAACATACGATCACTGACGTCACAGGGTAGAACACAGGTAAGAAAAGTTTCTATGTTAAAGGTTGTATTGTTCCGTTCATTCTCTTTTACAAATTCTTACTGAGAATTTGGTTCCGCTTTCAGAGCACCAGTGCTGGAACCTCATCTAGTGGACTGAGCAACTTGTTCCAGAGAATGAGAAGAAATAGAGGTATGTTACTTCATTGAAAGTATCTCTTTTAAGAGAGCTTTAGAGAAACAATCCACCTCTTGACCGATTAGCAGGAGATTTTGGCCTTTTTTGTCACTTTTTGTGCAGCAAGTATAATAAAATCAGTCTGTTTTAATGTGCATGGCATGGAAAACTTTGTACTTTTATCTTGCTGCTCGTACAAATCTGGGTTTCCCTAGAATAATCTGAATGTTTGAGGTTATTTTACTTCTAAGAAGAATTAAAGCACCAAATGGCAAAAAAAATATCACCTTCTCTATTATCAATATTTTTTTGTTTTAATATGATGGGGGGAAGGGGGGGTTGCAATGGAGAGTATAAAAAATGAGATAATGCTTAAGATTTTACATATTTCAATATGTGTGTGTATTTGTGTGTTACAGGCTCCAGGAGTGGGTACAATGTGTCTTCTGGACCAAGTAATAGTGAGCCATTAAACACATAACATGTGCAGGAAACCATGCCCATATCAGGAAAGCAACAAACACAAATCAGTTTTTTTCCCTCATTGCTACAGCTTTAAGTTATGACATAATCTGAAAGAGCCCCGCTCGTTTCTCTTTTTGAAAAATGAAGGAAGCATTAATTCTGCCATCTTGTAAAAGCAGCATTTTAGAAAGCTTTTCAAAGATGTGTAATGCAGAAAAGCTAAATATTTTAATATTACAGAACCTTTGTTTGTGGGAAATGCACAATAATGTAGTACTACATAATTTTAAAAAAAAATTTAAAGTAATATATTTTACTTTCCTCAGATGGAATGGCATGTGAGTAAATTTTGAGAAAAAAGTTGTTTGTGGTTTAAATGTCAGGTTTTATATCCACAAAAACTTTGGAAAATATATTGGATTTTTTAAAATTAAACTATGTAACTTGCAGCAAAAATGGTCAAATCCCCTAAATGGAATTGAGTTATTAATCAATGGTAATCTTTGTATTGAACAGCTACTTCACTGTGTTTGCATAACTTCTCTGTAATCGATGTGTTATGCAATGACAGCCATTTATAGAAGCATTTTCTACTGTTTTGGTTTGTCATGTTATATTGATGGTTAATATTATTTACATGTAAGACATTGTATTGAGTCTTTCCTGGTCACAAGAGGATACTAAAAATGTGTAACATTTACTGTTCCTACATTTGCATTGGATCAGGGAGGATTCTGGGATTTCTGTTTTTGTTAAAGGGCACCACACAAAACTCAGCTATAGACATAAACACTCAAAGAAATCCTCTTTAAACCTTCGGCAGCTCATCTCCAGAGAGCCTCTGGTGTTTGAAGATGTAAAAAACATGTTTATCTTGCTTTACGATCTGTGTTTTGATTGTAAAGTTAGGCAGACATGTTTGCTTTGTATCTCAATGAAACATCCACAAGCTTATGATTAAGATTTTGTTTGGAAATTATTATTTTTGTGTGCAATCACTTTCTTGAATATATCACATTACTTTGAAAAATAATTTAATTATCGTACATTATTGAATATTAAAATAAAGTCTTGTGATAAAGCCTCTTCCTTCGACCGTCTGCAGTTGGTCAAGTTTATTTGTGTAGAACATTTCAACAGCAAGGCAGTTCAAAATAAAGTATTAAAAGCATCATACAGTTATTGAGAAACCATTAACAAACATTTCACTAAACTCTAAACAGCAAAAGAAGAGACGATGGTTTAACGATGAATTCAGAAAAAACAACAATCCAGGCAGCACAGACAAAGAGCGGATGCTGAGGCTGAAAAACTGGAAACAACTGGAAACTCAATGGACGGTAGCAACAGATGTAACTAAACAACTTTGCCAAGACAGATATAACAAGGACCCGACAAAGAACATAGAACACAGATGGCATTAAATACACAGAAGGTATTCAGGGAATGAGACTCAATCAAGGGGCAGCAGGACAACAGGGAGGCTCAATAAACACACACAGAAAAACGAAATCCTTACAGTAACTGTCTTTATGTTGTTTTGAAGGTTCAGGTCTGAGTCTATCTGGGCTTAGTATTTATACTGCAGTGTGTGTAATATAATTACTACACACAGAGTAATCATTATATTCAATAAATGATAAACTCATTCCCTGCCAGAATAATGTTCTGGCAATTTTCCTGTTTGCCACTAGGTGGCAGTAAATACAGCATCTGAACATTTTGGAAATCTCTCCTGCAGTTTGGTGGTCACAGTAGTTGGTAGCTGTGATGCATTTTGACCTTAGTCTTCAACAATAAAAGGTTAACTGTCTTAACTTCTCTCTCAGTCTGGTTCATTTACTCCTAAATTTGATTTCTTAAGATGTCCTTTAGGTTATGGTCAGACTCCAAGAAAATGGAGTCATTTTTATCCAAGCTAAGCCTTCTATATCCTAGCTGCGCTCAAATCGACATGATAATTTGTTTAAGAATATTAGGTGCTCTTCATCATCACAGACATGAAGACAGTTTTGAATTAGTAAAATCCCCCTGAAACAGTTTCCCGGAAACTATCATTCTAAAAGCTGTCTTGTACCATGCTTTACAGGATTAAGCAAGGAATTGGTCAGAGTAACCCAGTTAAGCGTCTCAATCACAGAAACTGGCACCGGGTCAGCGCTGAATGAAACCAGGGTTATGCATACAAACAGAGGAGTCCAGCAGATGAGAATAACCCTCATGTCAACAGCCAGAGTTTTTCTGGCCTTTCTCTCCCTCTTGCTTGCTGTTCCTTCAGTTTTAATTGATGTGGGTGACGCGCGCCTGTCTTTGTGGCAACAAGAAAAACATGTTAAACATTGACTCTAAACAGCAAATCCTGACTACTCTTTCCATATCTAGTGTTTTCACATACCCGTTATTTCATAATATGAATCAGGTTTTGGTAAGCAGATTCCTGCATAAAGTAAAGCACAAGACAGATTAAATGTTAGAAACTTTAACAAAAGCAAAATGAATGAATTTGAACAATCAAGTCTGGTGCATTTGATGAGTTCATTTGAGCCGTTTCGGTGCTGCTAATCAAAGGCACTTGGTTATTTCTTCATGATAGTTTGTCTGTAAATGTGAAACATTTAGGTATTTAAATCCACAACCGTTTTTCAGTCCATTATTTTACAATAAAAATAAAGTATGCAAGTAAAATAAAAAGTAATCCTTAAGGTCTTACAGCATCCTTAAAAAATCCACAACTAATTCTGTAAACGTTGAAAACGTCCTTGCAAACTTGACCCACACTGTAAAAAAAAAAAACTCTTTAATTTACGGTGCAATACAGGCAGCTGCGGTTGCCAAAATATTATCATAGAAATATTGTAACTATTGTAACTATTGTAACTGTGTGTAAGTGATGTATGAGAATACTCTCCAGTCCTCCCTCTAATTTTTGTTGAACATAACGTGCATTTCATAAATTTATTGTCGTTGTGCACATCTACACCAGCAGAGGGCGCAGATACAGGTGGTGAACTATGTTACATATATTACAACCAACTAAAGTTTGGTTGTAATATATTGCAAACTACTGTTGAAGAATGTTGAACTGCTGAAAACAACCTTTGACTGTTTTCAGTCTAATGATGAGATATCAGTATATTTTTATATTGTACATGTAAACCTGACATTTTGTGAATTTGCCAGCATGATGTACAGATAAATGACTATTGGAAAAGGTTGCTTAAAGGTCCAGTGTTATTGACTTGTTTGACCTTTGCATAATGTCATCATGTTATTCTCCTCCATGACAGCAGAAGCAGCAATTAGCAAACATCTGGTGGAAGTGGAACCGCATTTTCATTCAACCTACTTCTCAGTGAAACGCCTGTAAAAATTTTGCTAACGTCTGAATGGAAGAAGGTGGTGACATGCTGAAGGTGGGGTGCCAAAAGCGGGAGGAGCTTCTCAACCTTCCTGAGGTCTTTCAGCGTGACACGCAGGTGGAGCAGGGCAGATGTCAGACAGGGTTGAAGCGGGGTGTGTCCCGTCAGACTGTCAGCCCCCCAAACTCCACGAAAGTGCATGCAGTGCAACCCCACCTGACCGCCCACAGAGTGTAAAACTTGCAGAGTCCACTGGACCCCGCCTTTTCAGATCGCATGAGAGTTAAAGAGGCAGAGGCCAAATTTCAACCCATTTATAAGCAAAGTTGAATTTTATTGAAGTCATAATTGATATATTTTGAACTGAAGGTAACATAGTTACTTGATTGAGCTACGAAGTGTCACTATGGGCCAGGAAAATAGATAATAAAAATAGATAATACTGCCCCATTCAAAACCAGTCCTGCTGAAATGTTCAGTGTGTTGACGTCAGTCTGAGAACAAGCAGGACAGTCAAACTGAAATAGCTCAGCAGGGAACGAGCTTTTGACTGCATAATGGCAGATAATGCGTGTGACTGCTGGAAAACACCTCAGGAAGCTCACAAATGGTTCATGTGTGTGTTTGAAAGTGAGGAGGAAAAGTAACATTCAGCTCTGACACAACTTCTTTGGATCCAGGACACAGTGACGGGTAATCATTTTATTTCACACGCCTTTCTTACAGCATGGAACTACAATCTACTGTAGCACCTCATGATGTTTAGTGGAGCTTGGTATTTAAGAAATGACTACATATTTGAACTCCAGCTGTCATTTTTGAGTTTACAGAACAGACTAGAATAAAATATCTTTTTAAAAAAACAGCAGCTCTTCTTTTCTTTGAATTCTTTTTTGGGAATTTACTTTAAGTTTATACAATTCAACACAAAACATCACTGGAGACAAGTGATGAAATACTAAAAACGATAAAAAAGAAAAAAGATTCCCCTTTTTTTGGAGTCGGTTTGTATTCAATGAATTGTGACGCATTTTTAAATTCGGTTGAAAAATTCCAGAAATGTACTATTTCTGAGATGAAATCGGTTTCTCTTTTTTCTGAGAAAGCAAACAGAGATCTGTGGTTACTCTGCAACAGCTGGTAGAGACGACGACGTGGGAACCGCTTCACCGATTAGAAACGGACTACAGGTGAGTTCTACACACATCACTGTACTCAGCTGATGGGAAAACAAAGTATTATTTGATTCCTACCACAAATATCCAAAACTCATCGTGGAAACCATTCTGGCTTGGCTTAGCATTGCATTCCCATTTTATCAGACATGACAGATTATCAGACAGTTGACCATTCAGTTATAAAAGATTTCAGTGCGACAAATCTATCATGACTCAAAGTTAATTAGAAACGATCAAAAGCTTTGAAATGTTGGGGGGGAGAAATTCTTAATACATAGAATAAGATTGTTGATATGAGAGCTGCTTCATCAAATGTTTGCAGGCATTAAAATGAGCGCCACTGATTGAATTTAATATTTTAGAGTAATTAAAGATGTTGTCAGTGTGTGGGGAGTTTGCTAACTGGAAGAGTCCGGTGAGAGCATTTTGAAGGCATTAAGAGGAGAACAGTTATATGATAAATAACTTTGGTCACAGAAACAGGATTCAAACAATTTGCTGGCAAAATTGAACTGAAAAATCTGCTTTGATCACTTTCTAACCTGTTGCATGCACTCAGTTTTTCAAAATAGTTCAATTTTGATTTCAACACACATGTACAACAAATTTACATTTTCCTAAGTATAATGGCCTATTGTATCATCAGATGCAAATTAGTCAAACAAATTTATCTCAGAACTCTCACGCTTCACCTGTATGGAAACAGGTGAACCATGTTTCCATACCTATGAACATAACAGCTTTTATTTATGAGCATTGCCAGTTCAGGCAAGCAGGGGGACGGTTGGCACCGCGGCCAGCCAAAACCATTTGAATCACTTCTAATGAAGCACTTCTAAAAGGGAATATGTTGTTCCAGAAAGCAGCAGCGGTTCCTGTCCTTCAGCCAGATAGTTCAGAGAGAAAAGTCTAACAAAATCAAGTGACAAAAACAAATGAAAAAACCCAGTGAAACATAAGACATCTGTAAGAAGTGAAGACAGAAGTTTACTTTAGCTTATCCCATTGAGTAACTTGTTTCTGTTGAAAGGAGAACAGCATTACCACCTCAGATGGACAGAACTCCTACTTAATGGCTTGGGCTGTCGGTTCGAATCCCAGTAAAATTTGTCCACCCAAATGTTTCTACTAAGCCCCAGAATTTATAGGCAAAAAATGTGTGTGATGTTGGATAGACTGGGGATTGGTGGACTTTCTTCAAATGACCTGAACTTGAATGAAGCCTTTTCCAACAGGCAATGTAAGCGGAGTGTCTTTCCCAAGGATGCAACATTTGAGACAGGAGGGGATTCGAACTGACAACCCACTGGTTGTAAGTTGAACTGCAACCACCGCTGCTCCTGGAAATCAATGTTTACATCCCATTAGACCGCACAGCTGTCTTTGTAGTAATCAAGTTTTATTAGCAGAAAACTGTGAGATAATTGGAGAAATTTGTCATTTTCATTGATCAGAATTTTGCATAAGAAGTTCACATGATATTTACTATTTAAAATTATCATCAACGTCGTCATCATCATCATTGTCAGCTTTAAAGACACAACTAGGTTCACATGAGGGAAAAAAGAAAATAATAATAATCATAATTTAAATTTAAAAAACAATTAAATCACATGAAAAATAAAACAAGTCACTGATTTACAGAAATGCTAAATGTGTTTCCACATTCTGGACTTAAACCTGATTTTGCTCTAGTAATATCCGTTAGTATGAGGAGGATGTAGAATCAATTATTAAACCGCTGAAGGTAACTTTATTTTGACTAAGCTTTTCTCTAGTAAGTCATTTAGAAATTATCTTAATATTTTCAGAAGATCTCTGGCAATAATTATCTCATTTCTTTTTTTTATTGCCTAAGCTCTTGGCAGACAGCAGAATCACATTTGTGTCTACAAAATGAGACGGTTCACCTGTTGCTGTGTCCAAGGACGTTGTGTCAGGATTGAATGTTCCATTTCCTGCTCATGTTCCAATACAGAGACGTCGAACCGTTTGTGGGCTTCCTGGGGTATTTCCCATGAATCCATGTGTCACCCACTAGAGCTCGGTTCTTTTGTGGGAGTTTTTATACAAATTCATTCAGACATGTTGAACCAGTCAATGACAGTAGTTCTGTTCATTTTAACTTCCCATTACATTTGATACCTCTTACCACTTACTCGCCAATAGGACTTTCATAACCAGCTATGCGATCACTTTCAGGGAACTTTCTGATTATTATTTCACTGCCCCATACAACTACAAACTTACACAGGTTATACCAGGAGCTGATGTTCATTCTTCAGGGTATCTTGAGAAAGGTACCCTGAAGAATGAACCCTGTTGTTAATGGTTTAAGTCTTGACCCTGTGAAACACTGACACAGGCGATAATTTTATTTATTTATCTTTTATGATGATGATGATTTGTATTTTTATTCTCTCTTTAGTAAGAATGGTTTCAATCAAAGCAGTGTGGTTTGGTTTTATTCCTCTGGTTTCATGCTGCACTGTGAGCCAGCCGGGATTCACACCCCTCTATGAGGTAAGCACTGAAAACTAAACCACCAGGCATCACGGCCCATTCAATAAATACCAAAAACAATTATTGATCAGTTTCACAGTCGGATTAATCTGATGACTTTTACAGGACTTGATGGAAATCAACTCACCCAGGCTTTATGGAAGAGAGAAAAGAGAAGGCGAGTCGCTGCAGAGCACAATGTTCATTATTTATTTGTGAAATATGCCTTACAGAATCAACGTAAAGGTTTTAATGTGTGTATCTGTTTCCACTCTAGTTCCAACAAATACCAATGATTATGAGTTCCAAGCTGTTCTAGGCCTTTCTGAGCTGGAGGTTCTTGAACTGTTTCTGAAGAACCTCAGCTTCCCCATACTGATCAACAGCACAAGTCAAATTTCCAGCATGGACACAACAACAGGTGTTTTTCAGGTTACAGATCCACTTTTGAAGTCTTTCAGCGAGTGTGGCATTACACATTTACACTATGTGCTGATGTTTTTTCCCCAGTATGCTCACCTAATGTAACAGGGTACCAGTGTGTGTGTGAGGAGAACTTTGCCTGGTCTAATAACAACTGCATTGCATACAGAGTGTGTGACGTCATGCTTGGTGACACATGTGGCTGCATTAATGACCTGCCAGCTGATGGTCAGTTCTGCCAGCCGAACAGCAGCCAAATAGGTAGGTTTAGAGAGGGATTAACAATGCAAATGCTGACATTTCAATTTGTGCAACTTCTATACGTCCTCTGTTGGAGATGTTAAGTAGAAGCTGGGAAAAGAGTAAACGACACCCAGAGCACCAGGTTCCTCCTGCACCAAAACAGCCCCACAACATGATGCTGCAGCCACTCACAGCTGGGATGGTGTTCCCAGGTTTAGACTTAGACTTTCTTAATTGTCTTTGCTCAAAGAAACTTAAGTAAAATTGGCAATGAAATATTGCTTGGCCACCAGAGCACACACAGAAACACAATGTGCCTGTAATTACATAATAAATAAAGAGTAAGCTTTACAAGGCTTCTTTTTTCCTCCAAATGTAGCAACGGTCAGACAGTTCCACTCTAGTTTCACCGGTCCACTGGACATGTTTCTAAATATTAAGGCCATTTCTCTATCAGTACTTGAAAACTGTAGTCTTTTGTATGTTTTCTTAGAGTAATAGCTTCCTCCTTGCTCAGCAGCCTTTCAGTTGATATGCGTACAGGATATGGTTCACTGTCGGTAATATCGACTCGGTGTTACCAGCTTCACAAGGTTTTTGTTCTGGGGCCAATTTCCAAATTTCAGACCAAAACACAATCTTCCAGGTTCTGGGACACAGTCTTCTTCTTGAGTGGTATAATGACTGGACATTCCCTTCATGTATATATTTGGGTGTAATTGTTTGACCAGATTAACGCTGCGCCTTTAAGCTTTTGAAAATTGTTCCCAAGGATCACTCAGCTCCACAATCAATTCTGCTTTTGACATATTGGATGATTTCTGTTGATTTTCCCACCGTGTCAAATCAGAGAGCAGCTTACTGGTGCAGTGGCCTTAAAGTACATCCACAGCTGAGCCTCCAATGAACTCAGTTTGGTCATGCAACAGTTTCCCATGACATAATTGAAGCAACATCCAGACTCCACCTGGATGTTCAACCTTGAGGTCAAACGTATGATGACCTTAAGCACACAGGTGACGTGGTTAATAAGTGTCCTAAGAACAAAAGAGTCGATGATTTGGTGTGAAATAAATCCGTTCAGGTCTAGAGAAGTAACTGAGCCTCTTAAAGTTTATGCAGTTTGACTCGCCTGAAGTTAAGCTGTCAATGTGGAAGGTGTTTCTCATTGACAAGCTTCATGAACTCTTCTCTTACCTCTCACACACAGACGCTGTGGACATCAATGTGGGCATCGTCGTGTTCATCCCGACCTCCAGTGTTTCGTCAAGCATATTCAGCTCCTTCAGAAGTACTCTGCAAAACATTTCCTTCCCATTAACCCTCTCTCAGTCTGTGGGAGTGAAAGAGATGTCCTTCACCACAGGTAAGTAACAGTGTAAGTTAAGTGATTTACCTTGTGAATCAAATTAAATGAAAATTTCAAGACCTTTTTTTTTTATAAACAGCCTGTGATCCAAACTCTGCTAATGGACTCCAGTGTCAATGTGAGAGCGGCTTTGCTTGGCCATGTGACACGTGTAACAGCAGCAACTCATGCAACAATCAAACCTGTACATGTTTATATGGACTTCCTCCCAATGATGAGTTCTGTCAGCCGGTCTCAAGTAAGAATACAGTTTTGTTTTAATAAATGTAGTTAGTGTTAATCAAATAGACATCAGTCCAAGATCAACAGTTGTGTTCAGTTGGTGATACATGTGGCTGCATTAATGACCTGCCAGCTGAACAGCAGCCAAATAGGTTTAGAGAAGAGTTAACAATGCAAATGCTGACAAAAATTGGAATTATGAAAATAAATTAGCTTAATGAAAACACAGCAATATTGAAAAAAAAAGGACTCTTTTTTTTTTTTATGAAAAGTTTTTGCATTAGGATGAGTGCATTTTTCAGTCACATTGAAATGTGTGTATTTTGTAAAACTGCAATGGAAACACTTTTTACATCACACGAGTCACTGATCAACAGCTGAACGTTTCTCCTGGCGGAAAAGACGAAGAAGCAACAGGAAGTGGTAGGAGGAGGACATTCGTAGAATATCAAAAAAGTTTTGCAAACATTCGGAATGGAATCGCGGCTGTAGAGACCTTGTTTGTTTCACTGCAAATATGTATTACAGAGTCTAGTTCTAATGATCCTACATATGTTGCTTTTATTTAGTTTTGGTTCTTCTCTTGCTCCTCAGATGCCACTACATGTGATTTAACTCCTGTACCTCCAACAGGTATGAAAAACATTGAATTGTATTTTGTTGATTTACCATTGAAATATTTTTGCTCCCAAATCCTTAAAAACAATCAATTGCTTCTGTTAGCTTTTTAATTGTATTGTTTTTTTTTTAACTTAAAACTATTAAACTTACTGTACTTTGATTTTTTTCACAGCGACATCAACACCAACAATAAATTATTCAACTCCAGACAATAAAGTTACAAACACAACATTATCTAAAGGATTGAAAGCTACTGTTGTAGCCATGGAAATATTAATAATACAAAATGAAACTCTGAAAAGTTCAACACCAGATCCACCAGTGATACATGCAACCACATCAATATTACCAAACACAACATTAAATGGAACCACACTAGAACCAAATCAAATTGTTCTTTCGATTAGTGAAACAGATCCTTACACAACAGTGACAAACGTAACCACAGCAGGAATAGTAAATGCACCTACCCTGGGAATAACCCCAAACACATCAATTTCAAATACTACCGCACCAGAGCGAAGTCAAAACAAAACAATGGGAAATGCAACGTCACCGGAAACAACCCCAAGCACGACAGACGCTCATACATATTCATCAGAAACAACACTGAATAGTGGATTCATAGATGCAACTTCGTCAGGAATGAACCTGAGCACAAGAGTGACAAATAAAACCACAGTAGACCAAAGACAAAACACAACAATGGGCAATACAACGTCACCAGAAACAACGCCAATCACGACAGACGCTCATACATATTCATCAGAAACAACACTGAATAGTGGATTCATAGATGCAACTTCATCAGAAATGAACCTGAGCACAAGAGTGACAAATAAAACCACAGTAGACCAAAGACAAAACACAACAATGGGCAATACAACGTCACCAGAAACAACGCCAATCACGACAGACGCTCATACATATTCATCAGAAACAACACTGAATAGTGGATTCATAGATGCAACTTCGTCAGGAATGAACCTGAGCACAAGAGTGACAAATAAAACCACAGTAGACCAAAGACAAAACACAGCAATGGGAAATACAACGTCACCAGAAACAATACTTGATATAGCGACAGATGTATCCACAACACAAGCAGCAGTTAAGACAACTTCAAATGCAGCTACACTAGAAATAACGACAACGATACATCCATCTTCATTAGGAACCATGTTAAACACAACATTAGTAGATGCAACCTCACCAGGAATGGTTAACAGAACACTAAAACAGTTTAATGGAATCTTCACAATTAACATGGATTTCGATAACTCATACAACAATCCATCCAGTAAAGTTTATGCAGATATCTATGATGCAGTAAGTATTATTTTATATCCATCTTTATTATTATAACATCAATGAAGAATTTCTAGATAAAGAGAGACATTTTTATTTGACTTTTTATTTGGTCTTAAACAGGCTGAACGCAGCTGTCAGAGGTTTCTGTCAAAAACATGTGAAGTCCAGAGTTTGACCTTCAGGTAAGTCTGGTTTTTATATACATTTGAAATATGCATGTGCACACATGTGCACATAATATTGCACAAACGTAGCAGTTTAGAAATGTGTCAAAACTTTCCAAATAAAGCCATTCACAGCGGTCAACTGTGGAAACAGAATATTTCAAATATATAAGGTACCATATTAGTTGATATAGAAGTTGTAGATTGACTTCTCCAGATATGCCATTAGTTTCATACCAAACACATGTAATCTAAATAAGTCTGGATTGGAACGGTGCCCCTCCTAAGCTTTTCACTCACGTCACGTGTCACCGTTGGTTGATTTGTAACCAAAAATGTTGATATAAACTATCTTTGAATCAAATTAGAAATTTCTTAAAGTAAAAAGCCAAAAGGATTCAGCAAAAATTCAAGTCGTTCGCTTTCCATTCCTTCTAGCATACAAGAGTTTTTTTGTTCTGTTTTGTTTTAGGGATTAAACAAAATTAACGTTGAAGTCTTTATTAAAAAACAATAGTCCCCATTTGTTTTTGGAGGATATAAATATCAGTGTTGAATGTTCATCCTAATGGTTTCGAAGGATTTTTACATCTCTAACTGTCGTTTGCAGGAGTGGAAGTACCATCACTTACTACACCCTCGCCGCCTCCTCTGGTGACGCTTCACAAGTTAAATTAGCAAAAGACGAAATGTTAAAGCGCCTGTCAGAATTATACCCGGTGGAGTTTGTCAGTAAGTAAACTGGAGAATATGCTCTTCTTCTAAAAAAATGACCTGTATGGAATGAGGATCGTCTAATTATTTGTCTAATATTCTGCTTATGTAAAAAAAAAAAAAAAAAAAAAAAAAAAGTGGAAGAAGTTAATACCACGACTGCATTTTCTGGGGAAGAGATGAGATTAACCTGTGGCCCTCCTCCTGAAGACCTCAATTTTACTGTGGTCACAAGCGTAGAGTGGACACACATGGGTAGAGTCACTGGAGAAGGGATTTCTTTGGAGAACAGACAGTCGGTCCTAACGCTGCCATCTTTTTTTCCAGTGAATGATGGTAAGAATGTTTTTTTGTCCATTGTTTACACTAATAATATTCCCAGTTCCTTTAAATATGTTCTTATTTTCAATGCTGATTTAATGATGTCATTGCAAATGTTAACACTGCAAAAACTGCTGTCTAATGTTTTGCTAACATTGTTTATAGGTTATAGAATAATAGAAATATATTTGTTCATATATTAGAAGTTATGCACATCACACTTTAGTTACACACAAACTTAATTGAGAATTGAGAAAGATCAGGTGGGAAATTGTTGAGAGTAGAACCTGAGAACTGTTTTGTGCTGTCTGCAGTGCAGAGCATCAACGAATGTTAATTGGTACCGACTTCCACAAGCACATGCAGTCTGTGTTCGAATGAAGGGATAAGTGGATTCACATACTGCAGTGCTGTTTTCTGTATGAAGTTATTTCATGTTTGTTTCGTTACTCTGTCACCATAATACCTTGTGCAACGTTTTGCTTTGATTTTCTTCTTTTTTCCACCAGGGATTTATGTCTGCAAATTAAAACGGGGAGACAATTCAACTTTCAAACAGAGCATCAATGCCAAAGCCATTCCTATCCCTCAAATCGTCGTGAACCCGGTTAAGATATCGGTGGATTGCGAGACACCGTCCCCTGTGCCACTGGACTGCTCTGTCAACAACGGCCACACGGTTACATTTCTAAACACAGGTAAAATCTAACAAGGAAAAAGACTGACAATGATATGACCATATACACAAAGAAACCATCCTCTAATTGAAACTACAGCAACGAATACACACGTTAAATACGATGAATTATTGTATTTTCTAACAAAAAATAAAACCTTGCGTCACTTTTATTCATCATTACATGTTAACCTACTTTTTCTTGGTCTGCCACAAAATCCCACTAAACATTGAAGCTTGTGGTTTACTGTGGTACACAATGAGAAACATCGATGGTTTTTCAAGTTCCCGCTCTGTAAGAGTTTCTTGAATGAATGTGTCCTTTTGCCCTTTAGTGGCATCTAATGTAACGTTGATAACTTTGTGTTGCAGATGTCGGGGCGGCTTCTCACGTCACCCACGAATATACGGTGAAAAATTGTTCAATTAAAGAGAAGATCTTCACCTGTGAATCACAAAACTCATCCAGATTTACAAAGAATATCACACTGATGTTCAATCCATCAGACAGTGAGTTTTAATCAATGCCGAATAACATTCAAATACATATAAAAAAAAAATGCATGTCAACATATTTCAAACGACAACTTTAACCAGAACTGAACATTTTTCTTTCTCCAAAGATATTACATGTCGCGATGACACTTACGGTAACGGACCGATAGGTTTTATGGCCGTGTTGGGCTGCACACAGAGGAAGGTGGGAGAAAAAACAGCCGTTTGTCAGCCAGACGGTAAATATGGACAGATCCAAGACAAGTGCGTTTTAGAAGTTGTGAAGAACCTGCTGGATCAATCTGAGGTGATCTTCATCTGGTTCTCTGGATTTTCCTCACTCTCAATCATTTCATCCCCCTGCTGAACTGCATTTTATTAAATGAACAATAATCTAATAATTCTCCGAAATTCTGCTGAAAATTCTGTTTTACTTTTATTTCAGCTTGGATTTATTCAGTTTGTGTGAAGTACAAAATAATATACCAAAATTTTAATTCCTTTTCAGATCATATTAAGAAAATATCTTTTTTAAAAGACTGTTTTTTTTCTATTCTATGTTGCAGGTTTTGAATGAACTCACTCTTCCACTGTTCGTCAAGCAACTTTCCAATGTGACTGTTGACTTTACTGATGCAATAATTGACTCTCCGGCCGACATTGATGCCATCGTGAAGATCCTTTCTAATGTAGCAAATTTGTCATCATCTTTAGGAATTAAAATAGAACAAGATTCCATGAAGGCATGTAATTGTCAGTTATTGTTGTTTTTAAAGAGAAATATACTTTTCAGCTTTGATATATTGATTTTCTGTCATTCTAGAACATCCTGGAAACTGCGGGCACACTCACTGTTGGCGAGGAATCGTGGAAAACCCTCAACAACAACAACAACACAAGAAACATTTACGAAATAAAAACAGGCGTCAAAGTAAAAAGTGCCAGCTCTTCACTACTGTACTCTATTGAAAGAATCACATCCCGTCTCGTTAACAAGTCCTTCAGCATTGAAACGCCCCATACGCGTTTGAACAAATCCACGTTCGTGAATTCCTTCAGTGGCGACTTAAACTCCTCGGTGAAAATAGGCATACCCAACACTGACAGACAAAATCACTGGATAACTACCATAATATTTGCTTCCATGGATAATGTGCTTCCTGCCAGGGATAAAAGCAATTCGTCATCCAAAGACATCAATGGAAAGGTTGCACTTCTTTGGCCCGATAACAAAATCACAAATATTTCTTTAGCATTTGATGTTCTAGACGATAGGATGATAAATCCTGAATGTGTTTTCTGGGATTTCAACCTCTTTGACGGTCTTGGAGGATGGAACGACGATGGCTGCATGCTGGTATCCCATGAAAACAGAATGACCAGCTGCCAGTGCAACCACACAACCTCGTTTTCTATTCTCATGTCACCCAACAGGACTGATCATTATATATTAACCTACATAACATACAGTGGAATTGCATCTTCCATTGTTTCCTTGATTATATGTCTAATCATTGAAGGCATAATTTGGAAAACAATTGGGGACAACATGACGTCGTACTTTCGTCACGTCTCCATCGTCAACATCGCTCTGTCCCTCCTGATTGCAAACATTTGGTTCGTCATTGGAGCGGCCATTTCAGACGCAGACAAGAAGAATCCTCTGGCCTGCACAACCGCCACCTTCTTCATCCACTTTTTCTACCTGGCCCTGTTCTTCTGGATGTTAGCCTCGGCCCTGCTGCTGCTCTACCGGACTCTCAGTGTCTTTGACAGAGGGCTGTCTAAACTAACCATGCTGATCATCGGATTCTCTTTGGGATATGGAGCGCCGCTGATCATTACAACAATAACCATAGCTGTTACTCCCTCAAATCACTACACTGGAGAAAAAAATGCCTGCTGGCTCACCTGGGATACGCATAAACCGTTACTGGCGTTTGTGATCCCTGCCCTTACTATAGTGGCTATAAACATCATGATCCTGATTCTGGTGATATCCAAAATGTTGAGGAGAAGAGTCGAAGTGATTGGAGCCCAAGCAAGAGAGAGGCACGCACTGTTGGTTATCATCAGGTGTTCGGCTGTACTAACACCGATTTTTGGTGTAACTTGGGCTTTGGGAATCGGAACTATGGTTTCTCCAGATAACTTTGGACTCCAGGTTGCATTTGCAGTATTAAATACACTTCAGGTAATAATAATTACAGAATTTTTAAAATGCAATTTGTCAGTCAAACCATTCTGATGTGTTAAATATGCCTTATCTTTGTGTTTCTAAAGGGTTTCTGCATTCTGATGTTTGGAACTCTGTTGGACAAAAGGGTTAGTGTCCCTTGGCTGTCAGACTTGTTGTAGCCAAAAATATTATGCATAAGTTACTGCACTCAAATAAGTTGTAATATTTCCATTAAACCTTTCATGCAGTGTAATAACTCTTACTAACGTTTTAGGTAACATCAGAGCTAGCAAAGAAATTCTCCTGCCAGAGAAAGACAAAGGTAAGAATAGTTTGGTCAATCAACTTTCATTTCTGTTTTTGTTTATACTTCATGTGGTGTCCTCTAATTTTTTTTCCTTGTTCTGGTTTCAGACCACAGGTTCAGAATCCGTCACTCTGGGAAGGTTTTTCTGGAAGTTAAGAAGATCCTCAGGTATATCAGTTCGCAAAGCGTCTTGACTGCTGCTATTCACACGTAGATCTTTTTACAAAGACACTCCAGTGAGCTCTGCTCAACTGAGCTTTTAGTGAAATGTCTATAGGAAACAACTTTTAGACCCGTCCATTCTTCCTTGATAATCTCGAGACAGGCATGTCAACACCTGCACTACTCCTTTAACTATACTTCTACACCTAACTTGTAGAAGTATAAGCATTCCAATTGAAAAAAGTGAAGAAGAGCGAAATGTCCTTTCTTTCCACAATGGCCTCCCTTTGTTGGTGACAAATGTTACAATGGTCCTTTCTGTGTTCTTGTAGATAGTACATAAACACACAGGTTTGTATTTGTAGCTATAGAAACACAGCTTATGTCCTAAATGTATACTTATTAACATTCAGGACATAAGCTGTGTGCCATTTTGCACTCTAGGTGGCACTACAAGAACAAAAAAAAAAACAAAACAAAAAAAAAACCCAAAGCAAATAGACTTACCGGCGTGTTTTTGTAGAACATTTGAAAATTTAAATCTTGATTCATACTTTGTAACTTTAAAAGGCACTAATGTCTGTTTGTTTGCACTGTTCTTGAAGTAATTGTTTATGTGTTGTCTATAATCAACATTCAGATATCTCTGTTTATATGATACTACAGGTCTCTGTCAGTTATTATTTTTTTCCTCTGTTATTTCACCAAATGATTTTGCAAACCTTTTTTTTAAAAAAATAAACATTTTGTTGTTACAGTTTCCCAAAAAGGCCATCATTCGTCTTTTGAAGGATCCTGTGATTGATCATCCAACTAATGACGCCTCCGTCTGAGCCAAACGGCCTTAAAGGCCCAGTGATGGAAGCACTAGTTTAATTTTTGATATGTTTTTAAAGCCTTAAGCTTGATGTATGTCCTTGTTGTTTATGTTTAAGGTGATATTAAACATGGCAGAGCAGTGTTACGTCTGCCTGTTTGTTACAGTCTGTCAGAATCAGTTGTTTCAGGTAAATGAATACGTGTTTGGTAAATGTCAAAGTGGGTTGAGAAGTGAATGCTTCTGTTTTTATAATTTCTATGTTTGACTCGGAATCCATAATGCATTCCGTTACCTCAATATTATGGAAACCTGAACTGAACGTGGGGTATATCATATTTATTATGTGCTTTCTATTGTTTTTTTTTTCTTTTTGATTTTTTTTGTACATTCAAGCAAATGCTGCTTGAGCTTTTGATGATATGGTTTGTTGAAATAGGCTGATATTACTTAAAACATGGGAGCCTTGACCCATTTATTTCTGACTGATCATTTTCCTTTTTACAAATTATAACCATTTCATTTTGCTAATAAAAATATCTCACCCAAAACTAGTGATCCAACTTTAGTCACGCAAATTTCTGCAAGAGCAACAAAGTCTTTCTTGAAATAACCTTGTAAACTATTTTTGGAAGTTTCAATCTGTAAGATCTGTTTCCATAAAGTACATCTTTTTATTTTCTATACTTACATGATCCTGTTCAGGATTTTTCAAAGGAAGGTTTATTATGTACTTCCCAGGAATATGATGCCACTTTATAGTACAGTAAAGTAATTGTTACCTTTAGTTATTAAAATGCTGTATATAATAAATATGACTTAAACTATGCCTGTTTCTTTAAGCTCCTCCTCTTTCCTACAGTCCCTTGTCATTATGACGTTCCTCTCTTATGTTGATAACAACTGTTCTTGTCAATCAATTAATAAAATGGCTTGGCTTTGTACTTGTATAATGCCTTATCAAGTCCAGAGGACCTCAAAGCGCTTCACAGTCATTCACCCAAGCAGACACACACACACACACCCACAAACACACACCCACCCACACACACACACATACATTACTGGCAGCAAGCTACTGGATAGTAGCCACAGCTGCCCCAGTGCCACCTGCTGGGCCCTCTGATCATCACCAATCAAGTTTATTTGCATAGCACATTTCAGCAACACAGCAGCTCACCACACTTTACACTGTGAATACATAAGAATGAACATTCTAAACATGACATGGTCAGCAGTTGAGAAAACCAAAAATAAACATTATATTTTGTCTAGTGCCGTCATCAATACACATCAGATGTTGGTTAATATTTCATTTCTTAGGAGCTTTACACTGAGAAATAGTCTGTGTAATGAGATCAGCAGACACCAGCACAGTTCCACCAGGTGTTTGCTAATTGCTGCTGCTGCTAGTCTGGAGGAGTTGACTGGGGGAGTTGCTCTGTGGGGAATTCCAAGGAGCTTTGGGTAACCAGGCGGTGCCTTATGTAATGAGCAGGCGTTTAGGCAGCCTGAATGGTTGGAATTCCTCAAACATTCAAGAAAGAATCAAAACGTCCTCCGGGTCTGGTTTTGATGAGGGAATAACCTCACAACATAATAGAAGACTCAGGACATTCCATTATACATACCTTCTTGCTCACCTCCAAGCCTCCCTTAAAGCTCTGCTCGTTTTTCCAGAAGTGAACCGTCTCTCCTCGTCCACTTACTCTTAAGAGACACCAGTTATGTTTGCACCAAAGTCTCAACAACCAAACCTCTACAGAAATTACCATAAAGAAAAAAAAGCTATAGTTTATGCAGCTATTTTTAACTTCATGTATATTCATAAATCGCTCCCCTAAAAGTCAGAATGCTAAAATCTGGTTCAAACAAGCACTAGAGAGAGAGAGAGAGAGAGAGAGAGAGAGATCTCTGAAATCGTCTTCAGGAAATTCATACTTACAAGATGGAACCAGTTTACCTAATGTTGATCTTCAGGTGTAGAACTACCTGAGACCTTTTTTGTGTTCTGATTGTTCTGATGAATTGTAACTGTGGTGGACAGATTCTGTGCAACATTCTTTGAGCATTGTGATTGTGCATGTGGGTGCATGGAGAATTCTTTTCCTTGTTTTGCGTAAATTTGTGTTTAGGTTTTCTTGTGTTTGTATGTCACAAGAACATAAATTGACTAGAAAATGGAGCAAATATTTATGCAAACGGGAAATAAAATGTCGCTAAATGTTTTTTTTTTTGGACACCGAAAATAATTAAGTGTCCGGGGTGTGTTTGGCAGAGATTGTGCATTCATAAAAAAGACTCCAGGAAGTTCGCAAAAGGTGTTTTACTTGTTTGGAAGACTTTTCGTCTTTAAACAAGAGCAGCAAAATAGTTGTGCAGTTAAGACACCAGCTGCTTTGGAAGCAAGGCTGCATGGAGAGGTAAATAATTCAATTCCACTGCTTTCCTACTCAACTCTATACTACTTTTATCTCTTAACGCCTGGTTTATTTCAACTTTTTATCTAAAAAACTGTTATCTTTCAGCTTCTCAATGCTGCTTAAATCGCCAGCAAATAAAGAGTTTATAAAACTCCTGTTTTTGGTCAGATTGTTAGAATTTGAGCCAATATGTCTCAAATTCTTATTTATTCAAATGTTGACACTGTTAGAAGCTGGTAGGAAACAACATTCAACCAAATAGGTGATAGTCTGTAAGTCTTTGTCTTTCAACTGTTGGCTTCTAACTGTGTAACTACACTGCTCAAAAAAAAAATAAAGGGAACACTCAAATAACACATCCTAGATCTGAATGAATGAAATAAATATGAAAATAATTTCCACCTGTTGTCTATTCCATTTGCACAACAGCAGGTGATATTGATTGTCAATCAGTGTTGCTTTCTATAAGTGGACAGTTTCATTTCACAGAAGTTTGATTTACTTGGAGTTATATTGTGTTGTTTGGGTGTTCCCTTTATTTTTTTGAGCAGTATATTTACCAGCAGAGCTACATGGCTATTGCCATTGAATCTATCAGAGGTGAAAATTGCAGGGTCACCTGAGTGCCCCTATACTGCCCCATTCCTTCCACAGGTCAAGGTGGCAGAGCAGTAAAAAGTCAAGGTTACGATTTGTATGCCAGAAGGTTACCACCGAGCTACAGGGAAGCAGCAGTGATGGAATAAACCTTGATACAAAAGAGAAAACTTTTGAAAGCTAAGGCTACAGTGCTGTCTGAGAGGAATGTTCTCAAACAGGATAAATAACCACATGAAAACACCAGGAAATCATCACCATTATGTCCTTGTAGCTTTTCCTAGAATCAGTTCCTCGTATTAGACGTAGTGGTGTAACATGTTTTTTTTCTGTAATGGTGATGTTGAACTTTTCCGCAGCGAGGATGGCTTTACCAAAGGTGATCCGGTTGGCTGTTGTTCTTTTGGTAATATGTTGCGCTCTGGACAAGCCTGGATTCAGACGCTCTGTGTCCGTCTTCTTTGAGGTCAGCATAAAAAATAGTTCTGCAAAAACCTGTAGTAAAATGTAAATGTGGGACAAACCAATGACGCTTCCTTTTGATACAGTGAATAGTTGGATGTTGATAAGTTCTGGACTGATCTGTGTGTTTTTACAGGGACTGACGGCTGTTAAATCACCCAGCATTCATGTTAGAGAGAAAAGAGAAAGTGAGTCACTCCAATGCACAATGGCTATTGTCTACGTATCAGTGTAAGTTTTTGTGAAGAATGATTGATGGTCTTTCTTTGTCTGTGTTCACTTTAGCTTTTACAAATTTCACTGATTACGAGTTCCAAGTTGTTGTAAGTCTGTCTGAGCTGGAGATTCTTCAGACGGTTCTCAACAACCTCAGTTTTCCCATCGCCATCAACAGCACCAGTGAGATGTCCAACATTCACGCCACGACAGGTACGGTACAGTTCAGCGCCAAGGTCACCAACCTTTCTAAAACGATGAGCCATTGTTCCCCCTCACTAAATAAAGCGTCTCAAGAGCAACAAGGCCATGTAGAAAACAAACGATTTGATATTTGTAGGTTGATATTTGGTAAACATTTTAAATGAGTGAAAGAAATTGATGAGTCATTTCATAATGATGGATATCTCTTCCTCTCTCAAAAACAACATTTACAATTTCCACCGTGTGCTGATGGGTTTTTTCCCCCTCCCCTCCACAGTGTGTTCACGAAATATAAGTGGGTACCAGTGTGTGTGTGAGGAGAACTTTGCCTGGTCTTATAACAGCTGTATCACCTACGGAGTGTGTGACGCCATCGTCGGTGACGCATGTGGCTGCATTAACGAGCTTCCAGCTGACGGTCAGTTCTGCCAGGTGAACAGCAGCCAAACAGGTAGGTTCAGAAACTCTGTCACATATTCAGGAATGTCAGGACAAAAAGGTCCAGAATCCAAAGTATTATGGAAATAACATTTAATACATATAACTAATTTTAAGTTTGCCATTAAAGAGGCAGTTTCATGTCAAACAGACTTGTGAGCTTTACGTCATGATGTTATTTCCTCATCAGAAACATACCTGGAATGTTGCTTTGATTCTTTCGTGCATGTTTGACAAATCCTTTAATCTCCATGGCAACCATTCACCTGGGTGAACATAGCTCCACCTTTGAGGACGAAGCTCCTCCTCAGAGCTGCCGTTTCCACGTCGAGCTTCTGCCTCACAGAACAGTCCTCCGCTCTCTCAGCTCCTTCAGACTAGCCAGCAGCAATTAGCAAAGACCCGGTGAGCTCATCAAACGAGCTCCTTCTCAGAATGACGCTGGTAAGAGCGTTGTTAAAGAGTTAATAGAGGAGCCAATGTTGTGATGGCTTCCTGGAGTCAGACTGTCAAGAAACTAGAAAGAGGAGATTTTAAAGAGACAGAGACCTAATTTCAAGATGCTAAATTAAGAAGTCAAAATTCTTCTAAGTCATATTTGATATATACAGTATTTTCATAACAACTGGAGGTAACATAGTTACTTGATTGTGTTATCAGAAAGTCCTAATTTCCATCCCATAAAAAATGTATCTTCAGAGCTGATAAAGTGGCAGCTCCACTTGACTTACACCAGCTCTGTTCTAATGTAGGTCATTTTCGGACAGAATCTAAATGTATAATCTCAGTCACTGTTTAAAGGTAGTTCTAACAAATATCAAGAAGGTTTATGTAGACTTTTGAGCAATCTATAAAATGTCATTCATTCTGGCGTGAAGCATTTTGTAATTTCAACTAATTTGAAACAGGAAAAGGTTTGCAGTCACCCAGCTGAATAAACTCATAGACAATGGATCATTTGCCATGGATCACTTTATGTTTTTATGATATGATTAACTTCAGTGGGGAAAAAAGCTCATGTGATTTTCATACAGAGTCTGGAAATGATTGGTTTTAGTTGAATGCTTCATGTTAGAACTGAAGCTTTTTTGTAACTCAACGGGGACAACTGTTCTTGTTCCAGTTACAATTGATTCAAATGACTTTTTTAAAACTTTTTTGGCCTCCAAACAATTTTTATCCGGTTCTTCAAATGCTCGTCAACAAGGAATGTCATTATGTGAGCTGATCCGAGGTGAGAGCTGCAGCTGTTTCCCTGGCCAGTTCAGTAGAGCTTTCAAAACTCCTTGTGCTCTGATTTACACAAGCAGGAAACAGGAATGAAGTTGTCTCCATGCCTGTGTGTAAAAGAAGAAGAATGTGTTGGACTCAACACACGTCAGACTTGTTTTCTGGAAACCGCAACATTTGAATTTGACTGCAGTAAGAAGCAGCAGTTTATACAGGGCTGAGGAAGTGATTATGTCAAATACTCTCATTCCCTCAACCCTGAAGCAGAAATGTTTATGCACAATGTTTTTGTTTGAGCTGCAACAGAAAATAGTTTCACTTCAGATTTTGATAAGTGTGTCTGTCTCTACTAATAATAATGTGTGAAACTTTCAGTCACGACCCAAACACCGTCCTCTACGACAGCTCCAGGTATGAATGTAATGGATCATGTGTTTTTGTTTTTTTACGCTCCTTTTTCATTTGATAATTTTAAACTTTTTCTGATAGATATTTTTGTTTTCTGAGTTGACCCGGCGTCGACTGAAAACAAACGTCACGCAATGTCGATCAGATCTAATAACTTTAACCATCTACACACATTTGTTAGTTAGTGTCATGCAGAGTTATTTGTGAGTTGCAATTTTATTCCAAAATCACATTCACCAAATGTGAAAATGCAAAAATAACAACAACAAAAAAAAAGTATAAAAGTTGAATTTTAAATGGAAAATTCTAAGGCTTCCTAAGAGTCTCTTAATGTTTTATTTGCATTTCTGAGTTTAGCTTCAGGATCAAATATTCATACTGCTTCTTTCAGTGAATGTGCTGGTTGTCTGTTTAGAAATCATGGTTAGGAAACATTAGATCCCTCTCGCTGTCCATGGAAATATCAACTCCAACTGGTTTCCATTAGAACTGAACACAGCAGTGGCTCTCAATGCTTTTTCCTGGTTTACTCCAGTGCAGTTCTTTACTTTTATTTGCAAATAATTCTCATCAGCATTTCCTCTGAGTTTCACCAGCAATGCAAAATCTTTGGTGAGACTGAATCATTCATGTTGCTGGTAGATTTCAATTTAAAACCATATATTTTTATTTGATTTTTACCAACATGTTTCTGACTGGAAGTAAAAAAAAAACATTTTCAAGTCGTCCAATGTGAATATGACAGAGAACATAGGTATGGAGATAGATACAGATTAATCAAAAAATATAAATCATTAACCATATACACACAAAACGTTGGTGGACCTGTTGCTCCATGTTGCATCTAAAACAGGCCTGTTTACAAGGACTAAGGATTTATGTTCATTAGACTTTTTAAAACCATTTCCCTGAAAGAGTAAATAAATAATAAACATCCTTAATTGCCCTTTTCTTGTCAATGCAACAACGCCAGAAGAGCAAGCCCTACCGATGTGAAATCAACCTGTAACAATGCAGTCAGGCAAGTGTGATTCTCCCTACAGCTGCCAAACAGATTGTTTCATTGGATATCCAGAAAACATGATTCACACCAGGAAGCTTGTCTCTCAGCTCCAGTGTTCAGTGACTGAGAGCACCACTGCACCCGATGCCTGGCATTGGAATGAAGGTTGAAGGTTTGTTCACTGACCTTCATAAAGTTCACGATTCTGGATCTAATCTGAAAGGCAGGTTTGCATCAAGAGACAATGCAGGACATTGGCGACATATATGCACAATGCCACCCTCTTCTGACCCAAGTCGGTGATTATACACAGCCTGTCACTTTGTGATGTCTTTGACATAAAGCCACTAAAACCATACTGGAGTTCACCATGTATGTCTGCATGCATAGCTGTTGGGTTTTATACACCTGAGACCAAGAAAGTGATTTCAAAACCAACTCTGATAGTTTGAAGCAATGACTCAAAAGAAAAATCTGGAAGAAAAGAAAGCCAGGAACCAGAGAAGGTTCAGAGGTTCAGACAAAATGGAGTCTTTCATTCTGATGGCAAAGTGATTTAATCAAAGGGTTGACAAAACTGGATTTTAGAATTACGTATATGAAAGCATTTTTAACATAAAACAGATTCTAAAATGTTTTCTATATATACATTTTACAGAAACCTCAGCCATCCTGACAACCACATCATCGCCTCCACCTTATGGTACGATACACTAAATGTTAGGCAGTAATATTTAATTTATTTGACTTGGATCTTGAAATTCAAATTTTTAGATATATCAGGATAAAAAGACCAAATGTGTATCCATGGGAAAGAGAGAACTCAGAATAAGCAAACAATTTAACCAATTGTTTAAATCCTATATGGAGCTTTGAAAGCAATTTGAGATGATTGTAAGATCTTTTTTTTAATTACAGAAACATTGATCGTCATGTCAACTGCATCATCTCCAACACTTTATGGTATGAAACCGATTGCAAGGTTTTTTCCCAGGTCAAGTAAGAAGAAATGACGAGTGTTTGCATTTTGCTCACATCATCTGACTATGTGTACACTAATGTAATTACCCACGTAAAACGCTGTACATCGCACCATTAAGAACTCTCTCTTTTGTCCCACCATTGAGTAAAATGTGTTTTGGTAAAAAGAGTTGATTTTGACACAAACAGGCACTCTAGCAGGGTTTTAGTAATGCATGCAAATAATGATCAAGTATCTCTTATGCAAGTGCTAAAAGGTTTCTATGGATGGCAAATTGCATGATTACAAAAAAACAACAACAATGATGAGTTGTCTTCTGTTCACCTCAACAGAATCACAGGACATTGGCATTGTTCTTGATTTGCACATCCCGTTCTCCGACGTTCCACCCGATGTCCTTGATTTGACAAGAATGGCTTTTGAAAATAAAACATTTCCTGTGGCCCTCTCACAGTTTGTAGAATTGATAGAATTAAATCTGACGACAGGTAAAAGAGTCTGTTCATTCAAAGTCTAATTTGTAATGTTAGCAATGCTGCTGATGACAATGATGACTTTATCCTTTAAAATGTCACCAGCCTGCTCTCCAAACGCCACTGATGGACTGAAGTGTGAATGTGAGGATGGCTATGCTTGGCCGTGTGACATGTGCAATGGAAACAATTCATGCAAAGATGTCAGCAGTCAAACGTGTGCATGCAAATATGGCCTTCTTTCCAGTGAAGAGTTCTGTCAACCAATCACAGGTAAGCTTGCTAATTTCCTATTAAGGCATTACTAAAACAAGGGGATTCTGCTTCTCTTTTTTTAATACATGCAGTTATATCATTTTTAACCGGAGCATTTATGTTTTGGCTTGCAGACATTGATTTGTGTCCCACAAGTTCTCCAGGTATGAAACACATTGCTCTGGGTTATTGTACTTTTACCTTTTTGTCTTGTGAGGACAAAAAGATTACAGTCGACTGAAATGATTTAACCAAATATGTGAAATATGTGTTTCATAAATACTTTAGCACAAGTAACATAAAAGCATTTTATACATGTCACATGTACAGTAAAAGCCTTTCTGTATTTTCCTGCTTCCATCTTGCCTCGCTGTACATATAAATGTATGAGGTCTAAAACTTTTGGTTGGTTAGAGAAAACTTACCTTGGTAGATCACATTGACAATATGCACATGTAAAATGCATGATAATTTTTCTGTCTGTCACCAGAAATAACAATAGTGACAAATGCAACAGCGCCAGAAATAACAACAGTGACAAACGCAACAACGCCAGAAATAACAACGGTGACAAACGCAACAACGCCAGAAATACCAACAGTGACAAATGCAACAACACCAGAAATAACAACAGTGACAAACACAACAACCCCAGAAATGACAACAGTGACAAACGTAACAATGCCAGAAATAACAACAGTGACAAATGCAACAACGCCAGAAATAACAGCAGTGACAAATGCAACAACGCCAGAAATAACAGCAGTGACAAATGCAATTACACCAGAAATACCAACAGTGACAAATGCAACAACGCCAGAAATAACAACAGTGACAAACGCAACAACGCCAGAAATAACAACATTGGAAAACACAACAATGCCAGAAATAACAACAGTGACAATTGTAACTACACCAGCAATACCAACAGTGACAAACGCAACAACGCCAGAAATAACAACAGTGACAAACGCAACAACGCCAGAAATAACAACTGTGACAAATGCAACTACACCAGAAATAACAACAGTGAAAAGCGCAACAACCCCACAAATAACAACAGTGACAAGCGCAGCAACCCCAGAAATAACAACAGTGACACATGCAACATCGACAAATAGAACAATGATATTTGCAGCAACACCAGAAATGACAACAAACATCCCAACAGTTGCTACAACTGTAGCCTCTGTTACAAAAGGGACATTTACTCTTAACATGGATTTCAAAGAGTCGTATAATGATGAAAGCAACGCTGTTTATAAAGACATTTATGATACTGTAAGTTATATTTAATTTTTATGTTTCAATTTTGTAGCAACATGGATGAACTTATAATACAAATTGTAATATTGTAATATTTACTTGAACATGTTAATGTCCCAAACAGACTAAAACAAAGTGTCAGGAGCTTGTGTCAAAAGATTGTACTGTGAAGAGTCTAACCTTACGGTGAGTCACAATTTAGAGTTTATCATACTACTTCAGAAATATATGTTTCAGAACCACATGGCATTAAAGTGTGAATGTGTGCGTGAATGGCTGAATGTAATAAATAGAACTTTGGAGTCTTTTGGACTTGATAAAACATTATCTAAATATAGTAAGTATAAACCATTTACTATGTAAAGTTAATGTGCTGGTTCATATAAATCATTAGAATTTAAAGTTTAAAATTACTTTTTTATTTTATAATCAGTGGCTTGGTGGTTTGAATCCCTGCACCGTCTGTCTGGTTGTTGTTTCCTTGGACAGGCCACTTTACCAACCTTGCCAGACAATAACTAGTCAATATAAAATAACAATAAAATTCTCAGACGTTACACAGTAAAAAAATAACAATTTACTGTATTGCTGCTTAAATGAACAATATCTGCCTCAAACTGTTTAAAACTCTGTTAGAATCAGGTTTAGAAATAATGAACTGCTAAGAGCGTGAAACTTCACTTCACTTTGTGACTGAATTTAAATTCAGATATAATTATGTATTCCAGGAGTGGAAGTACCATCGCTGACTATACTCTCAGTAGTCCTTCTGGGGATGAAAAACAATTTGATTTAGCAAAAGATGCCATGTTAAATCAACTGGCAACGAAGTATCCTGTGGACTTCGTCAGTAAGTGACCCTCAACAAATTTGGACCATGTTTCAACCTTCTTCATATGTTCTCACATAAATTTATAAATAGTATGGTGGGGAAAATCTGTAGCTTTTTTGTGCTTCTTTTTTCCCATCTTTGTGTCACGCAGGTGTTGAACAATTAACTACATCAGTTAGTCCCGAGACAATAATTGCTGGGGTTCCGGTCACCCTGACATGTGGACCTCCTCCAACAAATCTGGATTCAGACCTGACGGTGGAGTGGACACGTTCTGGAACTCTCCTGGACACAGTCAAACCCAGCCAAGACAGAACGTCAAATTACAAAATCCAAAAATTTTTGAAAATTCATGATGGTAGGAGTCCACTTCAAAGTGTTGAAACATTGCAGCTTGGGATGGTTGCGTGTAATTCAACATCCGGCTTTAGGAAATTACAGCAACAATGATGGCTTTGGTTTTGTCTTTCAGGAGTTTATGTGTGTAAAATGAAGCGGAATGACGGTGCCACTTTCACACAGAGCCTCACCTTAACGTCCAAACCAGCACCACAGATTACCGTGAACCCAGTCAAAGGAACGGTGAAATGTGGTGGTTCTGTGACTGTGAAGTGTTCTGTTAACACCGGCTACCAGGTTCAATTTAAAGGCCTGAATCCTCCAAGTAAATATTCAAGAAGCAAATATTTTAATGCTTTATAATAACATCCTATGGCACGTTAAGTATGTATTATAAACTGTACTCTAAGCAAAGTATTATGATTTTGTTGTTTAGTTCCTGGTTTGGAAATCAGCTACACATACACAGCCCCTGGTGGATGTAACCAACGGGAAGAGACGATAACCTGCCAAATGACAACAAACCCACAGGATTCTAAAATAATAACTCTGGAATTAATCGAAGATGGTGGGCATTAATCCAGACAACAGAACCCTGAAAAGCTAAATAAAATACAAACCAGGTCACATGTACAACTGTGTCACAACTTAGAAGTGACACAGGTCTCTCCAAAAATATACCGGGATAATATATAATCTTTGTAGTTTGTACAAATTCCTTTAATGGCTTTCCAGCAGTCAAATCACACTCAAACTCTCCGAACAATTTTTTGTTCTGAGTTTTAATGGGCTGGTACTCTGAGCAGGCCTCTCCAGAACAATATTATTTTAATCAGAAGAGGGTTTTAAAATTAACACAATGTTTTACTTGTTAATCTGCCAGGGTTGTGCACATTTTGGGGCTGTACAGTGATCTGGATAGTGATTAGAAAATATGTTGAAAATCAGCTAAATCGTTTTATCTTTTTTCTTTTAGCTCTTTGTAAGGCTAACGATGTATTCAGTGCCGGATCGGTGGGCTTTGTGGCTGTTGCATCCTGTGAAGCAGGCAAGGTGGGAAACAAGACAGCCGTCTGTAAGGCGGACGGCACATATGGAGAATTCCAAGACAACTGTGTTCTAGAAGTCATACAGAATCTGCTCAGTGAGTCGGAGGTAAACCGGTTCATCTCATGTCTAGACTCTTCATGACACATTTTATTTACTGAAATGTTCGGTCCTCAAACAGACAAATTCCGGGAAATGGGGAGTACAATACATAACGACGACTGACAAGAAATATGAGAATATATGATGTCCTTTAACAGTAAAATTACCATTTTATGTAATTCTGATAACATTTTATTCCAATCATACCATCTCCTGTCCTTATTGGATACATTCTAAAGCTGACAAAACCTGAACTATAATACTGGACTCTTAAATCCAAAACCAAATTGATCAAAGGCCCACATTTAGCAAATGTTAAGCTAAGTACACAAACTTCATGATACATGCATGAGCCCATAATTTGGATAGATATACTGCAGTGATACAACTTCTGCATTTTATGCAAGTATTTCTATAACTTGTAAATATAAAGTTTGTTTGTGAACCTTGACAGGCATTGGATGTGGTTACTCTGCCAGTATTCTTGGAAGACCTCAAGGGTGCAACTATCAATAACTCTCAGACCATAACTAACTCTCCGGCCACCATCAGTGCCATGGTGAAAATCTTTGCAAATATTGGCCAGAGGGCCAATTCTTTAAAAATCACGTTATCTGAGGACTCTACAAAGGTAGGCAGTGCAGATTTGTGTGGTTGTTGTGCAGGACTGTATGGGCAGTTGCCCTGGCCAGTATTAAAAAGGGAATTGCACAGACAGCAGAAAAAATGAATTACCCATTTGTTTGATGAAAAAAATAGATATATTATATTTGCTCTTTTTTTGTTGTCTTTTAATTCAGAATATCCTGGAAAGTGCGGGCATTCTTACCACTGACGCTGCAAAAGGCACATGGAATACACTGAACAATGACAACAGAAGTGAAAGTTCAGAAAACAAAAATTCCAGCTCTTCATTTTTGAGCGCCTTTGAAGTGATAACATCCCTCGTCGTCAACAAACCTTTAATCATAGAAACACAGTATATTCTTTTCACCAAAACTAACTTCACAAACAGTTTCAAGGATGACTTGAATTCCTCCGTGGAAATAGACATACCAGAAGCCGAGGGAAGCAGGCAGTCAGTCGCAGTAATATTATTTGCTTCCATGGACAACGTGCTTCCTGCAAGAGAAAGCGTGAACACATCGTCCAGCGTCATAAACGGCAAGGTGGTGCTTATTCAGCCAGAATCAGACATTAACAACATATCGATAGCATTTGATGTTCTGAATGAGACCCTGGGAAAGCCTAAGTGTGTTTTCTGGGATTTTAATCTGGTTGATGGTCTTGGAGGATGGAGCGATGAAGGCTGCTCATTTGTACTCAATGAAAACGGGACAGTCAGGTGCAGATGCAACCATACCACCTCCTTCTCCATTCTGATGTCACCCGACAGCCCAAAGGATATTGTGTTGGACTTTATAACCTACATTGGAGTCGGCCTATCCATGGGCTCCCTGGTTGTATGTCTCATCATTGAAGGCATCGCATGGAGAAAAATAAGAAGACATTCAACATCGTACTTGCGTCACGTCTCCATCGTCAACATCGCAGTGTCTCTCCTGATTGCAGACATTTGGTTCATTATTGGAGCGGCCATTTCAAACACGAAAAGTGCGCCGGCCTGCACAGCCGCTACCTTCTTCATCCACTTTTTCTACCTGGCCCTGTTCTTCTGGATGCTGGCCTCTGCCCTGCTGCTGCTCTACCGGACTCTCAATGTCTTTGAGGGAGGGCTGTCTAAACTAACCATGCTGATCATCGGATTCTCTTTGGGATATGGCGCGCCGCTGATCATTGCGACTATAACTATAGCTTCAACTGCTCCCTCGAACGAGTACATCCGGGAAAATGTCGTCTGTTGGCTCAACTGGAACCAGTCCAAAGCTCTGCTGGCCTTCGTGGTCCCTGCTCTCCTGATAGTGGTGATAAACTTAATCATTCTGATTGTGGTGTTGTACAAAATACTGAACAGGAGAGGTGGAGCAAACGCAGCCCAAACAGAAGAGAAGAGCGTTCTGTACGTGATAGCCAGGAGTTTGGCTGTGCTCACGCCGTTGTTTGGACTGACTTGGGGTTTGGGAGTCGGCGTCATGGTCAGCCCAAAAAACAGAGCGATACACATCACGTTTGCATTGTTCAACTCAGTCCAGGTAACATTTCACGTACATACTTTTCATATGCCCATCCTGCTTCTCAATGTGAAAAAATTGAAAAAGATTTTATTTGATGTTTTTTAAAAGGGATTCTTCATTCTGGTGTTTGGGACACTGTTGGACAAAACGGTGAGTTTGTCTCCTCTGTCAGGATTTTGCCAACGATACAGTAGAAAGGTAGATTTGAAGCACAGAAAGTACAAACATCTTATTTTTCATGTTATATAATTTTAAAAGTTATGAAGGATTTCCTTTTTCTACATAATTTGTCTGGTTTTCAGTAGCATACTAACCAACGGAATTAACGTTTTAGGTGCGCTCAGCGATGACCATATCTCAGGGATCTTCCTCGCTCAGCAGGACAACAGTAAGAGGTTTTCTTAATTCTTTCATCTCATTGAATAGCCACAGTTCAGGCTACTGACATTTTCTGCTATTCTTGTTTCAGAGCACCAGCGCCAGAACGTTTTCCAGTGGAGTGAGCAAGTTTTTCAGCAAGCTGAAGAAACCAAGACGTACGTCATTTTTATTTTTCATGATGACCTTTTTGATAGTTCTCTTTTGGTCATATTACATAGATTTTAAAATCACACCTCAAACTAAACAAAACCTATTTTTGTTGCAGGTTCTACCAGGGGCTACCACACGTCTTCTGATGGATCCAACACTTAATCCAATGCAAAGTTGAGCAAATTCAAATATTATTATTTGATCAGATTAATTCTCATCAAGTTCGATTTGCTTGTTAATGGATTGTGAACAAATGAAGGAAACTGAATCCACTGCTTTCAGCAGCTGCTACTTGTAATAATAAATCTTCACATAATGTGTCCATGTCTTTTTAAAATGTATAATAATCTGCAGTAATATCTGTTTGTAGACATTTTTAATCCCAACTCTTGACAAAAATGTTTCCTTTGTTTCTTATGGTCAAAAAAAGTGCAAATTATGTTAAATATTGAGAAGCTTACATCACATTATTTTAAATAAACATATAATATAAAAAGTAGATGCAGAAAAGTCGCATTTTTGCAAAGTTTCCCAAATCACTTTAGTCCAATAATGACTCTAATATGACATAATACTTCTAATATCAATGTGAAGTAATGAATTTTATTCCATAAGTAGCTGATGACTCTTCCCTGTTTCATAAAATGCGTGTGTGTAGGTGAGTGTGTAGGTGTGCGTGTGCGTGCATGTGTGTGTGTGTGTGTGTGCGCATTGGGATGAAGAGTGTAGAAATCCTTTTTGACAGGATGGTGTGTGTTATACTTTTATAAAAGTACTCTATATTTTATTTATTAATGTCTTCCCAAACCTAAATATTCTTGTACAGAAATGTCATTTCTCGCGCCTTTCTGCTTTCATTTTGTTTTTCTCTTGAATAAATTCATCGGCCGGAGTCAAAGTTAGAGGACTAAACTCACGTAACTGGTTCTTGACAAGAAAAAAAAAACACCCTGGCATCTTCAGTATCCAGCAGTCTTAAAGCTGCTGGATACTGAAATGCCTGTGGTGTAAGTTCAAACAGAGACACTGAAGTACTTTCAGTATCGCATGAAGGAAATGAAAATGGTTTCAGACCATATGTTGTGTATCAGTATCTGGTATCGATCATGTTGGCACTGAGTTTTTATCGGTTTGTTCTCTTCTCCGAAATCAACACTGAATAATTTGTGGCTTGTAGGCAACTATAAACCTGAGAGATCCTCGGATCCCAGTAGATCAGCTGTTTTCAAATACAACCAGCCCATCTGGCAACAAAGTCTATGCTACATTTAAAGATCTATGAATGCGTCAAACGCAATAAATCACGTACTGTTGTAAAACCCTTGTAACATATATATCTGTGTGACACATGTATTGAGGTCTGGCCTAATTTTATATTTTATACAGTATTACTGTTTATTTAAGACAGCAAATTATGACAGTTCATTCTGTTATTGTGTACATGGCGTACATAATGCTGTATTGAATAACTATGAGTTGACTGATAATGATGTATTTTTCCTCATAGGTTTTTTGACTGGTCTCAGTGTCTCCTCTAATGCAGTGGTCCCAAACCTCCTTCCTTCACCACCCCGCCACTCCCACCCTCACCTCTCTACACTGTAACCCTCGCATGGAAAGCGCACGGCAACAGTGAAAGAAAACTGTTGCTTTTATTTCGACTGTTGATGTGAAACGGAGATCCAACTTTTGCTTGCATATTTTCGTGGGAATCAGATTTAACTGCTATAGAGTGACGCATCTCATGTGCCAAAAATCTGTAATTGTCAACTGATCAGTATTTGTGTTGACATCTGTAGAGCTGTGCTGGACTCCAGCCAAGGCCACTGATAAGCTTCCACTACCAGACAATGGTGGGAACAGACGTATAACGCTTAGTGCACACACGCTCGCATATATTCTTTATGGCTTATTGAGCTTCTGTGCAGCAGTAATAAAAATGCATTGTGATTCTGATTATGTACCAAAGCCGGATTGAATACAAGATTAAAACTTGTATTGTGCTTTTAAATGAACATTTAAACTGGCATGTTGAATGTTAAGCTTTCAATCACTCATTTAACATTGACATTTTTATGAAAAATAAAAGTAATGATTGTCTAATGCCCAGTTATTATTTGAACCAACAACGTTCAATGGGAAAGGCTCTCATGGACCCACTATGATCCTAAATCAAAGACTAAAAGAAGAATTAGCCTAAATTATAAGCAAAAGTTAAAAGATCCAATATGTTTTGAAATAATGTACAACAGAAAAATTAGACTGAGACTCAATATTAATTATGACATTGGTTTTATTACAGAAGATGAAATGTATTTCAACATTATGTCAATTTTTTTCAGCTGTTATGGTGCAAAAATCTACTTTTTATTTTTTTAAAAAGCAGATTTTACGCAAGATTTATTATAATTTCATGAATCTATAAAGACATTTAGTTTGAAATGTAAACATCACTGTGGAAAAAAAATTGAGAAGCAGGCAATCTGTGAGACAAAAATGACTTATTTTGCACTTAGAGTGTTCTTGAAGTATCTAACATAAAGTATAATATCTGTTGAGTTTACAAGTTTTAATAATGCTGGAATCACTGAAATCTCCCAAACGCAGTAGATTTCAGTGTTATATTCTTTATAACAAAAATAGAAAAAACAGGCATAAAAAAAATCATCATTGCAACTTAAAGTTAACAAAATTTCCTTTTAGGATTTTGCCAGAAACAATTATTTTAAAAGCTGACCTGAACCAGCTGTAAAAAAAAAAGCGTAATGATTGGATTCAGTGCAGAGTTGGAGAGTCCGATCCAGGTAACAGTTTCAATTACAGGAACTGGAACCAGACGGTTTGTAAAAGGTAGTAAAGTTATGAAAAAGAAAAAAGGAGTCCAACAAAGTAGAAAAACTCCCAGAACAATCGCCAGAGTTTTGGTGGCTTTTCTCTCCATCTTACTGGCAGTTGCTCCAGACTTCATGCTTTGGATGCTTCGTGCCTGTCTCTGTGCAACAAGGAAAATCTTCAGGTAGTTGCAAAGCATTACGACCACTGGAATGTAAAATGATAATACAGGTCCAATAATGGTAGCCGTGATTACATCAAGAACACACATGTCAACACATTTTCCAAGAGACAGTCTGGGAATTATTACTCCGATGCCAGTGAGAACAGCAACACCCCAGCTCGCTGCGATCATGATGGCAACAACATGACGGCTGATTTTAGATCTATATGTCAGAGGCTGACACACAGCATATTACCTGTCAGCAGAAATACAACACAAGTGCAGAATAGAGCATGTACAAAACAATATATGAAATGTGTCACGGACCTTACAAAGGAAATCCTCATTATAGGTACATGAACTCAGAGAGAAGGCCATGCTGAGAGGAAATACTAAAATCCCAACCAGCATGTCGGCCACAGCCAGAGACAGAATGAGAGTGTTGGTGGGTGTGTGAAGCTGTTTGAAGTAAATTACTGATATTACAACAAGGAGGTTTCCACATACAGTTACAACAGATAATAGTATAAGAAATACATATAACATTACACATGTAACAGAAGCAGTCGTGGTTAGTTTGTAGCTAAACTGATTTATCTCACACCATGGATGCTGTAAGACATTCACTACATCTGTCCTGTTTTCCATGAAGACCTAAAACTGAATTCAGGTTACATTGAAAGTAAGACAGACATTTAAAATGAATTCAACAGAGGGTTAAACAAAGAGTGGCTTTTCTGATACCTGATACTGCAGATCAACCTTACATGCTGTGCTAACTGCTTCCAGCAATGTGAGTGTCAGTGCAACAAGGCAACATGTCAGTGCAGGTTGCTCTGCAGCATGATGGTCTCTGTGCACAAGCTTTTATGTCTTACTCACTGACCTATCTTTGGAAATCACAGTTTCCCTCCAATAAGGAAGGGCAATCTCCATGTTGCCTTGTAGCATGGCAGTGTGTGTGTGTGTGTGTGTGTGTGTGTGTGTGTGTGTGTGTGTGTGTGTGTGTGTGTGTGTGTGTGTGTGTGTGTGTGTGTGTGTGTGTGTGTGTGTGTGTGTGTGTGTGTGTGTGTGTGTGTGTGTGTGTGTATTGGCCCGAGCACGGTTGGACTGATGTCACACTGTTGATGCATTGTTATGTGGTTTTCAGCTGTTTGGTTTCACAGACCTGTAGTTCTCATGCCAGGCCAATATGTGGTGCTGTGATTTCAGCGTGTTGTTTGAAATGCGCCAAAGTTTCGACCCATAGATTCCACCTCATGTAGGAACTTGAACTCGTCAACGATGAACTGAGTGCTCATGTAGCACATCTATATTTCTTATCAGAATCTGTTTTAAACTGAAGAGTTTGTCACACACAGCACAAGGGGTGTATTTCACACCTCTGGGTGTTACTGATGAGTGGATTTCCATTTTTGAAACTTGCTTTAGAAACATGCTGGTGTCACACATTCTGATCACCAGAAACGTGGAAACAACTAGCTTGAATGCCGGGAACTTATAGTGCAGGGTCAGAATCCTCTGAAGATCCTTAACATTGATGTTTCTGGACTGAGATTGTCCATCAACACAAAGAGACGACATGTGAGAAGGGAAACCTCAGGCCACATTGTGAACCTTTCTTGGATGCCCTGTGTTGTCGTTCACTTCCTGCTTCTGTTTTGGAGCCGTTCACTTCAGCCGAACAGTGACAAGGTTTGTAGGCAAACCAGAATTCGCTTTCTCCAAAGTCTCGTTCCGTTTTTCTAGACAAACAAACTAGATTTTTATGATAGTGGAATAAACAGGGCAGGTGTGAATGCAGTCTTAGTTTTAGCAAATTTCACTTTAAAATAATGCAAAATAAGGAGGAACAAAACATCCTTGATGCTTTGGAAGATTTAAAAATCGAAAATCAGTTAAAATATGAACTTTCTCCATCTTTATCAAACACCTGCAGCCTTTGAGAGTGAATCTGAAATGACTAGCAGAAAACTCAGAACTCCAGTCACCACTTTGTTAAAATAATAGGTTGCTAAATTATGAAGTGGAGCCACTGAGAGTTCGCTCTTTTATTATAAATGAATGTATTTGGCTCTGTGAGCGTCACAGACACAAATGCAAATCCAGCCTGGTGAGTTAAACTGGAGCTGCTGCGTCAACATGCGGCCTGATAAAACAAATGATTAAAAAACTGGAAGAATAACAAAAAACAGTCAGGATGACTTGTTAGTTTCTGTTGGGGAATATTTAAACTCCCTTTTCTGACAGTTATTGTTTTATAACCTAGTTGCATTTATTCAATTACATTTACTTGACATTTTTGAAAAATAATATTTTTGCTATGTTGTACTTTTTAATTCTACTTTAGTAATTTGATCAGGAAGTATCTACTCTTACTTGAATTATAACGTCTAAGTGATTTGGAAGAACTGAACCTATTACTGTTTTTCCAGTGATAGGTTCAGTCACTGGCTACATATTTAAGTTTTATTATTATTCCTCTACTGACTCTTTTCATGCGACGTCACTGTGTTTGAAACTCGACCCGCTCCGCCATGACGGAGGTCAAAACAACCTATCCGCGCCTCTAAAATCTGTGAAAAAAACGCACATGGTGTTGCTTTAATCAAGTTGATTTCACAGTGAAAATGGTCACAGGGTGCTGCTCAAACATACAAGGATACAAACCAAACTTATCAGTTTATTGTGTAACTTTTAATGAGGAAAGATTAACGGCTGCAGCAGCGTTAATCACAATCACCGCCATCCCTGCAGATTTGAAGCGAACACTATTTACAAGATAAGAAGATGTCGAATTATCTTGCCGTCTTATTGTTGTGTTCAAGTATTCAACTCCGAAAGAAACTTATCTTGACTGTCTTTCAGCTGTCTTTGTCCTCGCAGAAAAATCACTGCAAACACTGATATTCAGCTCACCGTTGAATGTTGAGTCGAAACCAGAAACTGCTGCTGGGCAAGTGACGCAACGGGCTGTTGCTAGGTAACCAAAGAATGAGTGAGTTGCTAGGTAACAATAACTGAATACCAGCTTGTTGTTAAGCCAGGTTTACGTTTGGCAAAGAACGGCACAGACCTTCATCTCTGCAGAAACCCTCAGCCTCAGATTAAACAAATTCACTTTCTTATCCAGTGAATGGACACTGGCCAGAAATCTGAGGCCAGTCGAGCAGAAAAAGACTGCCTTGAATGAGGAAAACACCACTCTGAAGGTGAAAAGCACCACTGAGAAGCAGAAAAGAACCATCTTGGAGAGGAAATCCACTGCCTTGGAACAAATAAGAGCCATCCTCAAGCATGAAATCACCACCCAGGGACAGAAAATCACTGCTTTGGAGGAGGGAAAAACAGTCGGAAATGGTGGCTTCCAAGGCATCAGCTGAGTTTCCCCTTTTTCTGTTTTCAGGCACCATTTGACCGTTGGTCCTGCCACCCTGCCGTGCCAGTCCATTGTCCTCAAGAGCCGCTGTCTCCCAAGTGCGGATTTCAGCCTTGGTGATGTATTACCAGCTGAACTGTCTCCAGTGGCCATCAGCTTCAGCTGTAAAGTTTGTTTTTATTCAAACTTCAGCAGTTTTCTAGTTGTCCTTCTGAGGTAGTGACATCAATTTCTGACATCACGCAATTTGATGTCACAAGGAGTGATGCACCCTATGTGGAGCTATAATGCATCACTTCTGAATCTACGGTCATAGCTATTGCAGCAGTTGGAGAGAAAGCACAAGTATTGTACTAATCGCACTAACAAATAGTCAATTTTCTAATCGATTTTCAGATTTGTTCAGAGAGAACGAATTAAAAATGAGTAAGAGCAATAAGATAAGTAAGCCTTCTGATTTCAAAGGCAAGGGAATGCAAGAGACCATAGCGATTCAGACGCAGCAGCTCAATGATTTTGTAGAAAAAGTAAGCGTGTTGTCCATCGAGCGAATGTCTCTGCTGAAAGCGAATGAGGAGCTGAACATCCAAGTTCTAAATATGAAAAAAGCTGCGCTTGAAGTAGACGCTCTGGTTCGGGAGAAAGACGACGAATTAAAGAAACAGTTGGACGCAAACAGCACTTTGAAGAAAAATATCACTGCTCTGGAAAAGAAAAAGATCGCCTTGGAAAACGAAAAGACCGCATTGGAGGAGAAAAATACTCGTTTGGAGAAGGAGAAGGCCACTGTGGAGGAGAGAAACACAGCCTTAGAGATAGAAAAGACTGCCTTGGAGAGAAGAAAGAACGCGTTAGAGGTTGAAAAGAACGCCTTGGAGAAGAGGACCTACACGCAGCAGAAAGAAACTTTTGCACTGCGACAGAAAAACACGATCTTGGAGAACCAAAAGACCGCCTTAAAGGAGAAAAACACTATGCTGGAGAACCAAAAGACCGCCTTGAAGGAGAAAAACACTACGCTGGAAACACAAAACACTGACTTGGAGAAAAAGAACACTGCTCTGGAGAAGAAAAAGACCACCCTGGAGAAAAAAAATAATGCACTGGGTCAGAAAAATGCAGCCTTAGAAATTGAAAAGGCTGCCTTGGAGAAGGGAAAGACTGACTTGGAGGACAAAAACACAGCCCTGGAAACACAAAACACAACCTTGAAAAGGAAAAAGACCGATTTGGAGACGAAAAAGACTGCTCTGGAGCAAAGAAGTATCACACTGGGGCAGAAAAACGCAGGCTTGGAGATTGAAAAGACCACCTTGGAAGAGAGAAACATAAAATTGGAGCATGAAAAAACTGCCTTGGAGGAGAGGATCACCGTCTTTGACCACATAAATACCGTCTTGAAAGAGGAAAACACCGCCCTCAAGCAGGAAAAGACTGCCTTGAATGAGGAAAACACCACTCTGAAGGTGAGAAGCACCACTGAGAAGCAGAAAAGAACCATCTTGGAGAGGAAAACCACTGCCTTGGAACAAATAAGAGCCATCCTCAAGCATGAAATCACCACCCAGGGACAGAAAATCACTGCTTTGGAGGAGGGAAAAAGCTCGCTGGAGAAGGAAAACACCAGCCTGAGGCAGAAAATCGCTGCCTTGATGAAAATAAGCACCGATCTGAAGCTGAAAAGCGAGACCCTGGAGAAGAGGACCACTGCCTTAGAGGATAAAAACACCATCTTTGAACAGCAAAACGCCGCCCTGAAACTGAAAAGTATCGGAAGTGTCTTGGAAGGGGAAAAGCTGACCAAAAGATGAGGGACAAAGTGGAACAGCAGAACCAGCAGCCGCCTAAAAAGGAAACCCACGGAGAGAGCCAGTCGGATTCAGACCAGCCGTCAGTAATCGCACGTGTGGTTGGAGGTATCATCAACACATACCAGAAAATGTCCGAAAATGGTACTCTGAGATACTGGATCGAATTGTGATTCGATCCAGTATCTCAGTCTGAAGTTGATAACTGAAAACTTCAGACTTCATTATTTGGGGCATAAAAGCTTTACAACAAACGCACTGCAGTGTCAAGGGAGCTTGACACTTAGGGGCTGATGGCGGAAGATGTTGGAGGGAGAGCTTGTGGCCCGCAGGACTGCGGTGCCATGGGAACTTGAGGCCTCGAGTTCCCAGACCATCAGACTCTAATCCCATTTGTCGCCAGGTCATCAGACACTCTCTGGCTGACCTCCGGGGCTTCGTATGGAGTCCCGTTGGTCTCCGGCTGACCTCCGGGTCTTTGTGCCGAGTCTTTTTGTACGAATATTGCATGTTCTCCCCATGCTTGTGTGGGTTCTCTCCGGGTACTCCGGCTTCCTCCCAAAGTCCAAAAGCATGATTGTTAGGTTAATTGATTTCTCTAAACCCATTCTTAGGTGTGAATCTGTGCATTCACGGTTGTTTTTCACCTGTCTGTCTTTGTGTTGCTGGCGACCTGTCCAAGGTGAACTCCGCCTCTCGCTGGAGCAAGATACCTCCCAGATCTTCCATTTTTGGTTTGAAGGTTTCCTAAATAAATCTGTTAGCATTCGTAGCAGGAGCTGAACTCCAGTATTACACCAAGCCCTATATATTAATGCAAAATATTAACAACATTGTCCTCGTACTGAAAGGTTATGTCCCAAACCCTCACATGAATAGTCCGTCATTTTGAACAAAAATATGCAGCAGTGCTGAGGCATCGTCTGCTGTTCTGGTTTAGCCAAGTAGGATTGACGACCTCTCCAAGATGGCCACCGTGTTTCCTGCCTCCAAGCAGTCAATGCGGAGCCTATCCTTTTATTATGTCTGTGGGTTGAGCGGTTAAAGCTGCTTCTCAGCCTACATTTCCCAGAATGCAGTGTGGTTCTGGATCAGAGTTCAGTAAATATTCTTTAATACAGTGGACCAACCCTGGTCCTCAGGAACCGCTGTCCTGCATGTTTTTGATGAGTCTAGACTGATTCAGATGACTGCATTTCCTTCTTTGCATTCCTGAAATTGTTGCAGTAGCTGGTTAATCACCTGTTCATTTAACCCAGTGCAGCAGCAGGGAAACGCCTAAAATATGCAGGACAGTGGGCCCTGAGGTCCAGGGTGGGGGACTACTGCTTTAATATATTGAATATTTTCTCAGATATATCATCTATTGATATTTATTATTCACAAGAAGAACATGTACTAAATTGAAAATTTAAGTTTTTATAAAACTTAAATTTAATGTCATTAAATATCTTTGTACTCAGGATCAGTGTTTGCTTTAACAATGAATCAAATGTTGTCAGAAAGAGTTTCTGCTTCATTTTGCTCTCGAAATTATTAGGCCCGAGCAGCTAAGCGCTGCGAAGGCCTATTGTTTTTGTATTGTTTCTTATTAGGCCTGAGCAGCTAAGATCTGCTCAATATCCCAGATTTTAGATCAAAGCGGTCCCGACGTTCCACCGACTGGACCCGATCAGTCGTAACAGACCACACACTACAGGATGATCGGTTACGATTGACGGGAGCGACAGTCTTACAACGTTCTGAGTTCTAAGATTGTGCATTTAGATCTCAGTTGTAGTTAACGTCAAAGACACATTGATCATGCGCATGTGGGCGTGGCTTAGTGTAAAACTTTGACTATTTGCCATGAAACATAAACATTAAAAAACTTCCAAATGCAAGATCACAGCTGCATCACGCTTCCTGTGTTTCTCTATAGAACAGTCCTGAACACATTTCCATGGTCACTTGATGAAATCACCCTAGCCCCGCCCACTTTTCAAAGGCAGTCACCAGTTTTTTCTCCTGTGTGTTTTACTGTTATTCTATAATTTATATGGGTTTCATCATGTGAATACTGACTAAAAACGATAACATGATGAACTCTATGAATGCTGGCTGCTGACCAAACTGCATTGGGGTGTAGAAATGGCGAACTGCAGTTCTTCACCATGTGCATATGATCGGCTCTAAATGACACATTGATCATCCGACTGGCGCCAAACTGGATATGTATGACCTTTGTTGACCTCTCAACACCTCAACAACATTGAAATGTAATTTTTACTCCACTGCGCCCCCTACATTAATACACCAGCTATATCTCCTCACTAAATCCACAAATCTGCACCACATTTTTCGTGTGTCGTCAAGGAGCGCCACCGAACGCATCGATGCGTACCGCCTGGTGGACGGGCGCGGAAACTGCGCAGCAACTTCTGTGTTGGAACGTGGGCAGCGTTGATGGAAACTGCGCAGCAGCTTCCGCGGTGCGGGCGGAGGCGCTGAAAACTGCGTGAGAGTTTCTGTGGTGTCTGGCATGGGCGGCGGTTGCTAGTACCCCGCAGTGGCCAATAGGCAGGAGCGGCGTTTGGATGCTAGGGCCGCACGACGCCGCTTGCGGCTTTAATTCATATTTGCTTTCTTTCTTTGTAGATCTACTTCACCCACCATATTAGGGTTGTGTTTATTGTGGAATGTCTTCCACATTCCCAGACCCAGAACTTTTCACATTATTGTTTTTTCCATCACTTTCTCTGGCCATGTCTAAATCTCAATGAACATTTAAACTGGCATGTTGAATGTTAAGCTATCAATCACCCACTGAACATTGACATTATCATGAAAAATCAAAGCAATGATTGTCTAGTCCCCAGTTATTATTTGTACCATCAACGTTCAATGGGAAACGCTCTCATGGACCCAAATCAAAGACTGAAAGAAGAATTAGCCGAATTAGGTCAATTAGACTGAGACTCAATATTAATATTGACATTGTTTTTTATTATATAAGATGAAACGTATTTCAACATTATGTCAGAAAAGCAGATTTTAAACAATTAAAATTATAATTTTATGAATCTATAAACTCAAGACATTTAGTTTGAAATATAAACTTCACTGTGGAAAAAAAATCAAGAAGCAGGCAATCTGTGAGACAAAAATCAGTTATTTTGCACATAGAGTGTTCTTGAAGTATCTAACATAAAGTATAATATCTGTTGAGTTTACAAGTTTTAATAATGCTGGAATCACTGAAATCTCCCAAACGCAGTAGATTTCAGTGTTATATTCTTTATAAGAAAAATAGAGAAAACAAGCATTTTAAAAAATCATCATTGCAACTTAAAGTTAACAAAATTTCCTTTTAGGATTTTGCCAGAAACAATTATTTTAAAAGCTGACCTGAACCAGCTGTAAAAAAAAGCGTAAATGATTGGATTCAGTGCAGAGTTGGACAGTCCAAGCCAGGTAACAGTTTCAATCACAGCAACTGGAACCAGATGGTTTCCTAAAGGCAGTAAAGTTATGAAAAAGAAAAAAGGAGTCCAACAAAGTAGAAAAACTCCCAGAACAATCGCCAGAGTTTTGGTGGCTTTTCTCTCCATCTTACTGGCAGTTGCTCCAGACTTCATGCTTTGGATGCTTCGTGCCTGTCTCTGTGCCACAAGGAAAATCTTCAGGTAGTTGCAAAGCATTACGACCACCGGGAGGTAAAATGATAATACAGGTCCAATAATGCTTGCTGTGATTACATCATGTACACACGCGTCCACACATTTTCCAAGGGACAGTCTGGGAATTACCACTCCGATGCCAGTGAGAACAGCAACACCCCAGCTCGCTGCGATCATGATGGCAACAACATGACGGCTGATTTTAGATCTATATGTCAGAGGCTGACACACAGCATAGTACCTGTCAGCAGAAATACAACACAAGTGCGTAATAGAGCATGTACAAAACAAGATATGAAATGTGTCACGGACCTTACAAAGAAAATCCTCATTATAGGTACATGAACTGAGAGAGAAGGCCATGCTGAGAGGAAATACTAAAATCCCAACCAGCATGTCGGCCACAGCCAGAGACAGAATGAGAGTGTTGGTGGGTGTGTGAAGCTGTTTGAAGTAAATTACTGATATTACAACAAGGAGGTTTCCACATACAGTTACAACAGATAATAGCATGAGAAATCCATATAACATTACACATGTAATAGAAGGAGTCGCAGTTAGTTTGTAACTGGAGTCAATCATTTCATAGCATGGATGCTGTAAGACATTCACTACATCTGTCCTGTTTTCCATGAAGACCTAAAACTGAATTCAGGTTACATTGAAAGTAAGACAGACATTTAAAATGAATTCAACAGAGGGTTAAACAAAGAGTGGCTTTTCTGATACCTGATACTGCAGATCAACCTTACATGCTGTGCTAACTGCTTCCAGCAATGTGAGTGTCAGTGCAACAAGGCAACATGTCAGTGCAGGTTGCTCTGCAGCATGATGGTCTCTGTGCACAAGCTTTTATGTCTTACTCACTGACCTATCTTTGGACACCACAGTTTCCCTCCAAAAAGGAAGGGCAATCTCCATGTTGCCTTGTAGCATGGCAACGTGTGTGTGTGTGTGTGTGTGTGTGTGTGTGTGGTGTGTGTGTGTGTGTGTGTGGGTGTGTGGGTGTGGGTGTGGGTGTGTGTGTGTGTGTGTGTGTGTGTATTGGCCCCAGCACGGTTGGACTGATGTCACACTGTTGATGCATTGTTATGTGGTTTTCAGCTGTATGTTTTCACAGACCTGTAGTTCTCATGCCAGGCCAATATGTGGTGCTGTGATTTCAGCGTGTTGTTTGAAATGCGCCAAAGTTTCGACCCATAGATTCCACCTCATGTAGGAACTTGAACTCATCAACGATGAACTGAGTGCTCATGTAGCACATCTATATTTCTTATCAGAAGCTGTTTTAAACTGAAGAGTTTGTCACACACAGCACAAGGCTATCAGCCATCCAAAACAAACCCTGCAGTTGTACATTCTGCACATGTTCGTTTTCACAAATCGTGGTGTATTTCACACCTTTGTATGTTACTGATGAGCAGATTTCCATTTTGAAACCCGGTTTAAAAACGAGCTGGTGTCACACATTCTGATCACCAGAAACGTGGAAACAACTAGCTTGAAAACTGGGAACTTATAGAGCAGGGTCAGAATCCTCTGAAGATCCTTAACATTGATGTTTCTGGACTGAGATTGTCCATCAACACAAAGAGACGACATGTGAGAAGGGAAACCTCAGGCCACATTGTGAACCCAAGAAAGTTTTTCTCCAGTTTTGATAACTTGACACACCGTAACTAACACAACTTTCTGACCCGATCCTCTAGCTCCTTCTGCTCCATACCAACTCATAACAAAATAGACTTCAGCGACTATAGATTCAAATATAACCTCATCTTGTCAATCATTCATCATCCACAGTAGGGGTTCTCAAATTCTGTCTTGGAGGGCCGGTGTCCTGCTAGTTTTTGATGTTTACCTGGTTCAATACACAACAACCAAATAGCTGAATTACATCCTCAAAAACTAGTCAAGTTTTCCAGAATCCCACAATGACCTGACTATTTGACTATGTGGGTATTGTGAAGCAGAGACACTTCTAAAACCTGGAGAACGGCCCTCAAGGCCTGGATTTGATGATCACTGGTCTTGTGTCAAAAGGTCAACTGCTTCTCTATCAGTTCCTTTTCTCTTTAAATGACAATGTTTGACTGTTCCCAAGTTCTTTGTGGAGGTTGAGGAAGCTTGTCTTTGCCATTACCCAGTGCTTGTCTCAGTGTTGCTCCAGTGGCAATCAAGATAATCTGCCTTTGCTACTTCATAGCCTAGTTTTGGCTATGAAGTGTTGGCAATCTTTGAGACAAAAATCAGTTATTTTGCACTTAGAGTGTTCTTGAAGTATCTAACATAAAGTCTAATATCTGTTGAGTTTACAAGTTTTAATAATGCTGGAATCACTGAAATCTCCCAAACGCAGTAGATTTCAGTGTTATATTCTTTATAAGAAAAATAGAGAAAACAGGCATTTTAAAAAATCATCATTGCACTTAAAGTTAACAAAATTTCCTTTTAGGATTTTGCCAGAAACAATTATTTTAAAAGCTGACCTGAAGCAGCTGTAAATAAAAGCGTAAATGATTGGATTCAGTGCAGAGTTGGACAGTCCAAGCCAGGTAACAGTTTCAATCACAGCAACTGGAACCAGATGGTTTTCTAAAGGTTGAAAAGTTATGAAAAAGAAAAAAGGAGACCAGCAAAACAGAAACATTCCCAGAACAATCGCCAGAGTTTTGGTGGCTTTTCTCTCCATCTTACTGGCAGTTGCTCCAGACTTCATGCTTTGGATGCTTCGTGCCTGTCTCTGTGCAACAAGGAAAATCTTCAGGTAGATGCAAAGCATTATGACCACCGGGAGGTAAAATGATAATACAGGCCCAACAAAATTTGCCATGACAACATCCATAAAGCACATGTCTGTGCATTCATCGGGGTTTGATCTAGTCGTCACCACACTGATGGCGATCAGAACAGAAACGCTCCAGCTCACAGAGATCATGACGACGACAACATGGCCGCTGATTTATGGCCGTAGGTCAGAGGCCGACTCACGGCGTAGTACCTGTCCACTGAAATGCAGCACAGGTGCATAATGGATCATATGCTGAGCAGCGTGTCAATGCTGTCTCTTATCTTGCAATACAAGCTGACATTGTACATGCACGAGATGAGAGGGAAACACAAACTGAGAAGAAAAATGAGCAACCCGACCAGCAGGTCGGCCACAGCCAGAGACAGAATCAGAGTGTTACTGGGACTGTGCAGCTGTTTGAAGTAAATGACAGAGACGATCACCAGGAGGTTTCCGCACACCGTGACGAGAGACAGAAGCATCAGGAAACCATACAGGATCACACATCCAGCTGAGTGGGACGCAGGTCGTGTGGAACTGAAGGCGTCCGCCTCAAAGCAGGACGAGTGAGTCATTCACGGTGGCCTCTGTGACCATGACGAGCAAAAACAAATCACATTTAATTCACATGAAACGGAGACAGCAGTACAGACATTGAATCAGTCGAATCAGTATACCATGCAGATTAAAGTCAGGTAATGTTGGTGTGTTTCCCGATCAGCTCTGTCTCTAACAGCCTGAGGAGTTCTGGAAGCACCAGCCTCCACCAACACGGTTTTATCGTCTCCTCATCTTCACTCTGTGGGATTCACAAAGATCGACCAATAACAACAAGCAGGGGACTGCAGTCTGTGATGACGTCATCAAGGCACAACTTCTGCCTATTCAAAGTATTCCAGTTATACTGATCGATCAATCAGTCAAATTTTATTTTGCGTAGCACATTTTAGCAGCAAGGCATTTCAAAGTGCTTTACATCACAATAAACACAAAAACACAAAGTCATGCAATGTTCATTCATCATTCAATTTGTAATTTATTACGTTTTAAATACAATTTTAAACAGGTGGGATTTTAGAGGACATTTTTGATCTGAGCCTTCCATTTTTCTGAAGCTACTCAAATCAAATGTAACATAAACACACACTACAGGCTCCACCATGTCCTTATTATTTTTTCTAACAAAAATTAAGATGATTGTTAATATCAATTCTTACAATGGAAACATGCAGATCTATTGAGGTTTCCTAAAACTATTTACAATGTTCCTTTTTAATTTGTTGCTAATTTATAGAACATTTTGCATTTCTTGTTGTTAGCAACAAACCCAAAGTGCTACTTTGAAGTGAGCAACATTTCTGTCATTTTTTTGATTGCTTTTACAAATCAGCACTGAGAAATAAAATGTAGTTATTTTCTTTGTTTGTTTATTTTGAGTAAAACACCCTTTGAAGTAAAAATGGAATTCCGCTCATTAACAATGAATAAGTTACATATATAATAACTGTAAAGTGTTGATTCTTTGAACCAGTGGCCTCCTTTGGTTTGCAGATGAACGTTTTGGCTGCCGGGCACAAATTATCCATCACACTGAGGTTTGGGCTTTGACTGGGCCACTCCAGAACACTCACCTTGTTCTCTTCAAACTGACTCTGATGGATTGTTCACCTGTTGATCACCACTTTGTGTGACTCAGGTTGACTTTGTGTCATTCAAAAAAAAAATTCTCTGAAACAAAACAATCCAGGACAGGAGAAATATTTTCATTGTATTTAGTTCAAGTGTTTGGATTGTGCCAGAATTATTCCATTGATAATAATAATAATAATAATAATAATAATAATAATAATAATAATAATAATAATAGACACTTATAATTGAAGTTACGAGCTGTGTTGGGAGCGGCTCAAGACTTTAATTTTAGTCGAAGTTTGGTGAGTTTTGAACATGTTAAGGCCTCTAAAACGCCACATAAAGTGGCGTAATAATAACAATAAATAATGATAAACCTCAGTATTAGGATGGACTTTCTCTGCTCGGGTCCAACGAAGCCTCATGGTGGATCAATTAAAGGTGCGAAGTCCCTGAGCTCCCCGAGTCTCCTAACACTCACCCTCCACCCGAACGCAGCGTCACAGTCTGCTCACACACACCTGCACACACACCTGGCTCCCTACAGCTTTAGAGAAACAACAAAACCTTTCAAGGCCACCAGACGACGTAAACAAGAACAAAGTTAAACCCAAAGAGCTTCATTAGATGGACACGTTACAGCCTTCAGTGTATTCAAGAGAATTAATAAGTTTTCTTTTTTTTTTCTTTACAAAGATTGCTTCCTGCTCAACTATGATGTAATCTATGAAACGTTTGGAAAGTTTAACTACTGTATCCTACAGTATGAGGACACAACGCAGCATCCTAATACTGTTGTGTGGTTTTATAATACAAGGACAAAAGCAGCAGCAGCTCAGTGCAACGTCGGCGTCTAATGAGGGAAATGGCGCAATCGGAGTCTTTTCTTTAAGATATAGAAAAGATTTCCATGGCTAGGAATGTTAAACATGAATTTTATGCAAGTGAAACCCGCATTCTCTCTTGATTCATGACACAGTGAAATGTTTCAAGCTTTCCTTTGTTATCATTTTTTGACAATTGTGGCTTGCAGGGAACAAAACCCCTAAAGTCACGGCCTTGGAAAAGTATGAAAAAAGTAAAAAAAAATGTGAACCTCCTGGTGTCACATACTAATCAGCAAATAAACTCAGAACATCTGGTCTAATCACGTCCTGCAGCCATGATTAAGTTAATCTTATCTCAGTCTGTGTCAGTAGGAAGATAAATATTGATCAATGTCGATTTATTTTCTTTAAAGTTTATATGTGACTGTTTTTTTAATGAATCTTGTTAATGTGGGAGGTCAGAACCCACGTAGCTTGTTTTTTTTTATTGAACTGGCTACATTAAATTTGATGCAAATAACTAAAACAAAACCAGGCTGTTGAACATTAGTGTGTTTATTCATCTGCATTACCACACTAACCCGGCCTGATCATATGTGTTTTGCATAGTTTTCAAACCACATTAAAAATATTGAAATAAAGTTTTGAGTTTTGTTTTCTTTTTAAAGTGAAA